TCAAGAGTGACCGGTATACAGTAGGTATACATTTGGCGCCCCCCAGAATTTGGCGCCCGGGTACCCCAGGGTGATGGCAGCCCTGGCAGAGAGAGCTTGATAACGACTTCATGTGACTTATGCATTCGTATCAGATCAGATTAGGGGAAATGCATCAAAACTCAGTACTTCTCAAGAAGCTACAGGATAGATGCGGATTGTGGCTAACACTATGTGTACATACTAGCGGTGGAGTGAAGAGTAAACTGGGAGTGCCAGAAGCCAGATGTACTTCAGTGGGGAGGGAGTTCCAGAATTTAGGGGCTAAAAGGACTTTGGGAAATGATATATAATGAATTGAAAAAAATGTTTAAAATAACTTTTTCTAAAAGACCAGAAGCCTTTCTTTTAGGAATTGTAGGTGCCAAAATTCCAATGGAGCAGAAAAGACTTTTTATGTATGCGACCACAGCTGTGCAGATGTTATTGGCCCAGAGATGGGAAGAAGACATAGTCCCTACCAGAGAAGAACGGCAGATGAAGCTGATGGATTATGCCGAAATGGCAAAAATGACCGGAAGAATCAGAAATCAGGAAGACCAAAATTTTAATAAGGGATGGGAAAATTTTATAATTTATCTTAAAAACCATTGTAAACAGCTAAAATGGTTAGTAGGATTGGAATAACACTTGTAGTTTAATGGTGACCTTTGGAAATAATGGAGATATAATAGATTTGGATTATTATAAAAGATGCAGGAGGAATGACCGCTCCCCGCTTAAAACGGGGGGCGCCCTTTGCGTGGACGCGCGCAGCCCCTAGATCTGGAGCGGCTCCAACAGCATAGGCTTGGTTTGCCTTCCCTCAGGTGGGATACCTGGAGGTCTCTGCCTACCTCAGTCAGTTGTCCAATCCCACCTGGGGGAAGCGTTGCCGATGAGACCAGGCCAGGTAGGGGAGGGATTACCGGCCCACACAATAGAGGGAGGATCTTACCTGGGAATCCTCACTTGGCTCCAGTGGAGATATAATAGATTTGGATTATTGTAAAAGATGCAGGAGGAAATGATTAACAACAGGATCCACAAGGGGGAGGAGGGAAGTCTAGGAGATTCTTTGGAATCTTGTTTTCATGGTGTATGTTGGTTATACGATTGTAAAACTTTAATCTGAAAAATCAAATAAATAAACTTTTTAAATAAAGAATTTCGGGGGCTACCACAGAGAAGGCCCTATCGTGGGCCGCTTTTGTGATCCTGAAATTCTGAGGACAGCAAAACTACCAAGAGCAGAGGCGCCAGCTTACAAGGGCGATTAGGGAGGTTAATGTCATATGCGTGACGTCAGGACATTGGGAGGAACTGAGGGTGGAGTCCAACATGGCAGCTGTGAGGTTTCAATGGCTGGTGGCTCCTCCCCCACCTCCTCCTGGTACTACCACTGGTGGGAGGCTGCTTCAACCCTTCTTCCCTTCCACAGAAGGAGGAAGAGGAGAAGGAGCCAGCCACAAGAGTCAGCTCTGTGCTTCGCCTCTGCCCTTTTGGAATATTGAGAGGGGCTGGCCCAAACTCAAAAATATAGGGGGGCCAAATAGGCTCAGCCCCCTGGAACTGGTGACCCTGACCAAGAGGGACCCCTCAGCTACTCTTTACACCATGAAATAAGGCCACCTCTGATAAATTTGATCATTTAAGCATTGCACCTTAAATTCTGTATGTAGCTTATTTATTTTTTTAATATAGCAAACTAACAAACTGCTTGCTCAAAAAAAATATCTCTCTCCAAGTGATGTACTAATCCAGTGCTTATGGTGGAAGAACAATGACAGCATAGCAATCAAAGCTCCCACTCTGTTCGAATGGAAGAATCCCCCACAAATGTATTTGCATGTGATATATATTGTTCCTTATTGTCAGTGAAGCAACAGGGTGATTAAGGCATGATCCCTGCACACAAGTAAAACTGGTCTGGTTGGCGGATTGGATTGCCCTTTTTGGAAGCCTTCTTTTGTTTCATTTTACCTACCTGTAAAATGGCAGAAACTCTGATGGTTCTATTGTGCCCCATACGTGATTCATAACCTTGTCTGCAAACGTGCAGTCCCAACAAAAGCAGGCAGTAAGTTCCAAAAGAGTATCTCGACAACAATGATATAAATTGGAGCACGAACTTAATACTGGTTGCTTGCAAAAGCATTAGGTAACCGAACATCAAACTCTTTGCTCTTGGTTATTTATTTTCACTTAATGAAGGCAGGGAGTCCATGCTTAGATTTTCCACAGAGATCTAGCCAATGAATCAAATGGAGAGGTGTTGTCGAACCAACAATACACAACCTTCGACGTTTTGCATTGTAAGCAGACGCAAGTCCTCGGAAGTGGGGTTTGTTTCTGGAAAGGCATCTTGCAGATTTGCCTGCAGAGGAACAAAAAAGAGGCAGAGTTTCCCAGGAACAAGGATGAATAAAAAATGGTAAATTGATTATACAAATGTGTCCGACAAGGCAGGGAACACACGGCTTCCCTCTTTCTCTGTGTCTGTTTTATTCTTTATGGGGCAGCCTACCTTTAGAGGCAATACATGCATTCGGCATTGCGAGCCAGAATTATATAGGGGATATATATTTAGAGCTTGAAGCTAAACAACGGCCACCCCACCGCTTATATTAGGAGTAAGCAAGTAATTCTGTTTATAAATATGGAGCAGTTGCTTCTGCAAATGGAAGCCAATGGCCTGCATGATGACTTGCACCCCGCGAAGCATCTTTCCTAACCGCTAAACTTATGTTATTGTTTTGGACAGGAGAGGCAGTTTTCTCCTCATCGTCTTGAGCTGCCCTTTAAAAAGGCATGTCTACCGTCAGAGAGGGACGCGGGTGGCGCTGTGGGTTAAACCACAGAGCCTAGGACTTGCTAATCAGAAGGTCGGCGGTTCGAATCCCGACGGGGTGAGCTCCCGTTGCTCGGTCCCTGCTCCTGCCCACCTAGCAGTTCAAAAGCACATCAAAGTGCAAGTAGATAAATAGGTACTGCTCTGGCAGGAAGGTAAATGGCATTTCCGTGCGCTGCTCTGGTTCGCCAGAAGCGGCTTAGTCATGCTGGCCACATGACCCGGAAGCTGTATGCCAGCTCCCTCGGCCAATAAAGCGAGATGAGTGCCACAACCTCAGAGTTGGCCACGACTGGACCTAATGGTCAGGGGTCCCCTTTACCTTTACCCTTACCATCAGAGAGGACTTCTCGGGGATAGGGTTGTGGGAGAAGGGATGGGGGTCTGTGCTCTGCAATGAGGTGGTGGTGTGTTAGCAGCCAAAGTTCCCACCAGATAGTTTTGCGCGCACACACGCACGTACACACACACACACAATTATGCATGGCATGGAGAAAGCAGATAGAGAAAAGCTCTCATAACACCAGAATTTGGGAACATTAGAATGCTGAAGGTTGAGAGATCCAGGACAGACCAAGGAAAGTACTTCACACAGCTCATAAACTATGGAATTCGCTCCCACAGGAGACAGTGAGGGACAAAAGCTTGGATGGCTTTGAAAGATTAGACAAATCCGTGGAGGAGAGGGCTATCGATGGCTACTAACCTGGATAGATAGGTTCCACTTCCACAGTCACAGGTAGTTTATAGAAACCACAAGAAGAGAGGTTGCTATTGCACCGAAGTCCTGCTTGCGTGCTTCTGCCTGTAGGGATCTGGTTGGCCGCTGTGAGAACATGGGGCTGGACTAGATGGTGTGCATCGGCCTGATCCAGTTGTCTTTTCTTATGTTCTTACACGCCCTCAAAACTCAAGCTCACCACAAATACGCACACTGCACATTATTGTTCGGTGGCAGGCAGAGAGACAGGGCTTTGTGGGTTTTCACGTCTAGAGAGTGGTCCTCTACTGAATCAGCACATTGGTCCACCTAGCCCTGTACTGCAAAGTCTGACTGGCTACCACTCTCTAAGGGCAGAGCTCTTTCCCACTGCTGCTGATTAGAGAAGCTCTTTACACCCCTGTTAGCTATTAACATCCCACAGGGAATAGAAGTGGCAATCAGGAACGGTAAAAAACACCATTTTCTCACTCAAGAAGCATCATTTAAATAAATATTTCCCCCCTCTGTGGTTAATCAACTCATTTTTTGCCCTCACTTGGACTCTCCAACACTGAACACGCTCCCTTAAACATGCCCATATTTCATTGGATGCCAGGATAAGTCACTACTCATTCTCCATTCTATTCCAGAGGGAGGCAGTGAGGATCTCTATCAATGAACAAGTGTGATGGTGGCTGATGAAGGTTTCTTTGCCCCAATCATAGGAGACCGGGGGGGGGGGGGGTACACGTCCACACCATTTTGCATTCCTGTCTCCCTTTCTGCTCTTTTTAAGATGTAGCAGCCATTCGTGTGGTGTCACTCGCAGTCCCTTTGTGACTAGCGCCTGTGGCGTTATCACAAAATTCCAAATGTGCCCATAGGTCCCAAAAGGCTGGCGAACCTTTATCTGTCTTGTGTATGAAGACTTGACTATTTAAAGACCCAAAACAGGATTTTGACAAATCAATGCAAGGAAGTAGAAAATCTTTCTGAACAGCAGAGGAGGGACACACACACACACACACACACACACACACACACACACACCATTTAGGACCAGGTGGAGAAGGCTGTTCTGAGGAAGGGAGGTGAAGTGTGATTCCATACCCTGCAAGTGTCTCAGAAAAACTGGGACATCCCCTTTTTTCTTGCAGGAGAACAGCAGCCAATTTGGGTGCTGCGTTTTTGGGCACCATGCCCCAAAAAGCGCTTTTTGGGTGGAAAATTGCGGCGTGAAATCATGCGAGATCACGGCTTCCAAAAGTACTCTCACAAGAAAAAAACAGGAAGGTGGCGTCCAGGAACTTGGTGTCCCACATCTTGCTGTCACGGTACTGGAGGGTATGTGATTCTGCTGAGTAATAAGTCAACAATTCATTAACAAAGAGTGTAGTTTTTTCTCTTAAATAAAGAGTTAGCTCTTGTAGCATGGATATATTTTTATTTCCGCATGCTTCACCATCAGTGTGCATGATGGCACCTTGCAGATTTACACATGCAACATATATGAGTCCCTGCTCCCAAGGAGCTTACAACCTGAAACAAACCACATGGAAACCACAGACAAAGGAAACAACAGACAAGAGAATGGGAGGGAAGAACGTGGACAAGTCTCATTGTTATGTACTTGAAGCTTGGTTAAGAAATTTAAGAAGACAAAGGGCACACAGAAAATGTTGGTTTTGAGGAGGGCTTGAGCCAAGGGATAGAGGCAAGGCCATGCATATGTTCATGGAGCATATTTAAGGAACAAGAAATCTTATCACTGGCCAAGGGTAGTAAATGTGGGAAAAGTCATAGGGTGGGCCAATTGCTCGCTCCACCCTATACTTCAGCCTTGTTTCTCATCATTAAAAAAAAGTTTTGCATGCTGGTTGATCAAGAACAAACCATGTCCTCTTACCAGAGCGAATCCTACATGGCAGTCAGCAGTGATTTATTTGCTGGAAAGCACAGCCAAATATTTGAAATTGAGACTTCCTGCTCCCACCTACACCTGCTGCACACATTCCAGTGGTAGAGCCCTCCGGGCAGAAAGTCTCAGGATTAGTCCCTGACATCTCCTGGCAGGGCTGGGAAAGACCAGACCCTCCAAGTGTCCCTATTTTCCAGGGACACTCCTGGGTTTTTGATTTGAACCTGGAATGTCCCACTTTCCATTAGGACGTCCCTATTTTCATCGGAGACATGTTGGAGGTTACGCAACTCCCAAGCCAAGGAGATAAGTGACTATTCAACCTACGGAAGACATCCGAAGGCAGCCCTGTTCTGGGAAGTTTTTAAATGTTTGATTATGCTTTTATATATGTTGGAAGCCACCCAGAGTGCCTGGGGCATGTTGCAGGGTACAGAAGACTCCTGCCAGAAACCCCGAAGAGCCACTGCCACTCAGGATGGACAATGCAGAACCTGATGTGCCCGTGTCCCAGGATTTGGCAGTGAGAAGTTTGTCTGGGGGTCTTGGAGATTTCACAGGAGCTCAAAGAGCAGAAGCCGTGTTAAAATGGGTCACCGGCATGGAGGGGTGGAGGAAGGGGGGAGCGGTGGGGGCGGACCACCCCGGGTGTCTTCACTGGGGTGGGTGACATTTGGCGCGCTGCCCACCTGCGACTCCCAAGCCTACCCTGAGCTGTCGGGGTAAGGGGGGAGCTGTGCCACTTTCATGGCAGAATTTCCCCCTTCCCCTTTCGTTTTGACAGCTTGGGAGAGGCTTGGGAATTGTGGGCGGGTGGTGCACCAAATGTCCGCCATCAGCGGCTTGCTCTGCCCCTGGCTGCAGGGCATGCGCACCACTCCGTGCACCCAAGCTGCTATCCCGTGCCTGGGAGGGCACCCTCTGTGCCCTGCCCTGCTCAGGTCACACTCCACCCCCCTCGGGAGCGCACCCGCCCTCATCAGTGTGGGCATATGCATGTTCCAGCAGTTTGGAGGCAAAAGGGAGAGGCATGACCAGGCAGTAGTTAAGAGGATGAAAATCCATCATTAGAGAGGATGGGATCTTTGTACAGCAGGCACCTGAAATGGAGAGACAGGTTGGTGATGCTATAGGACACGGGTGTCAAACACAAGGCCCGCGGGCAGAATCCGGCCCGCCAGACCTCGTCATGTGGCCCGTGTAGCCGCCGCCGGCCACCAGCCTTCACCTTTTATTCTCGCTTCTTTTTTTGACACAAGAAAGTCGCCTCTTCAGCGCATGCGCGGCAGCCTACAAGCCAGAGAACGTCTGCCCTCTTGCGGCGCCGGCCGTTCTGATGCGGCCCCCGATGAATTTGAGTTTGACACCCCTGCTATAGGATAATAGTGAGGGATATGGCAGTCAGGAGAAACTGGACCTGCAAGGGCGTGCACAGGTATTAGATGAGAGCAGCAGACTGATACAGAGATGTATACAATTTTAGATCTTGGTTACACTAATGCGAGCCAATGACATGCCTAATAAAATAGAAACGGGGCATCCTGCAATTAGGCTTTCAAATTTTCACATTGCACCGTAGGCTGGTGTTGTTGTTGTTTTTTGTTTTTTTTTTACTTCTAAGTTAGCTAGCTGTGTGGAACTGGGCAATCTGTATCATGAACAATGGGCATCATTCCTTCAAGGCTTAGCCTTCATCTGCTGGGCCCCAGGAGATCTAACATCAAATTCCGGTCTTAATTCTTCTTGCCACAATGCCCTGGTGATAATTATTTGGCAGCAGTGACTGCAGATATCTCTGAACACAGATAATCATTTTGCAAGCAGGTGTCGTTAAGAGAAAAATACTGGGCTAATAGACTGGTTTAGGCATGCTATTAAGCCAGACCTAAGTAGGCCTGGAACTTTGTTTATTTTTGTTTTCATACAGGGAGCATGCAAGAAGAGAAAGTGCAGTTTTCTCTCATTTGACATACTATTATTTTGCAATCCTAGGAGATGCATAATTTTAAACATTCATGAATTTGAATAAATTAGCACATGCTAATAAGAAGTGGTATTTCTCTCCCCAAAGTAGGCGGCAAATTCTGGTCCTGTTTTCTGGCAGCATTTAGAGGAAAGGTGTCTGTATTGCTTCTAGAAAAATCCCAGTGTCTGAATATGGTCCCCCAAACAATGAGGTACCCAAACTCAGATATAAAGCATTGCATTTATTTACAATTCTGGACCATCGCCTGAAGTATACCACTGATCTCACACACAGTCCACAGGAGATAAAACCACTTAAAAAGTACAGTGCGAAAATTAATCTATGCACATAAAAAAATACTTTGAAATAACAAAAAGTATGATCCCATGCCTTTGCAAGAAGTTTTTCCCTCACTAACTTGAAAGGATTCAATCCATAAATCACAAAGTGCACATATATTCTTGCTTATGTCTCTGTTATACAGGTCTAACTTTCACCACACAATAGTCTAAATCCTTTTTTTTTTAAGCCGGGATTTTTCAGAAACTCAAATTTAATAACCAAACTTCCAACATCTTTTGTGCTAGCAACTCAGGCCTGAACTTGTGACAGCTGAAAGGTAAGATCAGAGGCTTAAAAATACCGCCATCAATCCTCATTGTCCCACCTTCAACTGAAGCAGTCAGTGATTATTTGGCTTGTTTCTTTAAGAGCAAACAGTTCTGTCCCTACGAACAATTCACAAATGTTGCATACGCACGGAATAATATGTTATTGGGGGACTGGATGCCTTTGCGTGCAATTAGTTTATTGCAGAAATCTCCTGAACTCCCCCACCCCATAATCACAGCTTGGAAGGAAAATCAGGATGCTCAGAAATCATTACATTTACTGGGATGGGGCAGGGGAGCCAAATAAGACCTGTTTTGGTTTTGCAACCCTGTTACGCCATGAAAAATATTTATAAAAATGTTTACTGGAGGAGCACAAACACCATACCACACAGGAGACTGAAGAGCCCAGTCCAATATATGGTTACTCAGGAGCAAGTCCCACTAAGTTCAAGACGGCTTTAGGGCTGCAATCCAAAGCAATGAATATCATTTGGAAGCAAACCCCCACTGAGCAAAATGGCACATACTCCAATGTAAACATGCGTAGGGACAGGCTGCAACTTTGGTCTGGATCTCACAGTATTGAATAGCCCTCCATAAAACAACTAAAATAAAATAAAATAAAAATATTTCCACGGAGAAAAATAAAACATGACTCAGAAAGCTAGTTTACAACTCTTCTGCCTGATATCCTAGTTCTCTATGTGGAGATGATAGACAGATAGATAATAGATATAGATAGCTAAGCATTTAGATGTGAGAACCAGCCTCATCTCAGCAGTCTGTAGTGGTATATGCCACACACAGCGGTAACTTGGCCTCTGAAGAATGAGGACTCCACAATGCCGGTTGTACAGTTTTCCAACTTTAAAAACACACACTGCAGAATAAGTCCACTCCTTCTATTCTTCTCCATCCCTTCCAGCATATTCCCCCTCTCATCCAATAATTATTTACAATGATGTCAGGCCACACTGGGGTTTGGGTTTCCTGGCACACAGAGTATACACTTCTGCTGTTTCGGGATTACGAACTCAGCTGGTTCAGTGCTCAGTCCGCTTGCATCCGCCGCACAAGCCACAGTCCACTTCTTAAGGAGGAAGAATGAGAGAGTGTGGCTCAGGTGTTTCCTTTGCCACTGACTGTCCCTTGGGTGATGCCATTTTCTAAGTATTGACTAGAGGTGTCCATACTCCTGTTGAGCACCGTGGAGGGGATCCGCGAAGACCGGCGCTCCGGCCTCTCCTCAAAAGAGCAGCAGATCATGCGCCTCATCGTGCTCGACATCTCGTCGTCTTTGTACGAGTAAATGATGGGGTTCATGACAGAGTTCAGAAGGGCCAGGAGGAGGAACCACCGCTTCACATTCTGTACTTCACAACGAGTGCAGTTCAAGCCGTCGAGAAGAAGGACGACGAGGCCGGGGGTCCAGCACACAACAAAGGCACCTATCAGAGAGAGAAAGAATGGATGTGTTTGTTTGTTTGTTTGTTTGTTTGTTTGTTTCAATTTGTTTGGATTTGTTCATTTGTTTGCATTTTGCTGCATTAAGCATTTGGGCTTAGGACAAGACAAAGAGGACTACATAGCCTCCAATCTTCCTCAGATGAAAACAGGAACATTTCTCACTCGCCCCTCAACTGACCCCCTTCAACCTCCCATTTTTTGCCACACAGACCTCCCCCTGCCACAGAGCATTTACATCACCACTACACCAACGGGACACAGAACACCCACCCCCCACTGTCTTGAGAAAACCACTTAATCCAGATTTTATTTCATTCTTTGGTAGATTTACAAAACGAAAAACATGTACCAATATAGTGGTACCTCGGGTTAAGTACTTAATTCGTTCCGGAGGTCCGTTCTTAACCTGAAACTGTTCTTAACCTGAAGCACCACTTTAGCTAATGGAGCCTCCCGCTGCCGCCGTGCCGCTAGAGCATGATTTCTGTTCTCATCCTGAAGCAAAGTTCTTAACCTGAGGTACTATTTCTGGGTTAGCGGAGTCTGTAACCTGAAGCGTCTGTAACCTGAAGCATATTTAACCCGAGGTACCACTGTACATAAATTTTAGAAAGGAGCAAGATTAGACATGGACATACAAAGCATTAAAAGAAGAAAAGAGACTCTGCTCTACTCCCCCTTTCTTCCCGCCCAGGGCAGCCCTACCCTCTGCCTGCCCCTCAGAGCCAGCACATTAAGTGGGACTGGGCCTTGCTGGCGATGGCAGCCTCTTCTCCTCATTGCCTGCACTCCAGCAGTTGCTTCAAGCTGCCCAAGGGAGGAAGCTGGCAGCAGCGGCCATGGAGAGGCCATGGGATGCTTCCTTCACAGCCGTCACTGGAGGGGGCAGCTGCTGCTCAAGACAAACACTGGTTTATCCCTCTCCCCGACCTCAGCAACCCTGGTATATGCATGGAAAACCATGTTGCAAAATTCAGAGAAATTTGGATTTTGAAGGATGGCTGTGTTTTGATTTGAGCATTGTTTCAAAAAGTGCAAATTTGGGAAGTTCACCTTCAAATGCAAACCGAGTCGAATTTCTTTCTTGCAATAAGTTGAGAAAAACTGTGGTTCGTCGCCCATTTGTGATAGAGCAACAACTCGTTTGCAATATTTATCTCCTGTCTCAAAACACCTCCCAGAACAATGTGCAGACCAGCCAAGCATGCAGGTTGGTGACGCTGGTCAGAATCTATGAACCAACACACAAGAGCACTGCATTTCTTTTATTTCATAAATTTGTATTTAGTTCACCAACAACCAACAAATCAGGAAGACTAAAACCACACGGTAAAACAGACAAACTCAATTAATATTCATGGAACAGGCTAATTGCATCGCTCTTTCATCTCTGGTGCCGGCATTGCCGGTTTGTCATTCCATGCTTCTTAGTGCAAAAAGAGAGAGAAAGAGAAGGAGGGAGGGAGAGAGGCCAGAGCTAATGCACAAACCAGCATGTGCTTAGCTCAAGCCACAATTGCTGCCTATTTTACAAAAATAGGAAAATTACAGCTCTGCACAAAAGACAGGCTGCAGAGGACGCACAGAGGAAGTGCTGCCCATTTATGTGTTGTTGTTGTTGTTTAAAAAAATCAAAGTCAAAAGCTTACATTTTAGGAAGCCTTTTCCCTTCTCCCCTAAAGCCGGCAAAGAAATATTCCAGCAAGTTATGCCAGCGCTCTGTTTCCCCGCCCACAAACCATGCAAATGTAGGGCAATGGAAACCTAATCTGAACGGGGACAAGAGTTCAAATCCCAATCCTGCAGTCACCTTGAAATGGGCAGCTTTATTTCAATTCCCCTATCAGTGTTGCAGGCATTGTAAGAAATGTGTATGGCGGTGAGACCTAACTGTGGGCAGATCAATGCCATAAATTCAAAGCACATGCCGTTCCTCAAAGAATCCTGGGAACTGTAAGTTTGACACGGGTACTGGGAACTGTAGCTCTATAAGGTGAAAACTACAGGATTTGGGGGGGTTGAGGTGCTTTAAATGTACTTTAACTGTATGGTGTGGCTCTGCCCTGTCCCTCCCTGCCTTCCACGTACAGGACAAGTCCAAGGCCAAGTACATCTCGATCACTTTTGAAACAGCTACTCAGTTCATTTGCACAATACAAAAAATGTCAGTGTAAGCTATATAGACGTAAGCGATACGAATTTATACGGAGAGAGAGACCTTTTTATTTGCTTTTTGGTTTCTGCAAGCATCATTTCTGCTCAAATATAAGCATGTTAGGACAGACTGCCGATCACTCTTCAGCTTAGCAAAAACCAAGGTCATGTGTGGACTTGCCTGGAATGTCACCTCCTTTCCTTTCAAAAGGCTGCTTTGCATTTTTCACTGGGATGCTTCTGCGCAAGCTACATGCGGTGAAGCATCTAGAACATGAAAAAAAACAGCAACACTGTGTTGCTGGATCAGACAAAATATTCATCCAGTCCTGTCCTGTGTTTTTAAGAGCAGCCAACAGGAGACCGCTGAAAGCTCACTCAACATGACCTCCTATTCATCCTTAGATGTGAATTCCTACCGTAGGTGACATTTCCATTTACAATCATACCTTGGAAGTCGAGTGGAATCCGTTCTGGAGGTCCGTTTGACTTCCAAAACGTTCAGAAACCAAAGCAAGGCTTCTGATTGGCTGCAGGAAGCTCCTGTAGCCAATCGGAAGCCACAGAAGCCCCGTCATACGTTCAGCTTCCAAAAATAGTTCGCAAACCGGAACACTCACTTCCAGGTTTGCAGCTATAGGGAGCCAAAACGTTTGAGAACTAAGCTGTTTGAAAACCAAGATACGACTGTAGCTGCACTGGCTAAATAGACCTTTCCACCATGGATGTGTAGCTCAACGAGGTCTGAGCATGCTCACAAACTTTTGAGAGTCTAGAAGAGTATGGAAGAGTAGTGAATTTCATGAGACAACAGCACACTTTATTTTCTTGCCTGCAAACCTATAGGCAACTGATTAGGTGATTTTGAGTTCTACTATTATAAGAAAGGAAGAAAATATTTTATTTTATAAACCTCTTTATCATGATCCAGCCGCCACGTAAAACACCTACTTGTTAAACAAGCCAGCCGCGTATCAACCCATTGTTGGAAGTTGGCTTGTTTTAAAATTGATGATTGTGCCTTTTAAACCACGTTTCGTAGTTCACATGGCAAGGAATGAAACTGAAAGCACAGTGAATTCCTGATCACCTGGACTGCTTAAAGTGCAACTGAATACTGGTTTATTTCTGCCTCCTGACTGCAGGGGTAACATGAGAGGGGACTGCTTGAGCCCAAAGTATCGCCTAGGTTTGCAAAGGCTTCTGAACTAAACCATGGTTTGGCATTACGTGCACATTGGACCACTGTGCCTCTATTCATAGATTACTTGTGCAATTGATTGATTGTACTTATTAACTACTTTAGGCTTCATTTCAGAGGGAAAAGCAGGGAACAACACAACCATCAAACGCAATGAAGCATCTGTTGAGTGGATATTTGAATAGACAAGCGGTTATCTGGATCACTTTCTGCTAAATCTGGATCTGATCACGTCCAGGACAAAGAAAAAGCTGGGGACTATGGAATTGTGGGTTGGGATCCATGCTGTGTTCTTAAGGGAAACTCAAGTGGGAGCGGGGAATCATGAGGGGAAAGGAGCAAGAAGAAGAACAAAAGGGTCGATGATAGGGCTCTCCCCTATCTGTCCAAGGGTCAGAGTAACACAGACATTGCACACGTAGGTCAATGGAACTGGCAACCGCAGCAAGTAATTTCTGTCTAACGTTATCTAAATTTCTCTACCACTCAATTGGGTAAGCCTCCCAAGAAGACAGCTATCATTATCCAAAGATATGAGAGCGCATGATAAAATTGACTCGGTGGAAATATTTGCTAGTCAATCATAATAATAAGACAATGGGCGGATAAGAGTTTTTCTTCTTTTTCTCGTAATTCTGGGACACGGGGTCAACCAATAAAGCTGAAAGGTGTAGATGTGGGCCAGGACAGAGGAAGTGCCTCTTCCCACTGAGCACAGCTAAGCCAAGGAACTCACCACCACAAGATGTAGTGAATGAGGACTATCAAATCGGAAAGTTTTTTTGTAGGGGAGGAGGATACAACTATTGGTGGCTGTAAAACAAGATGAGAGGCACCATGGCTCAGAATGCCAGCTGCTGGAGAGCAGTAGAATAAGAGGGTCAGCTAGCCCTTATTTATGGATCAGGTTAGCTCTGGAAAACAGGATGCTGAAAAAGGCAGCCTAGAAAGGGTTCTTGTAATCTAGATGTTGGTATCACGTTGGAACAGAAAGAAGCAGGCAGAATGGCAATAATGCAGAACTATTTCTGGTCTGTTTTCTAGGAAATGGAAATATGAAATGAATTCTCACACAGGCTACAAGTCTAAACATCTTCAACGGCTGACAACCAGAAAACCGTTTCAGATAAAAAGGAAGGCACTCAAAATAAATTGAAGGCATTGTGACTAAAATACGTAGTTTCCAGAGAGTGGAAACTGTCATTTAAAGAAACCCAGCTAGATTCTAATCTCCCAACATAATAGGAAAAGGAATCAGAAACATCTGAAAAGCAACTGGCATGACGTCTGACTGGAGTGAAAATGCTGCTCTCCTGAGCAAATTAATAGGCTATAGCTTACTGTGAAACTAAGCCCTTATCTGGCCCTGCCAAAATTTATGGAGAGCGTTGCCATCCATTTCGGTATGAGCTGGGTAAAGTCACAGCAGTGCATTATTTTACAAGCGGTTTGCACCAGCGGGCTCTGCTTTCCCACTGAAAGGCAGCAAAACATACTTGAATCAGTGCAAATATGTGCACTGGGAACCTTTCATCCAGAGGCAATTGCAATTCTTGTTAGCAGTACTTATTTGAGGAAGGCTTATTGGGTATTCGTTCTACTTGCTTTCCTGCTCAGGTATCTTTAAAAACTAAGTAATAAAAACCAATTGCCGCTACAAGTTTTCAGAATTAGGGTTGAAGCCCCCTTTCCCTGGCAAGACTCTTTGCCCCTGTAATGACTGCAGAAATTCAGCAACTGAAGTTCTCGTTATCACTGTGTATTCAGGCCAGGAAAACAGTATTCGCTTCTTAAATTTCAGCCTGCCATGCTGCTGGTAAAAAGTGCAATAGTTTTGTGGGTGGGTGGGTCGTAGATATATAGAGTTCAAAAGCTTACGGTAGGTATTTAGGGTTGCATCTTCTCTGTATTTAAAAACTAATTTTTAAAGGTTATGCCTCACTGTAGCACAAGGGTAGCAGTCTTAATAGGATCTGGAGGGCAACACGTTGGCGGTCCCTGATTGGCACCACAATCTGAAATGGCATCAGAAGGCCTCAGGCTATGCAGAGAAAAGTTAGCTCTAAGCAAGGATTCTCCACTGACAAAGTCAAAAGGGCACAATCTAGGTCACCGCCAAGATACAGCAAAAGCTAGCCGGAACTCTAGGAACCGGAATCACCAAAGGCAAGTTTGATATTGACCCAAAATAGTACCCCACTCCCCACTAGGTGTACAGTGGTACCTCGGTCTATGAACAGCCCTGTTAACGAACTATTTGGGCAACACACTCCGCAAAACCGGAAGTAGGTGTTCCAGCTAGCAAACGTTGCCTTGGAAGCCAAAGGGTGGAAGGGCACCAGCCTCTGTAGGGAAAGCGCACCTCGGTTTAAGAATACTTTGGGTTAAGAACGGACTTCCGGAATGAATTAAGTTCGTAGACCGAGGTACCCTGTACTTCTTTGTCCTCTCCCTTATAAGTGAATGGATGACGTTCCCTCATACAGGAAAAGAGGAAGTACTGCACTGAGGGGGTTGAAGATATGCCCCTCACAGTGGACATGTTCCAGCCATCAGGAGATGGGAGGCACAATGCATCTGTGCACATGCGCACACACTCACACATGAACAAACAAACCACAAAGCCCCCGAAATACAATTATCTAGGTACATACACACAACCAAACCATAAAGCCCTTCTTCCATTTGTAACCTGCTCCTTGTAGTAGTATAGTTAAAAGTCACTAAAAAGAAATTCCACACCCTCTAACTTTAGAAAGTCTTTCTCTGATATCAGAAGTGTGGCCATTTATTGTGGATTACTCAGCAGTAAGAGAAAGGTGCTGTTGCTTTTTACTGTGACTTCGGCATTCCTGAAGAAAAATTATGGGGCTAAGAAGCCTGAACAAACCATGGCTCAAAACACATCTTGATGCTATAGATGCGTAAGATTTGACAAATAAGAGAGCAAAGCTTTTGCTGGGACTGTGTTGGTTCTGGTGTCCTGTAACCTGTCTCCCAGCATGTCCAAACAGGCAGGGAAAAGAAGGAGAGGAAATGTAAACCACCCAGGGAAGAAAAGAGAGAGGCGTGGGAGGATTTCTAACCTCCCAGAATGCACATCATGGTTTTGCTTTAAGCAAACAGATTGTGTTGCCTCCTACCAATGGTAATAGTCAATAATATAAGACTATATGGGGTAGGGACATAGCTCAGTGGTAAAATGGTAAGTGTGCTTTGCATACAACAGGTCCCAGTTTCAATCCAAGGCATCTCCAGGTAGGGCTGGGAAACCATCTGAAACCATGGAGAGCTGCTGCCAGCCAGAGTACACAGTACTGAACTAGATGGGCCAATGGCTTGACTCAGTATAAGGCAGCTTGCTATGTCCATCTACCCCAGTGCTTCCCAAACTTAGATCTCCAGCTGTTTTTGGACTACAACTCCCATCATCCCTAGCTAGCAGAACCAGTGGTCAAGGACGATGGGAATTGTAGTCCAAAAGCAGCTGGAGCCCCAAGGTGGGGAGGGGGGGACTGCTCTACCCAAAGCTATCGTTTTGTATCTACTAAAGTCAGCTGAATTGACCCAGTGGAAAAACAAACGTGCCTCGCAATGGGACAGCTGTATTGTAGAAGACAATCCCTACTTTGAATTCACTATGTCAACCACAATGTATTTGTTTAGATCTAATAGCTGGGTCCCCGTCCCCCTCCGCCTTTCCCACACATACTTTGTGTTGCGCTACGAGAAAACAAGGCCTCCTTGAGAAATTCTGATGCCAGACCTAAGCAGCGGAGTCCTTGGGTCTGGCATTCAATAGATAAATGGGCGAAGCATTCGGACTATGAAAAGAGAGGCCGTCCTCCATGTTACAGATATCTTGCAATGTTACAATAGGGTCAGTAGTGGTCTCCCCCAAGGCACAGCAATGCTTTCTTTTGTTACCTCCTGTGAAAAGGACATGGCATGGTTATGAAAGAAGCTATTCGGTGCCTGACAGGCAATTGCAACATGAATAACAGCCATGGCAAGATGCTCAGGGTCACCTCATCTCACTTAGCATTCCTTGACTGTTATAATATTTGCACTGCACACTGTAGATGCCCAAGCCGGTGAGAATGAAAATTCAATACTAGATTTGGTTTGGATATAAAGGCGTTCTGTATAACAGCCTTCCCCAACCTTCAACGTGGTGCCCTCCGGATGTTCTGGCTTGCAGCTCCCATCAGCCCCTTAGCTAGCATGGCCAAGGACAACAGGAAGTTGTAGCCCAAGATAAACAAGAAGGTACTACATCAGGGAAGGAAGCTGTATTTGGAGTCTTCCAATCATGGGACAGGGTTCACCTGCCAATAATTAGAATAGAGGCTCTATCTCAGCAGGTTTTCAGAACCTGGGCACTAGGGACAGAGCAATATAATGATTGTGAGGAGAATGAGCTCTGGGGAGAGGGAATGGGTAGAAGGTGATACGCTTTATAAACAGGGGAAGTTAAGATCTATCACAGTGCCAATAAACCACCAGAGAGATTCTAGACTGGCCTTACTTATAAAAGGACTGCATTTCAAGTTGGAAGGGACCAAACCTTCCTCTTAATACTGTGGCTGAATTGCGGTAAAAGGCACTTAATGAAACCCCCAAGTTCCACACACACCCAACTCCCATCCCCATTTTACTCAAATCATACCCATCCTATAGCCTTCCTAAAGCTGTAGCTGAAAGGATAACCACAAAAAAGGGTTAAAGGGCCAATCTATGGAGTAGATTGAACCCATCTCAATATTTTGGGACGCAGTGAACAAAAGTTAACAAGCCCACAGATTGGTTGGTTTATTTATTTTTAAAAACCAGGGCATCAGCCCAGCCACATCATTTATGGCCAGGACGTTAGAGTGAAGGGTGTGTAAGAAATTTATTATTATTACTATTATTACTATTATTATTAGCCTGACAGAAAGAGTGAACTAGCTTCTCTTTCCCTACCCACCCACCCCCCAAGTTTACAAGAGTTGATGTGCCTGGAGGCAATTCCAACTCATCTCAGATGACCATATATTTAGGTTAAAGCCTGATTCCAACCTAATTTTTTTCCTTGTACTACTACCAAGTATACTAACAAGCTTCATATAGTTTGTGAGACTTTGGGCTTCCTCTTGGGATCTTTTGCTCTTTGTTGCAAAGCTGTTGGTGCCAATTAATGCAATCAGACATATTGCTGCTATTCCTAGTTCTTAGGTTTCCCGTCAGTGTATCCATCACCTGTGCATGACCTAGGGATGGGATTAAAATTCAATTCAGCTTGTATTTAAAGCTATCAAATTCGCACTTTATGAAACAATATGAGAACCAAAACGCAACTTCTACAAATTTTGTGATGCAGTTCACTAAACAAATGCTGACTAAAATGCATATATTAGAGGAAAGTGTGCATAAAATGAACATACAATATTAATAAAAGAAAAAAACACACAAATTATGCATTGTATTAGGAGAAAATGATTGCAAAGAAGTAGTCAAAACTGCATGTAAAAATGTGTTTATGAATTCACACTAAAATGCTAGTGAATTTTCTTGGTGATTTTATTTTTGGCTGCAGAAATGTGGAGAACCGAATTTAAAACTGGAAAAATGAGGAACCGAGAGAGCCAAAATTGACAGATCTGTCCATCCCTGTGCATGACTATCACAAACCCTAGAGCAGAATAGTAGGGTTGGGTGTGAAGTCAAGCTATCAGCATGAATGTCAGAAACCCTAAAGGAGGAGAAATGCACAAGCCACCTCCTAAGATATTGCATTTGAAGAAGGGAGGGTGTTGTTACCATACCTCACATTTATAATTTTTCAGCATGCTGGGAATGCAAGAAGCTTGCAGGTAGATACATCCTCCATCTGCAGTTTAAATGGCTCTGTTTACCCACTTTGTAAACTAAAGCTGGTTATTATTCATAAGCAGCCTAATGATTCATAAGCAGCCCAAAGCCAATAATCAGGTCAATGGCTGTGTAGGCCTCCCATGGCACCACGAACATAGATCCAAGAGAAAGGATGAGGCATGGAGTAATAACACCCTCTTGCAGCTGAAGACACATGGTGAGTTTCCATCCCAACATCCCCGAACCCCCATCCTACGATAAGGACAAAGTGGGCCCTAATCACTGGAAATGTAACCACAGGTGGCTCAACCAAGATCTACCATCCTTCTCAAACTGAACACAAGCACATCTGCCCTCCACATCCTCTTACCTAAGACCGCCATGACTGTCTTCATAAGTTTCATTGGAGTCCTCCTGCGGCTGATGGATCCACTTGTGTGCGGAGATAAAACATTCGTTTTCCTCTGGACGTACATGTAGATTCTTATGTACACCACCACCATAATGAAGAAAACCCCCAGGTTGGAGACGGTCCAAAATATCAAGTAACTCCTGCTATAAATAGGAGCCAGTGAAGAGCAGGTTGAGATGTCACACAGGCAGTTCCAGCCCAAGGTGGGCACTGCGCCCATGAAAATAGCTATGGCCCAGATCAACAAAATGAAAAAGGTGACCCTCTTCTTTGTGAGGTTGCTGTGGACCCTCATCCGAACAACAGACAGGTGGCGCTCAACGGCAATGACTAGCAAGTTGGCCAGAGAAGCCGTCAGGCTAGTGTCCAGAAGTCCCTGTCGCAAAAACCACCTGTTAACAGTTAGCGTTTTGGAGACTGGGCCAGTGTTGAACATCAAGAATACATAAGCGATGCCTGCAAAGAAGTCCGCAGCTGCTAGGTTGGCTAGCAGGTAGTAGAAAGGGAAGTGGAACTTCTTGTTTTTGACCACAGCGGCTATGACCAGTGAATTGGAGATGAAAATGAAGAGGCAAAAGAAGGCCCCAAAACATAAGACAATGACGAGAGTTGTCCCCGTCCACTCATCTGCTGTGGCTGTGTTACTCATGTTATAGAAGAAGTCCATGCGTTTATCATAGTGACATTCATTCATCCTGGATTAGAGTATGGCATCCTAAGGGGGAGAGAAAAAGAAAGGAAGGTTAAAAAAAATGGAGGATAGGAGTGGTGCCATCTTGGAATTGCCATGGATAACGAAGCTGTCCCAAACAAATATTTCTCACCTTCAAAAGTCAAATCATGCAACTGCACAGGTTATGCAAAGCAGGCAAGCTAAATCCATTTATGTGCACGTTTATGCCTTTTACTCCGGTTTCAGAACCTTGATGTTTTTAGGTAGAGTCCTTATATGGAAATGCCCCGTTTTAAGAGTTCCTACACGCCACAAGCAAGCCACGTGTCAGACTCCAGATCCAAGCATATTCAACACTCTTCCAAATGAATCAGATACTCTGTCATTTTATGGCAAGACATTCTGAGTGCCCGTTAATATTTAAAAAAACAAAAACCCAGAGTGTAAATTAAATATATAAATGCCTTTACAAACGGCTTATTTATGTAATTAAATGTCCCAAATGTCCCGTCCATGGATTTAATCACATGGAATTTACTAAATTTATTACATTTCTATCCCACCGTATTGGTCGCAATATCAGGCACATATATTTGATGTGATGAGCAAGAGGCACCTGAGCCTTTCCCAGTTTTACTAAGGAGTCCTGCCCCGTTCTTTAAGAACTCCCAAGCCTCAGGGGAAACATTTGGAAACCCTTCAGGCCAATCAATCAATCAATCAATCAATCAATCAAATGTTTAAGAGATTAGGAGTGGCAATTCTGCCGCAACCTTAAAAGCAAGTTCTGTTTCACTAGGAGTCGTGTTTGTTATGTATATTTGCATATATTCTCTATAATTTGTATGCTAGGTAATAATTTTCACTCTCCTAGGTTGCTAGCTTTATTTAGGGACACAAGAGTCAGCTAAGCAGGCGTCGCTCACCGCTTCTAACTTAAAATGTGCACACTGTGTGCTAATTGTGACACAGTCGCTCAGGTTCTGCGTTCCTCCCAGAGCACATGGGCAGTTGGATGAAAATGTTGACAGAGCTCCCACACTTCCAACAACTGTGTGGAACAGAGGTGAGGGCAGCCTTCAGCTTGTGAGAACCAACTTCATTTCACCGCCCCCCACTGAACCCCAAGATCTAACTGGAGCCAGGTACAAAAGATGTCCACTTAGAATTAAAGAACTTTGTGACCAGGAAATAGTTCTAAATCCCAGAACTGAATGGACCTTGCAGCTCTTCCACACAACAATCTAATCCTGGTAACCTTTGCTTCCGCTTCCTTCATTTCAGCACTGTAATGTGGAGGGACGGGGGCATTTTGTTGTTGTCATTGTTAAATACTGGGAGTCTAGCATCCTTGATGGTCAACTTCAAATCATCCAAAGATCTACCACCCTACCTTCTGTCCACCCCAAGTATAGGAAGTGGCATTTCAGCAGGTGTAGTTTATAATGCCAGGTAAACCTGCTGAAATCCCTTCTGGTACACAGTGGTGAAAGGTGCAAGAAGGAAATGTTTGCTAAGCTTGAAGCCGTCACCTTTGAGTCAGGTAGGCCATTACTTTTGGGAAGAGCAGCAGACCTGCCACAATTTATGCAACTAAGGCCTCTCCTTATCCCTCTATCACTTGCGAACCATAGAACTCACAATTTTCCTCCCTAGTTGCTATAGCTACTCAAATAGCACTAGTGTTGCTCATTCCCTACCAGTCTGATCCTGTCCTCTTCTTGTTCCTGTCAACAGTGTGTTGGCAAGCGCATGAAGAATCAGGTTCCCTGTGAGGTAACTTCAGAGTTTGAAGACTTAAAGGAAGAGGAAGGAATACAGTAGCCAATGGTGAGGGAACCTGTGTCAGCCAGAGGACTGCATTTTTTTGTTTCTGGACAAGCTTTTGTGCAGAGCCAGAGGCAACAAATTTACAATTTACCTTTGTATCATATGCTGGTTTCTACACAGACCTCTCATCCCTCATCTAGGCAAGCGAAAGATATCATCAGAGTTCAAGGGCACATTCCAGTCAGGCAAAAAAAAAAAAAACACTCAAGGAGGCTGTGAAGCAAGACTGCTGAGGGACATGGCCTCAGGAGAAGTGGTGTGGTCTGGGGAGAGTCCTGAGGGCCAGACAGAGAGGGCAGGAGTCTCCTTGGGATACGAAGCCCTATAAACAGAGAGGATGCTTTGCTTGATTGAGCAACCTATAAAGCCTTGCCCAAGGTAAATGAACAGAGGAAGGAGGCCTCCAACAACTATGTCAAGAATCACATGTGTGCTGTTAAGCTTCCCTGGGTCAGTCCACCCAAACATTTTGGCCCTTTTTCTGGGCCTCAAAACAACTGAATCAAAGACTAGCTGGTGACCTTTGGGGCTCCTCTGAGCCAGACCCTTCCTTGTTGAAGAAGAGCACTGGACCTCCATGACTGTGATCCATTGGAGCTCATCTCCACATGCTCCTACTTACCCAAGGAAGAATTGCAAGGTTGGAAAAGGACGGGCTCATTTGTTTCATTGTGGGATTCCATGAAAGATCTCTGCCACCCCTTAATTTATATAAATTTATATAAAAACATAATAAAGCATAAAACATTAAAACAAACTGAAGGCTGCCTTCAGATGTCTTCTAAAGGATATACAGTTACTTATCTCCTTGGCTCAGGGGGGGTCGCATAACTTCATACCCTCCAACATTTCTCCAATGAAATAGGGATGTCCTAAAGAAAAGTCGGACATTCCGGGATCAAATCAGAAACCGGGATGGCTGCTGTAAATCCAGGCCTGCCCCTGGAAAAGAGGGACACTTGGAGGGTCTGATATTGGTGGGCACCAATGTTACTTTTTCCAGAGGTGTGTTTGAATGCACAGCCTTTAAGGTCAGGTGGAACTTATGTTATTTGCAGAGGAGGGTATAAGCAATCCCTGTCCTGTCTAGTTTTCAGGACTCTGGGTAATTCTGTTGATATTGCCTGACCAGAACTTTCCCATGGCAGAAACACCTTGCCTGCATTGTTATTCACAGGAAAAAGAACATGCTGCCTGTTCTTTACAGACACTGTGTACTCAACTTCCTGCTTTGCTTCTGCTGTATTCTCACAGAGCCACCGACCAGGATTTCAGCTGAAGGTGTGTGTCTCACTACCCCACATGCGTTTCAAGTCCTGAAGTGCACAATGGATAACGATATCATCTCTAGAAAGGTGCTCATCTTGCACAGTAGTGCTTCATGCCCCCCACATCCCCTGCAAAAGGCTTTGGGGTGGGGTGGGCAGAACCCCTAAAATGGCATACAGGGTGCGTGGGTGTATCATTCTGTCTGGCAAGCCGAACTGCTTGCACAGATGGAACAAATGCAATGTTGAATTGCACCCCGTGACTTGATAAGGAGCCTTCCCAAGATACAAAACTGGGAGATGGGAAGCAGCTATGAGGATTAGTCTCCTTGCATTCTCAGCAACATGGCCAAGCTCATGGGTGCGATCAGGGGCATACGAAGGGGGGCGGAGGGGTGGTCCACCCTGGGCACCACTCTAGGGGGGTTGGCAAGATGGCCAGCTGCTCCCCCCCCAGCTGTAGAGCAGCCGAGGGCGCATGCACAGTTAGTATGGGCGCCGTTCGCGTAGCATCCGTACGGGCTGCCGCGCATGCGCAGTCCATACAGATGTCGCACATGCGCCGCCGGGTGGTTTGCCCCATCCCTCAGCGTCCCACCCTGGGTGCCGGAAAGGGTTCCTCTGCCACTGGGTGCGGTCACACCTTTTAAGTCAATAGGTAACTTGGAAGAAGCAGCTGCATGGAACTAGAGGAACTACCAAGAATGCCAAGAAAACAAGAACATAAATGTGAAATATGAAGACAAACGTTTTGATTGGGGTTTGATAATGTTCCTTTCACATAAAGAAGTGCTTGCTGGATCAGGCCAAAGGCCCCCCTCTTGCACAGCATCCTGTTTTCACAGTGGTCAACCAGATGCCTGTGGGAAGCCCTCAAGCACAAATAATGTGGTCATCTTATACACACAGCAATGAATCATTAACTTTCCATTTAGTGTAACAATGCAAAATGCAAATTGATTTGTAGGGAAAGGGTTTGCAACCGGATCTCTCTGATGGAGTGCTGGTTCACAAAATTAATGGTTTTCATTTTCTTTCTTTCTTTTTTTAAACACTAGAACATGCAGGCTTATTCTTTAAGAAGAAGAAAAAAAGGTAAGTATATCTTTCCTGCGCTGGAATATGCAAGATTTCTGGTAAAAATGAAGACACAAAACATTTCTGGATTCCATACATACATACATACATACATACATACATACGAATATCTCAAGGGCTGTCACATAGAAGAAGGAACAAGCTTGCTTTCTCCTGCTCTGGAGGGCTGGACTTGAACCAACAGCTTCAAGTTACAAGAATGACTGCTCCCCACATTAAATGGGGGGCTCCCTTTGCGTGGTCGCGCGCAGCCCCCTGGACCCTATGCAGCACCATTAACACAGGCTTGGCTTCACCTTCCCCAGGTGGGGTACCTGGAGGTCTCCACCTACCTCAGCCAGTTGCCCAATCCCGCCTGGGGAGGTGTTGCCAAGGTGATCAGGCCAGGTAGGGGGAGGGACCACCCTGCCCACACACTAGGGGGAGGATCTTACCTGGGAATCGTGACTAAACATGTGGGAAAACTTTCTGACAGGAAGAGCTGTTCAACAGTGGAACAGTCTCCCTTGGGAGGCTGTGGACCCTCCTTCCCTGGAGGTTTTTAAGCAGAGAATGGATGACCATCTGTCATGGATGCTTTAGCTGAGATTCCTGCATTGCAGGGGGTTGGACTAGATGACCCTTGGGGTCCCTTCCAACTCTACAATTCTATGATTCTATAATTTATAAAAAGATAGAGTTGGGGGGAAATACTTTGTGCAATATTTATTAACATTTCCAAGAAAAATAACTACCTATGAAAGTGTGCCAAGAGTAATAATAATAATAATAATAGGAAAAATAAATTTATAAACAGAAATAATGGAAAGCAATAGCATTTTTTTAAAGCTGGTTTTCAAAGGCAATTCTGCCAAGTAGGCAAAACCTCAATTGTTCAAGCATCATCAGCTGTTTGAAAGACTGGATAATATTTGACCATGATCACATAACATCTGACAAGTTAGTTTGATTGGTGTGTTGGCCAATCGTAACAATGTCTATTGAATACTGCAACTATTTAAATATATTGTACAGAAGATACCTTTGAATAATCCAAGTGAAAAGCAGTCCACAAGTGTGTCTTATCATCACTTTATTACTTCCCAGGCGTGAGTAAATAATTAAAAGTCAACAGAGGCGAGCCACACACGGAAAGACAATATTATGCAATGCTAATGTTAGACATTGTGGGCCATTTTTGTACCATACTCCTCTAGTTCAAAGCTACTGCAGCCATGCTAAAACCTGTTAAGGGCAGACACCCAGTACATCTCTAGTTACCACAAATTTAGACTCTGGAGACTTTCATAATTTAAGATCTTCTGAAATTACGGTTTAGGAAGTCTATACATGGTATCTAACCTAGAAACGTCATGACAAAGCTTTCATTTAAAGACTCCCGGAGTTGAGGACTAAATAAAGAGTTGGCATCTCAGCCTGTAATGAGGAAATAATCTCAGCATTTAAGACATTATAAAGCCGGTCTCCATACTAGTTACTAAATATGTATGTGCCAACTCCTTTCGTCACCATCATATCCTTTCCCCCTTAAGCTTTGCTCTTCACCCGGGCAGTATATACCAAGAGCAGGATTGGAAGTCAGCAGAGATTACTGGATTGAGCCTTGATTGGGATGACTGGATACTTCAATATGTCGGCCAACAAAACGATACACAGCTGTGCAGAGTCACCATATCTCAGCCTCTTGTCTTCTAGTCTAGACAATTCAATACAGAATCAGTTGCGAAGATATTGGTACTGGGAACACAATGCAAATGAAGCTTTCCTCCCCCCCCCCCAAAAGCATAAAGGATTTCAGAAAAGCAGTTTCATTGACCTGTGGCAGCAAAAGCACACTTGCCAAGATCCAGAGGGGACATTCCATGCTCAGAAACTGGGTTGTACACCTGGGGGAGCCATAGTTCAATGGTAGCGCATCTTGCTTTGCATGCAGATGGTCACAGGTTCAAATCCCAGCCATACCTCCTGCACTCCGTTCTGCAGCACTGTTTGGCGCCCCTGCAGTGTGGCACCCAGTGTGACCACACCGGCCTTGTGGGGATGATTGGGCAGATAATTCAGCAAATAAAAGTGTCTTCTGGAGGGGTTGGTGGGGAGTTGATGAGCAGAGTGGGCGGGGGCACAGCCCCCCCGGTATTCCTATATCTACACTGCCCTCATTACAGGAGTTTGTGCATGCATGTTTGGGCCACTGCAAAAGTTGCACCAACCACGCCTGCAAACGTTGTTTGCATTCTGAAAGCAGGAAAAGAGCCAAAGTGATTTTTGATCTCGTAAAGCCACGAGCAGGCGCCTTCAAAGTCCCTGAAATGTCTTGATTACAGTGGACTGAAAGTAAAATAAGAGTCCAACCTAGACAAATCTAGGATTTGCAGCCTGGTACAGGGTATATTTTCATTTTGCTTTCCAGTGCACATCCAAAACTTATATAAAGAGAGGAAAGATAAAAATACCCATGTTGCTATCAATAGCCACCAAGCCATAAGCACTATATCAAGCATGTTTTCCTCTATTTCACACATTGCATAATTAAGTAGCTGGAATGAGTTGGGAATAATGTCCAGAATATTTCATTGGAGAATGTGACACGTGGTGTAGAATTTTAATTCAGAATGTTCCTAGGTTGTTGTTGCTTTGGCTTTCAGACAATATCTTAATTCAAATCACAGGTGAGACACATTAAAAGTCCAATATCAATGGAGCTGATAACAGAAAAACTTCATTTGAGTTGGTTGGGCATATCCACACCACACATGGTATCCTGGGAACTGCGGTTTGCCAAGGGTGCTTGGAATTGTAGCTCTCTCTGGGTGGGTAAACAAGAGTTCCCATAATTCTCTGGGGGAAGCCATGTGCTTTAAATGTATGCCATGCATGTGACCAAATCTGAGTCTTTTCTCATGGCAGAGAATGTTTCTTCCAGTTGAAACTATTTTTTACACGTGTGACTAATCTTCTGCTGCCCCAGTAAGTATAAACAAGAATAAAGATAACATCAACTGTTCATCTCTAAGGTGCTACTGGAAGGAATTTTTTATTTTGTTTCGACTACAGCAGACCAACATGGCTACCTACCTGTAACATCAACTGTTCTGACACAAATTAACAGTATCAGAAGTACTCTTGTTCAGATTGCTGTATGCAAAATCTTATTCTTCCTACACTGGAAGAATGAAGGGCATGTAATTTAAAGTGGAAAAGTTTACACTGTTGACTTGTTCTCTTAAGCCCTCTTGAAGCAGGAGAGGGGTGGGGACCCTTCTTCAGCTGAAGCACCACATTTTTTCTCACAAATAACCTTCTGAGCGTCAGAAGCAAACGGCTGGCAGGGCCAGAGGCCAAGTGGGTGGGATCAGAAGCAAAAGTGGGTGGAACGATGGGGTTGACTCTCACCTTTGCAAAGGAGGTTGCAATCAAGCCACACAAAAGCTAGACGCTTCCACCTGCCTGCCAATCTTGCACCATGGCAAACATGCAAACGTGAATCACTGTCATAGTTTGGGGCGTATTCCATCTTGAATGTGGGCTATGATGAGATCTGAGATCTGGCCAGACGGAACTGGGGGCCACATTTGGCCCATCAGCTACAGGTACCTCAGTCAGTAGAGCATGAGACTCTTAATCTTGGGGTTGTGAGTTTGAGCCCCATGTTGGGCAAAAGATTCCTTTCATTGCAGGGGGTTGGTCCTCATGGTCCCTTGAAGCTCTGTGAAAATTGTGCAAATCCTGATGTAGAAAAAAAGGCAGGAAAAATATGCTCAGCAGTAAAAGGATGATGTGCATGAGGAATGCCGAATCCTGACCCAAACCAATGGCTGCCTCCTCACTGCGCTCTCTCTCCAAGCACTTTATTCGCAGCTGGAATGAGGAAAAGGAGCACCTTGAGACATAGACTGTAGGCAAGTGAGCTGCAGGCAAGGAATGAAGTCCACAATCCCTGAGGCCAGCTAATTATGCTACCAAGTTCTGTCCCCTTTTTGTTTAAAAAGAGCCCTGTTTAAACGAACGGTTCCACTGCCATCACATCTAGCTTGGTCCTCAGACTTAGGACTCAGCTCCATTAGTCAGAAAACAGCGTTTTGAATGCATTATATACGTGCAACACAGGATGGCGCTGAAGAGCAAAAAACATTCTTTGCGATTTTCCATAGTGTTTTTTTTTCTTTTGTTATAAAAATTTAATTTCTGACTTATTTATAGCGTCGTGTCCCCCCGTCCCCCCGTGTGTAGATCCACCCTTAGTGAAGGGACAATTAATGTTGTAAAGAAGTAATATCCAGCCATTCCCAGTAACACACTTACAATGAAAAGCCACCACAAGCTGCAAGTATCGTGTTACAGAAATTTTACTAAAAATTTCTCAGACAAGCATGTACCGGTACTTTATTTAGTTGGTTTTTTTTAGGTCATTTACGCACCACCCTTAATTTGGAAAATCTCGGAACAGTTCTCAAATCCAGAGCAGTTTAGAGGGTAGACACAATGCAAGTAGCAAAACACACACAGAGAGAGACTTTAGCTCCTGGCTATATCTGATAACACAGTGAATTCATCACTGTTATCGGCCTCAGCAGTGGCGAACCTTAGAGCATTTAATCTCCACTTGGTGCCACTCTATTTCATGCATCGATTAGCCAACAATTTGCCTTGCAATAGGCATTTGCCCACAAGGCTCAGTGACTTCAAACTCTGGCTTATAATCAATTACGTCTATTTGCTAGCCTTCCCGCTCAACAGTAAATGGAAAAGATTGCCGCGAATTCATTGGCGTTATTATTGTTGTTGTAGTCACAATTATTATTTTATGTTATGTACCATTAGCCAACTTCCAAATGAATGTAGGTACAGAGGTTAGGGTAGCACGGCTGCTTAAGTGTATAATACTTTGCATGGCTGACAAAAAGAGTCTCATCCTTAGGGACACCGTTCCTTAAAGAGCCGCCCTCTGATTGTCACAAGGGAGGTCCAAGATAAGGGAAGAAGCCAACCTTTTGCATCTTATCTGCGGCCTGACAATGCAACGAAGAGCCCCGGCTCAATCCCAGTCTGCAGTCACCCAAATGAATGATTAGGTTTCAGCCTTACAAGTCACCCAGGATTATTACTGAATCCTGGTTTAAATATATCTGGCTGTCCAGGCGCTCTTGTAAACATATATCCCAAAAGAAGGCAGTTCCACTCCTGTTAGTAATATTATCTCTCAGGGTTGGAGCCTTATTGCAATTCTTTCCACTCTCCAGTAGCCAAGGATTCAGCCTTTTCCAGTGCTACTGCCTGCCCATGAAGTGAGCTGGCTAGCGATCACAAAGTGATTGAAAAGGCGACTGGGACAAGGCACTCAGTGCAAAAACAAAGGCAGTGCCGCAGCCCTAACTTAAGACAACCTGTCTCTTGAGCATTCATTCTGATTGGTTTGCACAGAGTTTGCAGGGAGGTTATACAACATCAGCTGTTTATTGAGCATTTGCCAGTACAGTGGTACCTCGGGTTAGGTACTTGATTCGTTCCGGAGGTCCATTCTTAACCTGAAACTGTTCTTAACCTGAAGCACCACTTTAGCTAATGGGGCCTCCTGCTGCCGCTGCCCCGTTGGAGCACAATTTCTGTTCTCATCCTGAAGCAAAGTTCTTAACCTGAGGTACTATTTCTGGTTAGTGGAGTATGTAACCTGAAGCGTATGTAAACCGAGGTATCACGAGTTCTGTTGTGCAAGAGCACCATGTTCACTTTAATTGCACAAACTGAATTTGCCAGTATGTGGTTGAATACCACCCTCAAATTAGCAACCGTCTGGAAGGACCCACTGTCTGGATTTTTAAGAAGAAGAAGAAGAAGTATGTGTGCATTCTAGCCAGGTTAGCATTGCAGTCAAATGATGGGTGCAGGAACTGCAAAAAGAGAGAGAGAGAGAGCGGGAGAAAGAGGGGAGAAAACACTTTTACGTTGGCCCCAAGGTGGTTGGATGAATAAAGCAAAGGTAAGAGCTTATGCCAGAATGGCTTCATCAGAACCAAACATGTTGCAGAGGAAAATCGAAATGGTGGCGCTCAATGGATTGTGGATGAGGATTACCCAAAAAACCCCAAACATCTGCCCTAGCTTGGCTGCATCAGAGTCAGTCACAACAACAAACAGGCATTTAGTAGCCCAGAGACCTGAGCGTATGAACATGGGCAATTGCCTGCTGCAATGATACACTTACTCTGAAGTCCATACATTAAATTAAACACACTTCTTCTTGGTGGTGATGAGAAGTTCATTCTTCCCTTGTTGGCAATCCTGCCAGCTTTGCTAACAAGGCAAGGGCAGGTCACGGCTGCTCCCATCTCTAATTGCACACCTGCCCTCTCCCTCTGAACGCAGGGGCGGATTTGGGCAATACGGCAACCTGAGCAAGGACAAATTTTGGCACACACACCCAATATGACAAATAGGTTTCGTTATTATTTTGCGCCCCCTTGGCTCGGCGCCCTGTGGGGGGGGGGACGACAGCCTGCACTGCCCTAAATCCGGCACTGCTGGAAGGCTCTACCTCAAAGGTGAAGAAACCTGTGGCCCTTTAGATCCAACTTCTCCCATCAGCCTCAGCCAGCATGGCCCATGGTTAGGAAAGATGGGAGCTGCCAGTCTGGAAGGGCCCACAGGCTCCCATCTTTGCTCTACCTGCTGGAAAAAAAGCCTTCTCTCTTTGGGCAGTGCTGAAAGGAAGCCTGGTTCTAGCTGGGTCACCTAGAGGGAGCGAAAGGTGACCCCAGGAACTCCACCAGGAACTCCAACGGAGGAGCAGCCACCATTTCTGTCTGTTCACTCACACTTTCACACTCTGTCCGGGCAGGGTGATGGGGCCCAATCCCCCAAACAGCACCACCCAGAAGCATGGGCAGAGGCAGGGGTTGGCTGCCCCCACCACCACCACAAAAATCAAGTAAATAAATAAAAATACTTAGAAATTGTAGAAAGATTTTGACAGATTTTTCTGAGCTGCCTTGGGTTCCAAAGAAAGTAATTTGAAACAACTGCTGTTGAGACATTTCCTTCCGAATCTGCTAGACAGAGGAGGGCGACCGATGGGTGTCCTGGCCCCCACCCTAACATAAATCCTGGCTACACTCATGCTCAGAGGGAGAGTGCATGCAAGCAAATCATAGAATTGCAGAATTGCAAGGGGTCCATAAGGGTCATTAAGTCATGCAGGAATCTCAGGCACGGTCTCCCATCCAACTTGGAGCCGCACCGGACCCTGCTTAGCTTTGCAACTGTGCTAGCATCGCTAGGAGAAGAAGGGAAGCTGCTCCTTCCGTGACTCAAACTGCGGAGAGGAGAGAGGCGTCCCGCGTTCCCGATCCCCGCTGTCCTGTCGCTCCCCACTGTCCCGGAGAAAACTCTTTTTCCTTGCTTTGCACGTTGTCCACCCTCCTCCTCCTCCGCGCGCGCCTCAGCACCGCGGCGGACGCTGCTGGGCGAAGCAACAGTTTGGTCTCCGCGCGAAGCCAGAGGCGCTTGAAGAAGGCGACGGCGGCGGCGCTCGAGTTCCTAGCTTCCCACGGGGACCCCGCTTCCACAAGTGGAAAAGGCGCCGAGAGGGGAGCCACAGGCGTGTCAGTCACCCTTCTCTCCCCCCTATTACCTCCGTACCCCACTGCCTGCCCGTCTCCCCTCACGGCAGGGCGCAAGCCCCTCACTCACCACAGCAGCCTGCGCGCGCGCGCCTCAGTTGCCGCCTGCCCGCATGCCCGGCTGGCACCCGCCACGCCGCCCGCTCGCTCGCTCGCTCTCCGGCGCCGGCTCCTTCCCGTCAAGCCGGACGGTGCACGCTCGACGTTTTGGGCGGCTGCGGCCCCCAGAGCCGCCGGCGTGGGCGTGGGCTGCCTCCTTCCCCCACCGAAGGCGGCGCGAGGGCGGGGAAGCCTTGGGCGAGCCGAGGCGCCCTCCGTCGGTCAAGGCTGCCTTCTGGGCCGGCGCTGGGAACGTCGCCGCGCGGTTTCTTTCGCAACCTGCCGCTCTCGGGTCCTTCCCATTGGGCCCTCGGTGGTTTGTTATGGTTTCATTCGCAAGCGGAGGCCTGAGGAACTTGTCGCGGCGCTGCTCCCGAGCGAATGTGGAGCAAGGCGCCAGGGCAGCAGCGGCAACGGGAAAGCCCAGTCGCTGCTGCTTCGCTTCCCTGCCTGCTCCCGCCTCTTTCCTCCTCCTCCTCCTCCTCCTCCTCCTCTCCCAGTCCCTCACAGCCACGAGTGAAAAACTCCTGCTCCTCCTCTACATTTTCTTCTTCTTCTCCCTTCCCCGCACTTCACATGCGTGCATACTCAGTCAAGACTAGCCCCCCAGGGCAAAGGGGGCAGTGCCCCACCGAGACCTGGGCCTGCCCTCACCTTCTTACCTCCAACTGGTCCAGGGATGGCACTTCCTCGGCGTTGGTGTTTCACTTGTGAAATGGGCCTTGGTGAGGATGGGGGCAGAATTCGAATGTGTGCCCATGGCTCTGGCGCCACCTCCTGTAGGGCTTCCTGCCTGGATGGGGCATCTGTCATGGACGCTTTAGCCGAGATTCCTGCATCGCAGGGGGTTGGACTAGATGACCCTCAGGGTCCCTTTCCAACTCTTTAAGATTCTAGGATTCCACCCTACCAGCCCCCACAGCTCAAAAGTTAAGCCCCACGGCTAGGGCATGGGAATTACTTCATGCGACAGAAGGGAGGAGGTACCTTCAGTCCTGTCTTAGCCTCTGGAAATTTGCATGGATGGCAGGTGTGCCTTGCTGCCCCTAATGCAGCAAGATTTGCAGCCATGTGGAAAAGTTATGAACCAGACAGGGGCTGAACTGGCCACCCCGGTGCAATCACCTATGCCCAAAAGGCACTCTGCTCCTTTGCACCTTGCCAGGACTTTGAGGTCATCAGAGGATGCCCTCCCCAGGTGCCACGCTTCTCTGGTGCGCAGTATTTGGGGACCCATGCAATAGTGACACTTGATTCTGGACTGCCCTCCATTCTCAAGTGCAAACAGCAGCAGCGCCCATGCAAGTTTTGCCACTAGGTAAACATGGCTACTCACCCAAGTAGTTGACTAAAGTGATACCCTTCGCTTGGCTGGTGCAGATATTAGTATATTGTCTGTTTTTACATTAAATTGTATGTAAATGAAATGTTGTTTTATTGCAGAGGTGAGGAACCTGAAGCCCTTCCAGATGTTACTTGCACTCCAGCTCCAATGGTATGGCCAATGGTAGCCCAGCAATATCTTTGAGTGCCACAGGTTAGCCACCTTTGTCTTTTTGTGTTATTTTAATGCTGTTTCTCATTCTGGGGGTTGTATGAACAATGAATAACATGTTACAAATAGTGTAAACAGATAAGCAGAGCAGCCATGCCCAGAGGCAGTATGGCTCTGAGTACCAGATGTTGTGGACCAACTACTGGAACACAGAACGTTTCACTAGCTAGACTTTGGTCTGAGCCCTCACACAGCTCCAGTCAATATGATCAGGTACTTGCTACAAGCAACCTCTGCCTGAGACCCTGAGGAGCTGCTGCCAATCAGTGTAAACAATATTGGGCTAGGTGGATAAATAATCCAACTTTGGCCCTGTTCCCCACTGGAACCCTTTTTATTTCTCTGTGTTAGTTCTGTTACATAGAGTTGCCTTGGCAGCTTCCAATGTTCCTAAAGCAATTCTTATGCCTTTCCTCACCCAACCAACACAGCTATCTCCTTTCTTTGAATTTTTACTACCCCCAACTCCCTTTTTAAAAGCCACTTCTGTTTTCTAATTCCTTTCCTGCTTTTTACACAAATTACAGTTTTGGTTCCGAGATAACTCTTACTCCCATAGAGACTCAATGAACGAAGGGAAATGAGCGCACATTCTCAGAAAACTTGCTAAGTGGCTATATTGATGTCTGCCTCCACTGTGGGACAGCTCACAGCATGAGCTAACAGCAAGCTGTCTTGCTGGTTCTTGCAATGGGCAGAATTAAGAGCTGATCTAAGCGCCAGGCATCTTTTTGACTTTGTACCACCACAAAACGTAAAGAGCTGACACGAGACTTTTGGCAGCCTACCTCTCGATTTTCTTTCTGGTTGTTGTTATTGTTACAAGACAGACAGCAATGAACATGACAAGTGTTTTCAGTACAGCATTAATTTCCAGCTCTTCCACAGTATGGCTTGAAACATTAATCTTGCCAATAAGCAGCAAATCAAATCAAATAAAGGAAGATGCTGTGTCTTCGCTTTTCAACAAATTCAATTAGGAAGCACTGAAAGTAAGTATCGGACATTTGAGCTGAAATATTCATGCGCTGGAGTTTCAAAGCAAATATTTATGGAGACCATCCGTAACTTTATCTAAGCAAGAAAACCATGAATGCTAGAAACCTAAATAAATATGAAAGCTGTGCTCTCGCAAAGTTCAGCAAGAAATTTCAGGTCTCGTAAAAGTGTCAGCTTTTCATATCCCACTAATATAGAAGGTCCTTCTCAAGTCCAACATCCAGTGCTTTTTTCTGGGGGTACGCATACCCCTAAACATTTTGTGAATCTTTGTACTTTTGTCCATTTACTGTATTTATTTTTCTCAATTTGAACTATAAACGGTGATTTTCTTGAGTCAAAATGAGAGTATCCCTAAACATTTTTTTAGAAAAAAAGCACTGCCGACGGGCTGCAGGAACATAGAGCCAGCAAGAGAGGTTTCAGCTCCCCATACCTGTGTGCCTCTTTTTGAAGCTAACAACAGACACACCCTATATATGACTAGGCCAGACATGCAGTTAAACAAACACTGATACAACCATCAAGCCCAGTTAGCCCCGTTGTAGACCCAAACAATGACTCGCCCACCTGACCAGTATTTCACAGTGATCTTGCCCTTGCGTTTATTGCTCTTATAAAGTCAGCAAACTGGATTTGATATCTTTGCTGTTAGGTTAATCTGTAGTTGAGTCGTGATAGAATCGTAGAACTTGTAGAGCTGGAGGGGATTGCCAAGGGTCATCTAGTTCAAACCTCTGCAGCAGTGCAGCTTCACCGTACAGCATGTGAAGCTACGGAGAATCAGTTGTGCGTGAGCTGTACCTCTGCAAGATTCACTCTTGCTCGGTTGGCAGCGAGCAATCTTGCCCACACCAGTGTTTTACCTTGCATTATTACATGCTTTACCTCAGAAATGTTTTAAGGCACTAAAGAGAAATGAAACCTCTCCATTTATCTCTTCAGTGGAAGTAGCTTCCAGTAAGTTGGAAAATAATAATAATAATCATAATTTTTTATTCATACTCCACCCATCTGGCTGGGTTTCCCCAGCCACTCCTCAGATACCTTTGTTTGCCATTTGTTGAGGATGTAATGCTGTGGGCAGAGAACCTGCATGTGACTGCTTGGGGGGGGGCTGAAATCCAAGGGGGCCAGAACCATCCCAAGCTATCCACTTAGCAGCAGAAGTCAGTGTCAGTGTCAAACAGGCTCCAATATACACCCAATTCTGGTTGCCACAACATCCTCTTCTTGTTGTTTAAAACATTGTGCAGTCAAGGTATGTCCAACCAAGCATATGCATGATTACAGTTGCTCAATTTTATTATTTTTACTTTTAATATATATTAACCTTTTCTGCAACAAAGTGGTGCTTAATCTCAGCTACGTGTCCATGAAGTTGAAATGAAGGTGCAAACATGGTGTGTGTTTTTTTTGTTAATCTGTATATACACACCACAGGGATGCGGGTGGCGCTGTGGGTTAAACCACAGAGCCTGCCAATCAGAAGGTTGGCGGTTCGAATCCCCACGACGGGGTGAGCTCCTGTTGCTCGGTTCCTGCTCCTAGCAGTTCGAAAGCACATCAAAGTGCAAGTAGATAAATAGGTACCACTCCGGTAGGAAGGTAAACGGCGTTTCCGTGTGCTGCTCTGGTTCGCTAGAAGTGGCTTAGTCATGCTGGCCACATGACCCAGAAGCTGTACGCCAGCTCCCTCGGCCAATAAAGCGAGATGAGCGCTGCAACCCCAGAGTCATCCGCGACTGGACCTAATGGTCAGGGGTCCCTTTACCTTTTTATATACACACCACGAAATAGCAATTGGAATATATACCAAATAGGAATACTCAGGTGGATACTAGCTATGTGTATGAGAACTCAGAATCTACATTGAACTTCAAATCAAGGAGACTCTGTCTTAACACAGACATAGAGGGGGGGAAACCCCTGTGTGCTATGGTACGAAATTGTTCCATTACATATTGTAAAACAGAAGGTCATTTTAGTTATTAAGATGGAAGGGCTGAGAAGACAGCTTCGTTGCCAAGGTTTGTTCAACATTCCATATATAATTTAATTGCCCCTGAGAACTTTGTGGAACTTCAAAAACAGAGCGAAGCCAAATTTAAGTCACTTGGATCAGCCGAATTTATGAGCATGAACTTCACTGAGACTACTTGGCTCAGATTTTAAAAATTAATCTTCAGCATTTCTTAAAATAAAATAAAAAGTAATGCAAGTCCCCACTTGGCGTTGTGGAATCCAAAGACCCTCCCCTTTGAAGAAAAAAAAACTATAGCACAGAGGTTTGATAAAAGTCACACACACCCGGGGGTGAGGGGTAAGCTTCACAACTTTAAAACCTTATACAGCTTGAATTCACATTCATTTTCTCTTTTGCATTTGAAAATGTAATGACAAAATACTAACTAGCTTGTGAGGAGCAGGTAAATAAGCCTAGCTTGCATTGTGGTTTTCTCCATTATCACCTCCAGTCTCATCTGTCAAGTTTGCTTTCAATAAGCACCATTTCAGCCACTTAAAAAAAAATATCATTTTCTCTCCCATTAAGCTGAATAGTGTAGCTCACATTACTTAAAAGCTGTGCAACTGCAAAGCGTTTTTTGCTTGTTTGTTTGGTTCAGCAGGATGAGAGCTTTGGATTATGAATACTTCTCAGTGGAGACAGACTTATTGCAAACTTATCTGCTGTTTGCTTACTATTATAGGCAGGCTGGCAAAAGGCTCATGGATTACACAGTCAACAGGGCCACTTTCATGCCACTCTACATTTCCTGTTGCAACTCTGATGCCACAGCTTTCCTATTTATTTTAATGTTTCTAGCACTCATTGTTTCCATATCTTGCTTGATAAAACTGACAGTAGCAATACCAAAAGCTGGAAGCGAGAGGGTATAATGTAACAATAATTGAAAAGCCATAAGCCACACTGTAACAGGGCTGGATAATATACTCTTTTGGTATGTATACATTTAGAGGTAAGTGGAATGCTCTCCCCAGGGAGGTTTGCCTGGCGCCTTCATTATACTCCTTCAGCCGCCAGGTGAAAACATTCCTCTTCAACCAGGCTTTGGCTAACATCTTAAACCCTTTTAAAATGTGTTTGTGGGTGTGGAGGTTATTGATTTGTGGTGGGGGTTTTTTGGTTATTGCTTTTATCATGTATTTTGTGCTTTTATATTGTGTTTTTATGTTGTGAACTGCCCTGAGATCTGCAGGTGGATGACAGTAAATAATAATAATAATTTAATCATAATCATAATCATAATGTATCTGTTCAGATATTCTGTTCAGAAAAAATTCTTAATAATGGCAACAAAGAGAGGGCTTCGTGTAAATTTATCTCTGAAATTTCATTCTGTTCGTCCCTACCCTGACAACAACCAGTCAGAATTCTGTGGCCACTGAGAATTCTCAGTCATGATTAAGCTGCTGCTCTTTTTCTGAAAGATTTTTGTAGTTCTGCAAACCTGGCATTTTCCTGAGCCTGTCAGAACCTTCCTCTTGTGCACGAATGCTGCGACTCTGGCTACATTACACTATCAGCGTATAGGAAACTTGCTGTCAATATATACAATAGTATCTTGTAGTTAGTTAGTTGATAAGTGGTCCAGCCATAAAGGTAAAGGTAAAGGTATCCCTGCCCGTACGGGCCAGTCGTGTCCGACTCTAGGGTTGCGCGCTCATCTCGCTCAAGAGGCCGGGAGCCAGCGCTGTCCAGAGACACTTCCGGGTCACGTGGCCAGCGTGACTAAGCGGCATCTGGCGAGCCAGCACCAGCGCCGCACGCGGAAACGCAGTTTACCTTCCCGCTATAAAGCGGTACCTATTTATCTACTTGCACTTAGGGGTGCTTTCGAACTGCTAGGTGGGCAGGAACTGGGACCGAACGACGGGAGCTCACGCCGCCGTGGGGATTCGAACCGCCGACCTTGCGATCAGCAAGTCCTAGGCACTGAGGTTTTACCCACAGCGCCACCCGCGTCCCTGGTCCAGCCATACTACATCCCTATAATTATATCTGACAATGACGAAATCTGTGTATGTCTTGCTATATGAGAAATATTCCTGGAGTATTTTCATTTGAAAAACTGGAAGCATCAAGCAGGTTTCCAATTTGAAAAAAGACACAAGAACAACTGAGTGAATTAACAATGTCTATTCTGGAGAAAAGGGCTACTGTGGAAGCAATCAAGTCAGTAGAATACTACATTTTTCCAGTCTTTTACAAATATGTAAGATAAATGGACAGTTATAAGAATATATGATCAATACTGAATCATTTGAAGTCTGAAATTCCTAACTCTGGAGGTTTAGGGTACTCAGACTCTTATGGTTAATGTCTTGGTCCTGAAGATAGCTTTTCCTCTGTCATTAGGCTTAAACCCAGATCATTTATCATTTCCTTTCTGCAGCTGATCCAGTAAAAGGCTTTCAATGAAAAGGCGGGGGGGATGGGACAAGAACTGGACTAGACCAAATGTACTCACAACAAAGAGCGTCATAGAATCGCACTCCATCACTGGAGTGGAAACTTTGCACATTTATAAATACAACCGATTTGGGACACACATGTGGTTGTGTTACACCACCCCATCTAAAGCTACTAAAATGAAACTGTCTAGAATTAAATAAGTGGCAGAATGACACCACCCACCCAATCTTGCTACTTGGTTATAACACTCACCTGTACTGCTCACCTCACTAAGACCATGAACCGGTACATTAAGTTTGTTGTGTGTCTCCCCCACCCACCCAAGATGGAAAATGACAGCATCCCTTTCTGGTGTAGCAGCAAACTAGGAAAGTTGGTTTGCAGAGTTCAAAGCGGTCTTGCCTCTCCCCTCCACTGCATCTTAGGCCACAGTTAGGGCTAGTTCTCAGATTTCTTGCTGCTACAGAGTGCTGAGTCATTTCCATCATTTCAATTAAACTAACGACTTTCATTCCCTCAACCTTTGAAGATGATTCATAGTAGGACTGCAACACATTTCTCCACAGTGGCTTCCAGCTATCAAAAGCATATTCCATGTGGAAATTCACAGCATTTTCATTGTGCACTGGGGACAGCATTTATTATTATTATTATTCCTCCTAGTTTTTAAAGGAAGACACGCAATGCTAACACTAAATTAGATTTTTCTTGGGGGTAGGAAAAAAATTATATACTCTTCTTTGCTAGATTAACCTGCACTCACACTTGCCCAGATTTCATAAAACAGAATCATGTTAATTATTCAATAGTGTGTGTACTCATTATCCTAAGTCACCATAGACAATATTTACATTGGAGGGCAGGGATACAAGTTTATAAAACACAGTAACAGATCAACCCATCACCCAAACATTATAAAACATAATATTTCCCTGAAGAACATACCAATAATTCCGTCTTAGAAGTCTCTGGACTGCAATTCCTAGAAATTATAGTTTGGAAATAATCTGAATAAAAGCAATTGCAAAATTGTTGATTTTTCTTAGATGTGATCCAGACCAATATAGCTAGAAATTACTGAGTTCAACTCTTCTCCCAGATTAATGTAAAGAGTTAAGTAGCAAGATTGGTCAGTATGATGAAACATGCTCTCAGCTTACCCCCTAGTTTAGGTTATAACTACTCTTTTGAACCAGAGTCATGTTTCTAGCACGCCCTCCTCTGTCTATTAAATAAGGCATAAGGCGCTCTAAGTGCTTTGTAGAAAAGCACTCAAAAACCGATCAGGTCAATGAGATTTTCAGCTTATTAATTGCCTTTGCACTTTCTCCAATGTTACTTTGCCATTTAGGTAAGTTACGATCCTCCAAAATACATTCGAAATTAACTTGGAACATTTCATTTCCCTCCTGAGTCACTGCTTTTATATAACGGTGCATAGTACTTGACAAATCTTCCATTGTTTTCGAATCAAAAGTCTTGGTTCCAATTTTTGCATTTCTTTTTAAGGGCAGTTTCCTTCATTTATTCTAAGGGCAGTGGCATGTTTATTTACCTGTTTAAATTACTTCTAAGATACAACTGAAATCTTCTTTTATCCTTCAGTTCTGATTTATCTTATCTAGTTCATATATTTTATCTTCCATTATTTTACCTGCTGCTGGAGAACCAGGTAGATTATGCCTTCATTTAAGATCCTAATAGTTTTTATTTTTCATGCTGTTTATAATTGCAACTTCACTACTAATTGCTGCAACCCCCTTGTAACAGATTTCATTGTAGTCCCATACCACTGTTGCCTTTAAGGTAGTATAGTAGTGGATTGTCTCTTCCATGTTCTTGCAAAGTAACTTAAAATTAAATCTCCAATTGGGGTGTCATATGGAGACTGAAAATACAGAATTGTGCTGTCATGAGGCATGTACTAATATTTTGTATACCCTGGATGCAGACTGGGCACACAAAAAGGTTTATAGAGGAAGAAACATAACTTATTTTAGAAAAGGAGCTGTGAGTGCTGCATCGAAGGTATACTACTAATGATTTGGACTGGGAGCCCTCGTATGGATATCTGCCAAATCAAAGCAGCAGTTTTGTAAAAATAAAATAAAATAATAATAATAATAATAATAATAAATAAATAAAATTGTAAACATTTCAGCAAACTACCATTCCTCATTAGGACTGGGCAATATATTGATACCTATATCATCCAAAACTGGTTTGAAGTCCATTATCGTTATATCAGTTTCATAATTTTTGACCTAGCAATATATATCTCAAATCATGGTGTGTGTGTGTGATGCAAAAATCACAATGAGGGAAAAACCATGAAGCCAGCCAATGTTTCTTTCAATTTTCCCATTAACTCTTGTTGGTTCAGCTCTCCCCTGGCTCCTACTGGGGGCAGCGAATCATAAAAGCAGGTGCCAGCAAAAATCACAATGCGGGGAAAACCATGAAGCCAGCCAATGCCTTTACATAGCTCCATCCTTATTTCAGACATTGTTTATATGGAGTTGTTTAACTGGTGAAAAAGCACGACGTTGAAAACCAGATATGGCCCAGCCCTATTCCTCATTCATGGTTAGTCTGCATGTGGTCTCCAACCACCTTTAAATCACCTCCCGTTAATATTAGCAATTTTTGTCAAGGTCTTTCTGAGAAAGTCCCATTGTGTTACATTGGGGCTCTATACCACAGCTATTGTGATGTGCTTTCCCCCATAAACCCTTGATAGTGACAGGTACCTGTAGGGGTGCCAATAACTATATGGCACTTAAAAGGGGAAATGACAGTATAATATGATTGCTATCCCATGAGACTTTTAAATGCCAGATGCAGAAAAGTGAAATCCTAATTGTTTTTGTTTCGATGAACATTGCCAACAGTTAACACGGCAAATTTCCTGAAGGCAGATCATGCTAGGTTCTTTCCTTATGTACTGGGCAATAGGATCTCTCTTGGCTGGGTTTCCTAGACCTTTCATTTTCCAATAAACCCGTTTTCAGTCGCTCTATCCACTGTCATTATTGGGAGTTGAACTGAGCTCGAACATAATAAAATCTACAAGAGTTCACTGCCTGATATATAGCAAACTTAGAACAAACACCCACCCATGTAACAAACAAAACGGAAAAGCTATTTTGCTCCAAAAGATACCAAGGGCTATCACACCTCTTGCAAGCATCTGGCTAAGCATAGGCTAAGCTAGGCTAAGATCAGCAGGTCCTGATCTTTCCACAAAGCCAGTCCCACCTGCTATGCAAGTCCGACTCTCAGATATTAGCACGTGAGAATTATCATCAATACATGTGTCGTTTTCACTTCAATAAAAGGTTTTATGTAATGGGAAGGTCCTTGCATTCAGGGTTTCCTAAACTAATTTTCTCGAAACAGCTTTTTAAGCTCGTTGCCTTTTAAAACTTTTAGCAAAAGCACGGGTTGTTTTGGAAAAATCTGGTACGAAACCTGGTTATTATTCACCTCACTCCGAACTGTCATTCCACTCTACCTAATTCAAAGGGCTATTTAATGGGGGTGGCCTAAGGAAAAGAAAAGAAAAATTCACCCCCTGCCACCAAACGGATAACAAAGAAAAGGGCCCCAATTTGGCTGGTTTGCTTGCCTCCCTTCCTTCTTAGGGTGCAGGCTGTAGCCTGTGCTGTTGGCTCCCCCTCTTTTGAATTTACTGCTAGGAGTCACACAACCTGCCTTGACTTGCCATTGTTTCTACTGCAGATGCCAGGAAAGACTTGGGTCTCTAATACCAGCTTTGAGGGTTTATAATTGCCTTAAAGTTCAAGCGGCTCACCCAAAGTTCCACCCTCCTTCTCAATCCCGCATTGTCCTCACCTGCACTACTGCTTTATACCTGGTGGCCAGTGGTTACAAGCAGACAGTGAGAGGTGAAGAAAGGCTGGGTAGATCTTGATAGGAGGCAAAGCCCCCTAGGCCTTCCTGGCTGAGAGGGTCCTGGTGGGGCTCTATCATCCGCCGGTGGTTTTAGGGTGCAGCCTCTTTTCTGCTTCGGAAGCCAATGAAGAGCGAACAGGCCTCCCATTGCAATGGATTTGTAAAGGATTTGCAGGCAAGTTTCATCTCCTGGCCAATGTAAAGAATTGCAGCCTCATTTAGATGCAAGGGGACAATAGGGATGACACACACAATGATTGATTCTTTGTTTGTTTTAAAGGGGGGGGGGATGCACACCTGGCTGAGTGAACCTCAAATGACCAAACAGATTTTTAGATCAATTTCATGAAACAAAATCCAGAAAGAAGAGAAAGCATAATGGTACAAGTTTTGCATAGGTTTAAAGGGAAAACCTACATTTGTAATTCCAAAAAAAGAAACCTTAAAAATGAATCTCCCGAATGGTACTGTCACCAAGAACCGCAATATTCTGTGTTCTTTTAGGAGGTGAGTTTCATTTAAATATTTTAATATAAAAATACCTAGAAAGCAGGTTGCAAATCAAGAAGTGACCAAATGATAACCGATTCTCTGAAGTTCATTGACCACGACTTGCAAGATGATCTATTTACAACTGAAGCAAGAAATGGGCATCAGCTGTTGATGAAATGCTAGCTCAAGATGTACAGTTTTTGAGCTTTCCAACTGTGGACTGCAGGACGACTCCACCACTTCTCTTTATAAAGTTGTAGTCGTTGGTTCGTAGAGGGGGGAAAGAACCACATGGCGGTGGTTCTACTGCAGTTCAGGAGGCTCAGCTTTTCCCAGCAGTTACCTCCACGTGTGCAAAAAATTATGCCAGCACCACCCATCTTCAGTTAATAAGTATCAAGTTGTCATCGCTTTTCCGTCTGCAGAAAGAAGAAGTTCACCGTTTCAGATGGATAATAATGAAAAGACAAGATAAAGCGCTAAAATCTGTAGCTGCAGCTGTTTTCTGCGCTTCCAACCTCCTCAGTTATCAGTTCCTGGCAATGATGAGTCCCAAGCTCTGCTATCATCAGTCCCTTTTCATATATTTACAGCTCTCTTTGGATGTTCCCTACATCCAGAGTTCATGAAAAGAGGCAAGAGGGTCTCACAACACATTCCAGATGTTCAGCAGGAATCGCAGGTGGAACATCGGAAAGTTGCCAGTCAGGCCATCGGTCTATGTAGCATGGAGTAGTCTGCATCAAGTAGCAGCAGCCCCAGACTAGGTTACCTGCCAGCAACTAAACCTGCATACAAGGCAGATCCTCTCCCATTGAGCCACAGCCCTTCTGTTATGTACTAAGCTTGGATCCTAGAACAATAGGCAAGTAGGATCCTGGAATACAACAACTGATTGGCTTGCAGGAAAAGACCAGTCAGCCTCCAGGAGGAAGTTAACCAGCCTATTAGGCTGGTAGGATCGTAGAATGCAACAACTGATTGGCCTGCAGGAAAAGAGCAATCAGGCTCCAGGAGGGAAGCAGAATCAGCCAGTCAGACGGGACTCATTGTGTAAATAATGTATATAAAAGCCTGAGGTTTGGGGGGCAATTCAATCACTGTTTTACAAGCTGCAACAAAGAGCATGAAATCACTACAGGACTCCAAGTATATTTCACCTTCCCTGCTATGCACCTACTATGAGGAGCCAAAGACTGGCACGACACCTTGGTGTAAAGAGAGACAGCCAGCAAAGACTGAATACTGGACAACATGCATCTCCAGGGGGCATTTGTGTGCCCTCTATTTTAGTTCAAGGCTAGCGCATACATGTTCGGTGTCAGCAAACGACTGCTATGCTCGAGAGAGAGAGATGCAAGGAGAGAAGTAGGGCAGGAAAACAAGTCCGGTGTGCTCTGCCCTTAACCTCAAGCTGTCCTTGGACAATAAGTACAGGACGTGTCCATATGCGGCTATTTAAAAAGTTATCCAAAATGGTCGAATATTGCTTCAGTATTGATAAGCATTTCCATTCTTTTTTTTAAAAAAAGAAAACTAGTCTTTAGGCAAGCTTCCTCAACCTCGGCCCTCCAGATGTTTTTGGCCTACAACTCCCATGATCCCTAGCTAGCAGGACCAGTGGTCAGGGATAATGGGAATTGTTGTCTCAAAACATCTGGAGGGCCGGGGTTGAGGAAGCCTGTCTTTAGGGATATTGAAGGGGCTATTTTAAATGTGGCATTTTTCAGCTGCCGTTTGGAAGTCTTGCTTGATGGAGGCAAGTTGTAAATATTAATACTCAAGACTAAAAGACTTTAGAAGAAGAAAAACTGGTTAGTTCCATATGTGAAATCCAGCACTTACTTCCATTCAACCCTTCTGCTGCTTGGTCCTAGTTGCTCCTGGAGCCCCAGTGCTAGAGCAATAGTAGATGCCACACCACTCTTAAATTTCAGGGTCTTGGGTTTTGAGCCCTATGTTGGGCAAAAAGATTCCTGCATTGCAGGGGGTTGGACTGGATGACCTTCATGGTCCTCTCCGGCTCTATGATTCTGAATAAATGTAACTGAAAACAATCCTTTTTTTTCCTATGCAATCACTAAGAGAGGTATTCTGGACAATACACCTCACAACCTGTTAGCTTCCTGGTGGGCAGCCATGTCCTTAGCACAGTTGCTCCACAAGAGGAGAGATTTGCATGTGATCCCTTTCTTACCCTCCATTGCTAGAAGAAGCCACTTCCAAATAGTTTTATTACTTATTATAAATATTTATCTACCGCTATACCAGCCAAACCTATCAAAACAGTTTGTAACAGTGAGATAAAACAATACAAAAAAAGTTGAAAAAACAACAAGGTTCAAAACAAAGACCACTAACCCACTGTGGAGAATGTACTCTTCTGTCATGGAGACTTTAGCTGCGATCCCTGAATTGCAGGTGGTTTGACAACATGACCCTTATGGCTCCCTTCCAACTCGTATGATTCTTAACTGCTTGCATAAGCTTGGAGGAATTTAAAGTTTCCAGCAGGTGTTTAAAAGCTGGCATAGAAGGTACAACAGCAGAAAAGCCAGGTGGATACCTTAACCTGAAAGCTCTTTACAAAGAACTCTTTACAAAGAATGTATTTTTCGCTCCATAAGACGCACCTAGTTTTCAGAGGAGGAAAACAAGAAAAAAAATATTCTGAATCAAATGTTGTTGAAGAGGAAGGAGGAGGGAGGATCAAGCTAAGGCATCACAACAAGAGGAGCTGTGCAGCTCTCCCTCTTGCTGTGCTGGCTTCAGCAGAGCAGTGCAAAGCCTCTTCAGCGAAGCGGGAGGAGGAACGCTCCGACTTCGCTGAAGAGGCTTTGCGCAGCTATCCCTGAAGCCAGAACAGCAAGAGGGATTGCTGCGCAGCTCTCCCTCTTGCTGTTCTGGCTTCAGCGATAGCTGTGCAGCCTGCATTCGCTCCATAAGACGCACACACATTTCCCCTTACTTTTTAGGAGGAAAAAAGTGTGTTTTATAGAGAGAAAAATACGGTATGCAGAATTTAAAGGAATCTGAAGAAACAACACACTGACCTCTTGCAGCAGCAGAAACTCCTGAACGTTTGTGGCTCTGTGCTGTATTCTTCACTGTTACATTCTTTTAGGAATTCTTGTAGGTCTGTGTCTGGGAAACCAATCAGTTGGTATTTCTGAAACAGGAGTTGGAGGGAGGGGGGACAATCTGTTTAGGAAGCCACTCTCCGTTTCATACTGCTCTCCCGACTCTGTATATCACAGGTGGAGAGGAATGGGTGAAGTCACAGCAGAAGCTTGCAAGGCTAAACCAAGTTGTAGGGTTGCGATCAATTTTTTTTTCTTTTTATAGTGCACGCTGTAAGGAGGGAGATAAAAATGCTCTCCCCTTTGCATCCTCTTATTCTAAATAGAACAAGCTCAACCTGCAACATCAGTACAAAACCACTAATGTTCTTATGCATGGGCTTGACAAAATATCAAACAATTTGCTGTTCCTGCTCCCTATATCCTTTCCAAGACACACTCTGCCAGGCTACTTTAGTACAGGGTTTTCAATACTACTGTTCAAAACAACCAGGGCAGGGAAGACAGCGGTATCTTCTGGCTTTCAGTGTCTTTTGAGGCTGTGCAGCCAAAACAGGACTGCCCAGGCCCATGCAGAGGTGGGGGGGCAGCCGAGTACATTTGCCCTGGGCCACAGAGGGGTAAGCCGGCCGGGGGGCTCCCGTCAGGGACAAACCACTTTTTTTGTTTGCGTTTATAACTTTATTCCAACCCTGGCCTCAGATAAACTCTACATGGGCCTGGGACTGCCTTTACCTGCTTCCCGCCCTGTGGAACGCCCTCCCACCAGATGTCAAAGAGAAAAACAACTACCAGACTTTTAGAAGACATCTGAAGGCAGCCCTGTTTAGGGAAGCTTTTAATGTTTAATAGGTTATTGCATTTTGGTGTTCTGTTGGAAGCCACCTAGAGTGGCTAGGGAAACCCAGTCAGATGGACGGGGTAAAAATAATATATTATTATTATTATTATTATTATTATTATTATTATTATTCCTGCCTTATTATTACAGCAAAAGTTGGAAGAGCTGAAGTTTCATATTCTATGTGGAGAAATAGCTGTCAAATAGCTTAATAAAATGGAACATTAGCATTCCCAAAAATAGAGAAACCTTAGTTTTGCAACTTACTACAGACAGAGATTGGAAGGTTCCATCACCGTCACATATGGTGCATGCCAGGGCAAGTGAGTGAAATTGAGAGGAAGCCAATTTTCATGCCCCTTTTAACAAACTCTACCCACCCAGTCTACACAGTTACATACTTTTAAGGAGCAACAACAAAAGTTAGTAAACGTTATTGAAGTCCAGCTCACCATCTGGGAACTTCTTGTTACTTTTTGAGCTATAGCTCATCTCTCTTGATAAACACAGACTCAACAAATTTACCTTTATTGTATCATATGCATCCGTAATAAGGGCAATGAAAAGGCTGAGGATCATGTATATGAAGAGGCTAATGAAGGAAAACAAGTAGAGTCGGCTGAAGAGCCACACCAAAGTACTCTTTTGCTGGATTTGAGCAAATGTCGCGAACATGTCATCGCCGTTGACCAAAGAAAACAGACACTCGGCTACCGTGTTCAGGTCTTCAAACTAGAATGCATGAAAAACTGGCATTAGAGACAACTGCACTTGAAAGAATCAAAGGCTCGCTTTATAAAATCTTTCTTTAAAACCACTATAAATTGACGTGCACAGGCCTAAATATCATTCATACCTCTTAAGTCTGAACTGAAAAGCCAAATGCCATCATATAAACGGTGTAAAAAATAAAATCTTTGTTCAGAAACCGCCTACTGAGTTAGAAAATAGTGCTAGGACTCTGCATAATGCACGTGCAAAGTCTTATAAAGAACAATGCGTCTTTTCTGTCAGCAATTTCAGCAAGATCAAATTTAAACTGCTGTTTGAAGGTATTTTGGACCAAAGAAGAGGATGAAAACGCTTGAACTTCTGACCCAACTACCAAGACCGGTCTTCTTTCAGTGAAGAGATCATGTTCACAGTCAATGGGCAACTGTGATACAAGACTGCCCTCTTGTGAGAAACCTGAGGGTGAGCCACAGACAAAAAGCCCTAGTAGTTTTCTGTTCCTTCCTGAGCAAACTTCGTTATTTCCTTCGATTTTCTTTTCCAGTAAAGAGGTTTGCTTAACAAAACCAAGTGTTGCGAGTTATTTGGACTCCAAGACATACACGCTTCATTCAGAATGCAGAGTGAAGCATGCATATACAAATAAGTATCTTGAATGCAGAGTAAAGGTAAAGGGACCCCTGACCGTTAGGTCCAGTCATGGCCGACTCTGGGGTTGCGGCGCTCATCTCGCTTTATTGGCCGAGGGAGCCAGCGTACAGCTTCCGGGTCATGTGGCCAGCTTGACTAAGCCGCTTCTGGCGAACCGGAGCGGCGCACGGAAACACCGTTTACCTTCCTGCCGGAGCGGTACCTAGTATTTATCTACTTGCACTTTGACGTGCTTTCAAACTGCTAGGTTGGCAGCAGGAGGGACCAAGCAACGGGAGCTCACCCCGTTGCGGGGATTCGAACCGCTAACCTTCTGATCGGCAAGTCCTAGGCTCTGTGGTTTAACCCACAGCACCACCCACGTCCCAGAGTATGCACAGCTTAATTTTTTTTAGCGGGCTTTGAGAACTGTGCTTCAGCCACACCTGGAGAGCACTGTGTTTGCTTACATGTAGTTTTTACATTATCCCAGTTACACAAACTGAGACACCCACATACCTTGTCGTGGTATGGTCCTAAAACGATCCAGCCACAAAAAGTATATCCGAGGTATATCATCCCAGCACAGCAACAGAACCTTAGCACTTTGGGCAACGATGCTTGCATTGTTAAAATGAGCACCTATGAAAAGAGGAGAGTGTTACTTTCTTTTCTTGGAAGAAAGGCGGAATCTAATCCATCATTGTACCCACGGTTGTAAACATGTTTTTCCCAGGTAGTCTCCCATCCAGACATTGACCAGACCCAGACCTGCTTGTCTGAAGTAAGGTGGTGTTCTCACACGCATTAAAAGAAAGGAAAACTCCACTACGGAATTTTTTTACTCTAGTGCTTACATTATAGGTCTGGAAGTAGCCTAAGTACCGAATGACTCCAACCCAAACGAATAAAGTAGACGTGCCAAGCAAAATACTGCAGACATCATAGCTTGTAAGATTCTGGAAGAAAACAAAGGAAAACAAGATTTTGCACAGTTGATTCCTCCAATACCTCAAAAGCATGGCTTGGCAATTTAGGATTCCCACAGCAGCTGCTCGAGAACAGGCCAAAATATTTGTGACTGGTTTTTTGGGGTTTTTTAAGGCTCACCTTGGCTTTTATTTCCATTTTCATGATGGAGCCTATGATAGTCATCACATCACTGATAATCACCAGGACGTACCACCCGTTTAAGAACTCCAGGCGGTCTGCGTTGCACACGTGGCGATTATATCGCTCCAGGAAGAAATTCACAAATCTCTGTTTTTAAGCGTTGAGAAGAACGATTAGAAAACTCCCACTCTTTCAGAGCAGAAAACCTATTTACTTCACGTTACTAGAGTCCACCAAGTGACTATAACAGGTATTGCACTAAATTATAGAGTGGTTTTGTTTCACGACTATGGATGGCCACCAGAAGATTGCGAAAGATAACTAAATTTTATATTTGCCATAAATGTGTGGGCAATAATTCCTTTACACAGCACATGGCCCCTTACTGGTCTTGTTGTCTAGTCTAGCATACTGTTCTTACAGTGGCCAACCAGATTCCTTAAGCCCAGAAGCAGGGCATGAGTCCAGCAGCAGTACTCCAATTCTGTTCTAAACTCCCCAGTTGAAATATACTCTGAGTCGAGAGTGGATTTCATGCTCTTTATTCAGCTCACAGTGGTGAGGAGGAATGGAAGTTCCCCCAGAATGTCTGCTTTACAGTGGTGCCCCGCAAGACGAATGCCTCGCAAGACGAAAAACTCGCTAGACGAAAGGGTTTTTCGGTTTTGCGTTGCTTCGCTAGACGAATTTCCCTATGGGCTTGCTTCGCAAGACGAAACGTCTTGCGCTTTTTTCTTAAAGCCGCTTGAAGAGGCGCAGTTGCGACGGACCGTGCTTCGCAAGACGAAAAACATCGCAAGACGAAAAGACTCGTGGAACGAATTATTTTCGTCTTGCGAGGCACCACTGTATATACATTATTTACACAATAGGCTCCACGTGATTGGCTAATTCCAGGATTCTCCTGTAGGCCAATCAGGTTGCAGATTCACTTCCACCTGGAGCTGGATTGGATGGCTCCTGCGGACCAATCAGACAGCTGCATTCTAGATCCTATTGTTCTAGGACCAGACTGCTGCATTCTGGATCCTATTGTTCGAGGACCAATCAGACTGCTGCATTCTGAATCCTATTGTTCTAGGACCAATCAGACTGCTGCATTTTGGATCCTATTCAACTCAGTACATAACACCAATTCTGTTCTAATCAACTATTATTCAAAGGTATGGTGCCTCTGACAATGGATGACAGCCTTATCCTCCATGTTGCTTGAGAGACAAATCCAAAATTGCCAATAGTACAGCCACCATAGAGAACTCCTGACTAAGCTACAAGGCAGATAATGCCAGACAAATTGTTCTTACTTTATTTCTTGTAGGTTCAGCCCATCCTTCCTGTTTTAGGATAGTTTTTTGTTGTTGTTTTTTAAGCCAAGCACACATCTACCACAAAGACAAAGGTATGCTTACTTTTTGCAGTTTCAGAGCAAGAACGATGGATCGCGTGCAGAGGATAAGGGAAGCGATGCAGATGACAATGACAGCCCCATCAAAAACCAAAAGATACTGTGTGTTTTTCTGAACTATTAGAGGAGATTAAAAAAATGCAAAATTTAATCAGCATAGGGGTGCTCAAGTAATTTAGAGAGAAAGTCTAAATTACATTCCCTTTTCTTCCAGTAAGTCTTAAATGAAACAGAGGGCTGAGAAGCAAAAGAATGAACAGGAAAAAGTTATTGCACATCTGTAGGTAGACCACCTCTTCCAAAAAGCAAAAGTATTTGTATTCAACTCTAGCTACACTTTGATTTGCAACAAGGGTGGATAAAAATTAATGATTTATTTTTTTAAAAAAAATCAGGATTTTTTATTTAAATCGGATTTTTTAAAATTTAAATTGGGTTTTTAAAATAAAATGCTTTTGGAGGGAAAATCTTTCTAAAGATAGTTTTCTATTTAAGTTACATTATACAGTGGTACCACGGGATGCGAACGGGATCCGTTCCGGAGCCCCGTTCGTATCCCGAATGGAACACAAGATGCGACGGCACATCTGCACGTGCACGGGTCGCGTTTCGCCGCTTCCGCACATGCACATGATGTCATTTTGAACGTCTGCGCATGAGCGAGCGGCGAACCCCGGAAGTAACGCACTCCAATATTTCCGGGTTGCCACAGAGCGCAACTTGAACGCGCTCAACCCGAAGCACATTCAACTCGAGGTATGACTGTAGTTCAAAAACTATTTATCAGGAAATAAGAATTGTTTTTCATGTGTGCTAAAACTCTGTAAGTTTTTTTTTAAAAAAATTGTTTAACCACATCAGTTAACAAACATGGATACATATGCCACAATGTTATTGTTTTAGTTAAACAAATTGTTAAAATTGTTATTAAGGAAATTATTGATTTTCCCCTTCCAATATAGTACAGTGGAACCTCAGGTCGTGAACGTGATCCATGCAGGAGGCACATTGGCAAGCCGCAAGGTCAGCAACCTGCAGCGCCCGTCTGCGCATGTGCAGGTCGCAATTTGGCGCTTCTGCGCATTCACAAAGCGCGATTTAGCTTTTCTGTGCATGCGTGAGCGCCGAAACCCAGAAGTAACCTGTTCAGGTAGTTCCGGGTTCGGCACGGTGCGCAACCTGAAAACAAACAACCTGAAGCGTCTGCAACCCGAGGTACCACTGTACAACAGAAAAGTTGTCCAAATATAAACAGTTAACTTATTAAACCGCACAATAATTTCATAATTATCTGTCTATGTATTTCTAATAGTATAACCAAATCAGTAATTTTTTATATAACTGTAAAAACTACTCTGAAAATTTATTATTCTAAAAATGAAACCTTCACCTGGTTGTAAATATTAAGATTATACCAGCAAGAATAAGTCTTTCTGCAAGTGATTTAAATCAAGTCTTACTGACTAGTGATTTAAATCATGATCCACCCTGTTTGCAACCTGCATCCAAACAAAATATTCTTTTAACGCCTCCCCCTCTACTGCACTACCTCAATTTCAGATGGTCAGGGCTGATGCTTCTGTAGCCAAAAGCATAAGACAGAGGTATCAGAGCAAGCTTAAGTTTGTAGACCCAGCAAGGACTAAGCCTCTGCAGAGTATATTCCCATTACAGACCCAGAATTTTAAACAGGTCGCTCTACCACCACCAGCTTTTTTTAATTTCACATAGTTTTAAAGGTAAAAAATAGTAATTATGATCTGCTGTCCAGGTAAGAGGTGGTGCATTTTGCTTTCGGAACAGTTAAACCAATTTTGCTACAAAATTAGTTAGGATTAGCCCACCATTGCTGGGCTAATACAGTGTTTGAGAGCATACTTGCATAGCAAACTAACTCCATATGCCCCACTGGCACAGACAGGCTAACAGGATCACCTTTGCTAGCTGCATCACAATGTCGCTGAACAAGCCTGTCCCTGTGTAAAAACTGCTACTTGCAAGAAAGTTAGCTCTGCAAATTGCCACAGTGCCACCAGCCCCTTCGCCAACTCATCAGCGAGACACACACGAAAATCCCAGGCTTCTTTGTGTTCATCTTCGAACATGGATATAGTTCTCTCACACAGAGATACTTACGAGAGCCAGTTATGTTCCAGTCTTTACATTCTTCAATATCAGCATCCGTATCAAAAAATATTTTCATTTTACCACTGTGGGCTTTATTGTTAAAAGTAATCTGTTGAGATAAATGTTGTTGTTTTTAATTTACTTGCTTGAAGCAATACAACATCGGTGTGCATTACTCACACACAGTGCTTTTTTTTTTCCCAGAAAAAGAGGTGCCAGAGCTCACCATGAACTTCTCCCTTGTTCTCTTAGAAGGGCAATGGTGCCCACATGAGATGTGTCGGAACGGCACTTCTGGAAAAAAAGGCCCTGCTCACATGTATCAACTTTTACACATCTGAAAATTTTAAAATCAATATACTTTGTGGGCAAACACACAGACAGACATGCACCTTCCAAAGGCCTGACAATCATGTCGTCTCAAACCTACTGTGGCCAGAAGACAGAACCAGCCATTAATACCCTGCAGATTGGGAACTATAAATTGGATGCTAGGTTAGACCTCCTGTCCACCAAACAAGGCAGAGCATACGTGTAACACACACACACACACACACACACACACACTGCTTTCCCAAGGGGTTTGGATAGAAGTAAGAATTGAACTGGGATCTTTTTAAACAAACATGATTTCACATGGTGTCTCCAAAGAACCACCATCCAATTTAAAGACTGCGCACTAATTATTTTTTTTTAATCGCACATCCAATGCTTGCCAATGGCACATAAGCACCGATCCAAGGCACATATACTATGTAAAAAGAAAAAAATTGAGGATCCATGTGGGTAACAACAAGGCACAGAACACATCTGTGGACACGTAATCTATAAATTTGATGGCAACCCTTGTAAATAGAATGGTGATCTGTAAGGATCCATGTCATTCATTCATTCATACATACACATTACACACACACACACACACACACACACACACACACACACACTCTCTTTGGCAGCGCTGGAAAACACCACATGTGCTATTTTTTTGAAGTGACATTACAAAATAATTTTTTACATATTTTTTTTTGGTACATGTCTAATAGGGTCCCTTTCGAAAACAGAGGATGCTGGCAATAAAGCTAAAAGTTGTTCATTTCTTAACAGGTGTAATAGAAAAATACAGACAGAACCTTTCAGACACTCTGTGCCCAATTACGGCAAATATGCATTTGGAATAAGGACTAAAACTGAATGCGACAATATTTACAACAAGAAATGGGTAGAAGTGTTCTCATCCAATATTATATCACAAGGTTGGTGTAAATATCAGTGATTTTTACTGTTCTGTCAATGGAAACAATTGCAACCTGTGATTTGACAGTGGCTAAGGGAAATGTGTGAGGAGGGGGAATTATGCACTTTATGTTACAAATGTTTCATTGGATCCAGTGTGTGCATGTTCTTTCTTTCCCTCGCCCCACCCTGATTCTTCTGGAATTCAAATTCCTACCCACCCATCTCCTTTTTCAGTGTCCCATATTGCTCCCCTTTACCTCCTGTCCATAGCTGTCAACTTTTCCCTTTTCTTGAGAGGAATCCTATTCGGAATAAGGGAAATTCCCTTTAAAAAAGGGAAAAGTTCACAGCTATGCTCCTGTCCTCTTGGCCACTCTTTGCTGATCCAAACCTGGAGCTAAAGAGGAAGTGTAGAATACTGCCACTCTACCAACTTCCTCCTTCAGCTCTATGTACTTTTGAAGGTGGGGGCGGGGAGCCTATGGAACTGAAAAGGAACTGAAGCCCATCGTAAGTAATTTAAGAGACAGGATCCCATTGTCTATGTGTATAATAACAAGAACAGCACTTACAGTATTTTCAAACTCATAGCAGTCAGGCAGTTCACGAGAATGGATGGTTTGTAGATCAATGCCTTTCAGTTTGAATGAAATTATCACTTGTATCAGCCTGGGTGCAAGAAGATACTGTATTATGTTAGGTTCCCCCCGCTTCTTTAGAAACACAAATAAAACTGGTGTCCCCAAACCGCACTTTACCTATAAAACTCAAAGTTGAAAAAAGACGAATTCTTAAAGTGGCCCGTTTCGTCGTGTGGTTTCATAACAATGCATTCTGGAAGTGAAAGGAAAATCCAAAAGACATAAATGCATTTCTAATTGTACCACAAGGAACCTAGAACTGTGATCCTAGAGACATCTACTTGGGAGTAATTCATTTTAGGACTATTAAGACTATGGAGGATTATGCAGCAAAACAGCAACCTTTTTGACCCCAGGGTTTAACCCCACCTTGCAACGCCATGCAATGGCAAATCTCAAAAACAGTCTGTGTCATCTTCTGCATGTAAATAGCACGCTACTTCTCTATCCATGCAGCCCATAGCCTATGCATGTCTAATTCCCACCAAATTAGCAATGAGGAACAATAGGCTCTGTCTCTATATAAAGCGAGTCCATGCAGACAGTGAAACTGCTCCAAGAATTTGTTCATCTGTATTAGTGTGCCACAATGGTAAGGAGTTTTAATATACATTGGGGGCAGAACGGTCATATGCATGGGCTCACAGAAGTATACTGTAGCTCTTGATTTTATACTGGCACCTCCATCAAGACACAGATGCAACTTTTAGTGCATGTGTTCAAATATAAACCCCAAAGAAAGAAACCTATGGTGCTGGAGACTCTTGAGAGTCCCATGGACTGCAAGAAGATCAAACCTTTCCATTCTTAAGGAAATCAGCCCTGAGTGCTCACTGGAAGGACAGATCCTGAAGCTGAGACTCCAATACTTTGGCCACCTTATGAGAAGAGAAGACTCCCTGGAAAAGACCCTGATGTTGGGAAAGATTGAGGGCACAAGGAGAAGGGGACGACAGAGGACGAGATGGCTGGATAGTGTTCTCAAAGCTACCAGCATGAATTTGACCAAACTGCGGAAGGCAGTGGAAGACAGGAGTGCCTGGCGTGCTCTGGTCCATGGGGTCACGAAGAGTCGGACACGACTAAACAAGAAAGCAAAAGCAAATTCACAGGAATACCTGGAACTTCTCTACAGGTTGCTAAATTGTAGTGTGCTGTAATCACATCAAGGAATGGAAGACTTGTGGCAGAGAGATGCCACAGCTGCATATTTTTTAACAGATAGGAGCATTCGCAAGAAATAACAACATGATAAAAGCACTTGTAAACAGCCTCAAAGTATAAAATGTATTCCCTGATGTAATGGGAAGCCTTGAAGATTCTACACCTTCATACACCTGTTTTTTTAAAAGCATTGGCAGCTAAACTGTACATAAAGAGTACAAAACCTGTATAAAAACAGGAGATATAATGGGATTCAATTCCTCCTTCGTTAATGAAGTTAGACCGATTTTCTCCCAGAGGAAAAAAAAAACATTAGCACCGTACCTTCCTCAACTGTGCTGTCTATGTGCAAGGTATCATTGGAGGAAAGTACTGTGCCTTTCTTATACTCTTCTTTACAAATCTTTAAGCCTCGCAAGTCATCTTCATCTTGCTCATAACCAAGGGTGCCCAGGGATATATTCTTCAGTTGCCGGTACTAGTTGAGAAGCAAACACACAAAACGAAAACACTTCTTCGGAAAGGCTGCAAACCCGTAATTGCAAAACCGTATTTTCAAGTGATATGCTAAGAGTACCTGTTCACATCTGGAACGAGTCGCTGGTGAATATGGGTTTGAAAGTGGTTGTTGCTACAACCCAGAAACTGGCACATCTAAAGCAATGTGAACTATGATGTTAAACTCTGTGTGTGGATGCCATAAGACGGATGCTTACCTGGTCGACCACAAAATGTATGCTATCGTAAGCATCTTGCTGTGTGTACACACTGCAGCTGTAGTCATCCTCATCAATGCCAGAGTAGTTTCTCAGAAACAGGTGCTTGAAAGCCATAGTGTTCTCCTCTTTGAAAGAAACCACCAACTGGTTGCTCAGACCAAAAAGGACGAGCTTTACATAAATGAAAAAAGAAAGAAAGAAAGAGGTAGATTCTGTCATACGTAACACAAACCCTGGCTCACTAAAACATGATTCAGTAATGTGGGAGCAAACATGAGGCCTGAAAGTTGCTGCTTCATTTCATGTACCAACATCAACAATTCAGTCCTGCATATACTAGCCAGGATATTAAACTAATTTGCTCCTGATTTAAGAGCCTGGGGAGTAAGCAGACTTTGTAAAAACAAGGATTCCCCACTTAAGAACCCTGATGTGATCAGAACACAAGGTAAACATGTGAAAGGGAAAACATGCAATTGTTTTACAGCTAAACTATTGTTCTGCCACTGAGAGAAACTATAGTTCAGCAAGCTTGGATTGTGGCACATTGTTTAGGAATTTGACCACGATCAATCTGGTGACTGGAAACGCAGAGGGAATTATATGATCAGGTCGTTCATTTCTTGACCTCAATCCCCATTATAATATATTGTAAAACAAAATGTTGCGTCTCATCTTAAGTTGCTGTATTATTTGCTATGGCATGAAAAATGTCAAGATTTTGTTAGAGATTGGGTGCCGCTTTATGAAGAACTGTATTTACCTTACTGTAAAGTCTTTACCGTTAGTGACTGTAAATGCTTCCCTTTCTCCCCTCATGCACACAAATCCAATTAGCACTCCACAAAGTTCCAGGTAGAGGCCATGTCTAGCATGACTGTCAAAGATCTTTTAAACTGGAAAAGCAGGGGAATGTACCGTATTTTTCGCTCCATAAGACACACCTGACCATAAGACACACATAGTTTTTAGAGGAGGAAAACAAGAAAAAAAAAATCTGAACGAAACAGTGGGTGTCTGATTTTTGTGGTTCATGCTGTGGCCACAGACATGATATGTGATTTGATGGTGAGTTTGGGGTAGCCCAATGCAAAAATCCTGAGAATCCATGTGGATCTGTGCCATTGTGGCCCCACGAAACAATGGATGCGTGATTTTTTGATGCAGGCTGTAGCCATGGGCATGCTATGTGATCTGATGGTGAATTTGGGGTGACTCAGTGCAAAAATCCTGAGGATCTATGTGCTTTTACCTCCCCCCTCCCAGGCTGCCTCCTTTATCTCTAGAGTCCCTTATCCCTCCCGATCGCTTGCCAATCAGCTGCTCAGCGGTTTTGTTTCAACACCCGCTTCCCTCTTTCTAAAAAAAAGAGGCACGATCTGCCTTTTGCCTCTGGGCAATTCAGCTCCAGGGACCACGCATTCGCTCCATAAGACGCACAGACATTTCCCCTTACTTTTTAGGAGGAAAAAAGTGCATCTTATGGAGCGAAAAATACAGTACTTGGATTCTAATGAACATAAACCATGAGCTATGGCTCCCCCCCCCCCGAATCATCTACAAATGATCTGAAGGAACATAAGGAGTACACACAGTGTCGCGTATTAAATGAAATACGTGGTTTTTTAAACCACTTTAGGCATTTAAAGTTGCTGGCCTTTTAAAGTTTTCGTAAGGGTAAAAAGATGCTTGGTTGACATCTCTTTGATGTTTCATGACCAGCGAGAAGTGAACATCTTCAGAGTAGCAGGGAGGAAGTTTTGTGAATCTGGAGAGGCTTTTCCATAACTAAGTCTTCAATAATTCTGAATGTAGTCATGTAGGCTTAAGAATCCGATGAATACTCCCAGCGATCTTAAATATCTATGTAGAGCTTAAATAGATAAACCAAGCACTTGGGAGAATCCATCTCTACCATGGGGCAAAGCAGCTGGGGAGTTGAACTGGTTCTACTTCTGCTCTTCGCAATGGCCAACACAAGCTAAATTAACTCAGGTTTGCACAGCAGCTTCTAATAATCTCTTTCTATCTCCCCCTCTCTTCCATCTTCAAATCGCCACCAATTTTCTGACAGTAAAGAGGTAAAGGTAAAGGGACCCCTGACCATCAGGTCCAGTCGTGACCAACTCTGGGGTTGTGGCGCTCATCTCACTTTATTGGCCGAGGGAGCTGGCGTACAGCTTCCGGGTCATGTGGCCAGCATGAATAAGCTGCTTCTGGCGAACCAGAGCAGTGCACGGAAACACCGTTTACCTTCCCACCGGAGCGGTACCTATTTATCTACTTGCACTTTGACGTGCCTTCGAACTGCTAGGTTGGCAGGAGCAGGGACTGAGCAATGGGAGCTCACCCCGTCATGGGGATTCGAACCGCCAGCCTTCTGATCGGCAAGTCCTAGGCTCTGTGGTTTAACCCACAGCGCCACCTGCGTCCCTCTTCTGACAGTAGCAAGCAATAAAAACCGGAACATCCCACAAGAAGCAGACTTGTTATAGTTGTTTATAGTAGCATTGCTTTTAAATTATCACAATGCATTTGAGAACATAAGAGCCTGATGGATCACGCCAATGGCCCATCTAATCCTGTATCCTGTTTGCACAGTGACAGCCTGTGCGAAACTGGCAAGAAGGACTTGCACACAAGAGCACTCTCCCCTCCTGTAACTAGCATTCAGAAGCATAATGCCTCCATGGTCCATGGATTTTACATCATTCAAGAACTGACAAGTAGACAGAATATTTATTAATTTTTTTAAGTCTAAGAGGAGGCCTGAATGTGCATTCATTTTATAGTTCTAGGTTTATAATTCCAAGCAGCACATGCTAAACCAGGGCAATCAATTCACTTGACCACAAAAGATTAAAAAACACTTTTTGCAATACAGTGGTACCTCGGGTTACATACGCTTCAGGTTACAGACTCCGCTAAACCCAGAAATAGTGCTTCAGGTTAAGAACTTTGCCTCAGGATGAGAACAGAAATCGAGCTCCGGCGGCGCGGCGGCAGCAGGAGGCCCCATTAGCTAAAGTGGTGCTTCAGGTTAAGAACAGTTTCAGGTTAAGAACAGACCTCCAGAACGAATTAAGTTCTTAACCCGAGGTACCACTATACAAAGCTACCGAGGCTGCAAGAAAGTGACCCCAGGTGGAGAAACACAAAGTACGGTATAAACTTCATCCTTCATACTTACATAGCAGCATACTGCAATCCAGCATGAAGGGAAAAGGGAAATATTTTATTACTGTAGTGATACGTCAGCACTGTACAGAACGCTTCCCTCAAAACTGGTCCAAGACTAAAACTCAGCACGTTCTTAGACAAACTGCTCCTATGACCCTTTAACTTCAAAACTCGGCACTTGTATATTCACATAAATACTTTGCACAAACTTCTGAACCCTCTTGCCTTTTGTAAAAGTTTGATGTCCCCGAGAAAGTGCCAGGACAATAAATACACTCAAGTGGGGGGGAGGTGCACAGAGAAACACAATGAGAAGCTACAAGGGGAGAAAGGGGTATTTGTAGGATACATGAGCTCTGCTTCCCTAATGGGAGGAGGAGGAGGAGGAAGAAGAAGAAGAAGAAGAAGAAGAAGGAGGAGGAGGAGGAGGGGGGGGGGCTTGTTGCAAATTCCTCACTGGCGTTTTCGAGACATTCTCCATGGCTGCTGAAAACAGGGCATGAGTGCAGCAGCAGTACTCCAATTCTGTTCTAAACTCCCCAATTGAAAAATACTCGGAGTCGAGAGTGGATTTCATGCTCTTTATTCAGCTCATAGTGGTGAGGAGGAATGGAAGTTCCCCCAGAATGTCTGCTTTATATACATTATTTACACAATGGGCCCCATGTGATTGGCTAATTCTGGGATTCTCCTGTAGGCCAATCAGGTTGTGGATTCACTTCCACGTGGAGCTGGATTGGGTGGCTCCTGTGGACCAATCAGACTGCTGCATTCTAGATCCTATTGTTCTAGGACCAATCAGACTGCTGCATTCTGAATCCTATTGTTCTAGGACCAATCAGACTGCTGCATTTTGGGTCCTATTCAACTCAGTACATAACAGCTGCAATTCTGTTGACCCCACATGTTTACAAAAGTGTGCAGAGCCTTCTAGGAAACTAGCATAGCTCTATCTTGGGTTGATTCTGTGCTGAGCCACTCCCGTGCTGTCAAGCACATGGCACTGCTCGCCATCCGTACATTTCAAGGCAAGGCTATCAAGACAATCCTTCGCAACATCTAGCAGCTTATTCTTACCCAGCATCCAACACACAGGTTACTCCAATAATAAGGGAGGTGCAAGGCCGGAGGTCCCCCAAATGTGGAAGCCCATCCCTGTATGTGGAATACCTTTCAGGCATAAAGCACAAGGAACTATCAGGAACTAAGGCTAAAGTTCCAGCAGAGTGAAGTTAAAGGAAGAAGGGAAAACATGCATAAACAGACAAATTATCATGATCTTAAGCTGAATACCATCCAAAAGAAACATTAGCAACCTGGAGTCACCGATAGGACTGTTCATTTACTTATTCATTAGGCATGAAGAAACAATATCCGATTCCGTGCAAGTAAATTTTTTAAAGTTACCTGGGTAGTAACCAAAACTATCTTCAAAATCTGAAGTCCCAGTTTCCATGGTATCTGACGTCTAGCTCGATATTTATCACACGGATTCATGAAGTAGAACTTTAAATCCTCTTTTAGGGACTGTTCTTCTTTAAAATCCATATCCAGCTGCGTCATCATACTTCTGCCACAAACAAAAGGTTGAGGATTTAAATTTAACACATCTTAACATTGTGCATACGGATACTCCATACCATCGTTGAAAAGCATTAAAGAATAAGGCCTTCGCATTAAAGAGAACGAAGGCACATTGCCCCAGGTTCCAAAGGGAAGGTTTGTTTCATCACACCTTGTCAGCCTGCTTATACATCTCTGCTGGCATTTTAAAAAATAGCAGCTAGTAAACATTAACATAAAGTAAATCAGATTAACCCAAGATAAGCCGAAGTCTTCTGTAACGTAGATACCTTTGTAAGAAGACTTGAATTGTTCTTAGGATTTTTCAGACTTCTTTCTGCAAAGCAACTTCAGTATAACCAATCTGAGCTATGGGCTAAGGTCCAAATTACGTATTATACACAAGGGGAGGGACGCTTCAACCCATTTCCCAATCCAAGACAACTTCCAGCCCTTGCCTGCAAGATTCCATGCTTCTGAGGGTGTGCAATAGGGGAAGAGCAGAAGAAAAGCAGAACAAGGGGAATGTCATTCTGCTCTCCCTATTCCGCCACTGAGAATCATGTGCATTATTCACTCCCAAATCTGAGGCTTAGCAAAAAAAAAAAGGAAAAAAAGGAAAAAAAGGAAAAAGAAAGCAGGCTGTGAAAAATTTCCTTGCATACAATTGCATAAGGTACAGTTTGGTTCCTAAGACACTGGGAGGAAGGGTTCTCGCAGCATGTTGTTGACACCTTACCAACAGAAAAGCAGCCGAGACAATTTCGTTTCCTCTAACCTTTTTGCTATAACTAGCCCTGTAAAGCTGCACAAACGTCAAAGCTATAAAAACATCCCGCTGCCATAAAAGGAATTATTGAAGCCAAAGGTCTCTGTGGTTGTGCATTAGCCAAACAAACCCAGAACTTGCCACCTATCTCACGACTAAAAATAATCACACTGAAAGACCCACTGTATTCTCTGGTGTGAGAGCAAACACAGCCTTCCCGGAAAGTCCTAAATAAGTACTTAACTCAGTTCTGCCCTGCCAGTTGCAGAGCACTGAGCTGTGAGCACAGGAACAGCACCGTCTGCATGGTGCTCTGGGCAGGAGATATGCATGGATGGAGTCTCAAGCAGAGTTTGGTATGTCACAAAACACCAGCTGGACAACTACAGAATAAGCCAAAGCCGTTTTGAAAAGTCTGTGGGTTCCTGTGTAGTTTTCATCTTGTAATGCCCACGTCACTTAGCTTCAGAGGCAACCCCATCCATCCAAACCCACCGGTTTCAAAGATGTGAAATTATCCAAGATGCCAACTCACGGCTTGTAGTAAAGATCTGTGGTGGCATCACGCTACTGTGTCTTCTGATGGAGAATTTGAAAGGTTTGACCAGAAGCATTCACATGTTACATTCGTGACTCCAGTCCCGATCCTGTTACAACTCTCACCTACTTGCAAGACACTTATTTGAGTAACATCACTTGGTGCAATTACCGTATTTCAGTAAAGCATTACATAAATGCCCAAGTCTTAACTATGGGAGCAAGATCTTACAGGCCTCCTTGTGGGTCTCTTGCTTCTTCTGCCTTATCAGGCCAGACCCATATGTCATCAGGCTAATTGGGTAAGTTACCATTCATTTACCAGCTTTCAGGAAGGCTGCCAAAATCTCTGAAGCAGGTAGCTTAAGTTTGCTATACTCTCTGCGTCACTTTTTTTTAAAAAAGAGGAAAACAGGAAAACAACCACCAAAACAACAGCCAACTCAGTAGAGCAAAAGGCTGCTAATCTTAGAGTTGCAGGTTTGAGCCCCACATTGAGTAAAAGATTTCTGCATTGCAGGAAGTTGGACAAGATTAGCCTTGTGGTCCCTTCCAACACATGGAAAGCATAATGCTGGTGGTCAACAAAAGAGGTTTAAAGACTGTCGCAAGGCAAATCTAAAAAAATGTAGTATAAACACTGACAACTGGGAAACACTGGCCTGCGAGCGCTCCAGTTGGAGAACAGCCTTTACCAAAGGTGTCATGGGCTTTGAAGACATTTGAACTCAGGATGCAATGAGAAATGTGCTAGGAGGAAGGCACGCTTGGCAAATCCACACCGTGATCAGCTCCTGCCCGGAAACCAATGTCCACACTGTGGAGGGACGTTGGATCCAGAATTGGCCTCCACAGTCACTTATGGACTCATTGTTAAAACCGTGTTTATGGAAGACAATCTTACTCGGCTACGAGTGATCACCAAAGAAGAAGAAGAAGACAATTCTATTATTGAAACACCAGGTGAAGTTTGGCACACTTTTTCTGAATAGCCCCAAAACACCGTTGGCTGCCTGCTTTTGAGCAACAAGACACTAAAATCAACATCTGGGGATTGTTATAGATTTGGGGGAGACCCCTCTAAACCCTAGAAATTAATAAATGGGAGGATTTTGATTAATTGTGAAATAGATGAAAGTACAAGTTGCAGAACTGTTCCAGTTGAAATAGTATATTAAAATCAGCTAACTTGAAAAAGGGTACCTTAGCACCAAACCTTTATTAGGTTTATTTATTAGCTGTCCTTGCACTTCTAAATTCTACTGCATTAAAAAAAAAAAATTCCCTCTCCCCATGGACCAACAGTATTGCCTACACAATTTGATGAACTCTTGATTTCAATTTGGAGAGGGTGGGGAGGGCAGTTTAAAAATAATAAACGAGAACAGATCACAGCGCAGCCCTGTCGACGTCTACTCCGGAGTAACCCCGCCAAGTTCAAGGGGGCCAACTTGCCGCTTCTGCCCCTCCGCTTCAAGGAGCGTAGTTTCCGCGAACCCACCTCCCCGCGCCCGCTCTGCGCTCACCTGGTCACCCCCGTGGGCAGGTAGCCCAGCGCCATGCCGCTGCGCGGAGACGGGGGCTGGGCGCCTCCTCCTGCGGCTCTGCCCGCGGAGATGTACTCAGTAAGCCGCGCGGGACTCATCGCGGAGGAAGAGCCCGGCCGGCGAGGGCGTCACGTGGAAGGAGCGAGGAAAAGCGAAAGCTGCGGGCGCCCTCGGCGGCCGCGCAGCCCCGCGCCGCCTGCGCGCTTGGGCGAGCTCGGAGCGTCGGAGGACCCGCTCCGTGCGCGCCGGAGGGGACGCTCCGCCATTCGGCTTTAAAGGCGCCCTGCCGCCGCCCAAGGTGAGGAGCTGCTGCGGTCAGCTATGGGCGAGACGCCGGCTTGGGCTTCCCTCGACGGGGTGGGAGGCCTTTTCGCAGGCGAGAGGGAGATCGGAGGCCCGTCGAGTGGGGAGAAAGGAGGGATCCCCAGCGGGTCTTGGCCCGTCCTAGGCGTGCAAAGGCGCAAGCAGGGGCGCCAACTGGAATAAAAAATGGTGTGTGTGTCAGGTAAGCCGCACGCTGCATAGTTATCACAAGGCACAGCGCATGCATACCTTTTGAATGGGAATGCCCATCAATTTGCTCAACTAATGCACCTTAACTGTTTGGAAGGGAGCCCCCATGTTATTTAATGAAGTTCTCACCCTGGGCCAGCAGGGGGAAACTGTAAATAGTTTTCACTCAGGTCCACATATGCAAATAAGGGATTGAAAGTGACGTTCAGTGATTGGATAGTTACAGAAAGTTGTTACAGTTGTGTTGTAGTGGAGCTCTATATAAGCAGGCTGGCTGAACCCTTTAGTTCTGTTCTGGCCTGTGAATAAACAAGAGCTGTTTGAAGAATCGCTGTGTCGTCTGATATGTTCACCCACAACTTAACTTAATAAGGCCGTTTCAGAAGCCAGAGTCTAAAATGTCCTAAGGGCACGTCTAGAATTAATTCCCATTTGGTTTAATGGGGTTTGCCATAGTGGGTGGGAGAGGACTACTATCTTGCAACCTATGTGGGAGCTTGCTGGACTGACTGGTAGATGGATCTTCTGTCTCTGACAACAAGGCTTTTGCATTCTTCCTTGGGCCCAGGACTTGAAGACTTTTAAAGTGCAGAGATAAAAAAATAAAGATCCATATGCTTAAACTGTCCACTCCTGCCATAGATGCAGCTACGTTAAGAAAATCAATTTAAAAAGTATAACTGAGGTCATGCCCCGCTTGCATAAATCCTGTCTACACCCGTGGCTCCTGGCACCGACGAAATAGGTCTAAGCAGAGTTTCCCAAATGTAGGTCTTCAACTGTTTTTGGACTACAACTCCCATCATCCCTAGCTAGCAGCACCAGTAGTCAAGAATGATAGGAATTGTAGTCCAAAAACAGCTGGAGACCCAAGTTTGGTAAACCCTGAAAAGACCTAAAGGCCCCAAACAGAGCATAACATTGGCCTGTTAGGCAACTCTCTTATGAATACTTTGTAGAAATCACAGGGTGTTTTTAAAGTCTTGTGTGTGTGTTTTGGAGAACCCAAAAATAATTTTTGTGAATGCAATGGTTAATTAAGTTAATCTGTATATATACACACACACACACACACACATACATATGTATATATATATATCAATTTGTATTGGTATGCCTGTTAGGAGACAGGATGTTTTGTGTTGCTGTGTTCCATGAAGTGGGACTATTGTCTTTTGTTCTTTCTCTCTTTGATGTCTGATGAGAAAGAGGAAGGAGCTAAGTCAGAATGCTACGAGTGTATTACAGTGGTACCTTGGGTTAAGTACTTAATTCGTTCCAGAGGTCTGTTCTTAACCTGAAACTGTTCTTAACCTGAAGCACCACTTTAGCTAATGGGGCCTGCTGCTGCGCCGCCAGAGCACAATTTCTGTTCTCATCCTGAAGCAAAGTTCTTAACCCGAGGCACTATTTATGGGTTAGCGGAGTCTGTAACCTGAAGCGTATGTAACCTGAAGTGTATGTAACCCAAGGTACCACTGTATATGTAAATAAAGTAGATTAGCCAAAATGCTGAGCTACTGAGTTCTGTTACGCAAACTGCGAATACTCTGCGAATCCCTAAGTGTGCTGATGCTTCTTGGTATCAGCCGCTGTGATGTTTGGGTTGGAGAACACTTTTGAAGCTCCGACCGACCAGGAGGGAGAGAACATGCCAATCAGGCATGTGTCTCTGCCAGGGTCCTACATGAGAGTAGGACGATCTACACTGTCTACACGATCTACACTGACTGGCAGCGCTTCTCCAGGATTTTGAATAGGGGATCTTTCCTAGTCCTTCTACCTGGAGATGCCAGGAATTAAATGAGGCACCTTCTGCATACAGAAGAGATGCTTTGTCAAAGAGCCGTGACCTTTCTCTGATTAGGTAAGTCCCATGGACTGCAAGAAGATCAAATGTATCCATTCTTAAGGAAATCAGCCGTGAGTGCTCACTGGAAGGACAGATCCTGAAGCTGCGTCTCCAATATTTTGGCCACCTCATGAGAAGAGAAGACTCCCTGGAAAAGACCCAGATGTTGGGAAAGATGGAGGGCACAAGGAGAAGGGGACGACAGAGGATGAGATGGTTGGACAGTGTTCTCGAAGCTACAAACAGGAGTCTGACCAAACTGCGGGAGGCAGTGGAAAACAGAAGTGCCTGGCGTGCTCTGGTCCATGGGGTCACGAAGAATCGGACATGACTAAATGACTAAACCACAACAAAATACAGCTGCATCTAAAAACTGCACATGGCAAGTGCTATTTTATGAAATGCCAGGATTAATGCCTCTTCTAAGATGCTGCAGTATGATGTATAATTCATCACGGAACTCAAATGACACAAGATGTGATTGCAACGGCTTTCCAGATGGATTCCACAAATGATGGTCTGTGGCAATGCTTCTATTCTTCTGCTTAGTGTATGTATGTGTGGGGTTTTGTGTCAGCATCTCTTACTATTCGCTTGTTGTATTTCCTGGTGGTAAGAGAGGTTGGGGGGTATCCTAGGGTGTGGTTGGTTGTCTTTGGTTGGGTGTAGTGAGATTTGTTTTTGTGTGAGTGGGGTATGTATGTGTGTGCTTTTGGTTAGCCGGATTGATTAGTATGGTGCCAGCCGATTCTTCTTGTTGTCTTGCTGGGTTGTGTACAGTGGTACCTCGGGTTACACACGCTTCATGTTACAGACTCCGCTCACCCAGAAATATTACCTCAGGTTAAGAACTTTGCTTCAGGATGAGAACAGAAATCGTGCAGCGGCGGTGCAGCAACACCTAACCTAACCTAACAATGTATGCGACACTAATGTCTCAAAACAAATGAAACTGATCCGTAGAAAACACAACTTGAAAAAAGAGACAATGCACGTATTTTTGTAAACTAAGAAATCTTTAATAAAAAATATATTAAAAACAAAACAAAACAAAAAGCACAAATGATGGTCGTCAACAGCTAATAACCATGATAGGCTAACAGAGCATTTCTGCTTGAAAATAGAATGCATGGGGGCAAACCAATAGAGGTGTTTCATTTAATTCCTTGAACAGGGCTTGAAATTGTGTGTGGTGCCTACAAGAGTAGAACGGACTAACTTGCCCCAGAACATACAGGAAGTTAGCATGAGTTCATGTTGCCTCTTTGTAATGCCTGAGTAAGGCATTTCCTTCCATTCTCAAGGTCTTAGTTGGAGTAAATAACCTGTAAGATACCTTCTCACTCTTTAAGATTTCTATGACAAGCAGGATTCAGCAGGTGACACTTTTTCACTCCATGGTAGAAAAAGGCACATCTTTTTTTACTTTTAACCTGTTGGATAGGTGTTAAGAGGCACAAGAGCTATGTCAGAAAGTGGGTGAAAACAACCCTAAAATTGGCAGTGGTTAAGTGATACGTGATGAGGCTTAAGCTTGCCTGGAAGACATGACTTTGAAGTCTTGTTCCTTCATTCCAACCAATAGAGGCAGCTCTGCTTACTTAGTGATAAGATAAAAGTTCTATAGCCTTAAAAATCTAGTCAAAAGAGGAAGGTCATCAGGAGGCACCAAAAAGACAACAGAGAATGCGGCTGCCTAATATTCGGCAGGAAGAAATTCCAGAGGCTAGGTGCCAGGACTTGCTCCCAAATAAAGAAATTCTGGTGCACAGTAACATTAAAAATAGAAACAATTGTTTTTGTTCACTGTTGCTGCTTTCTTTTGGTGGGCTGCAATCTGGATGATAGGCATAAAGGATTTTAGTGGTAGGTGCAGCTAATGTTCTTTGTAATAATGCAACCCTGCAGTTTTATGATTCCGCTTTCTTTACCATTCTCTACAAACTTGGGTAGATTCATTTCAGCCAAACTGCAACGATAAATATTTTCCAAAATACAAGAAAGAAGCAACAAGAAAGTGCAGGTTGAACAAAAATTTATTCTCAGTGTCAATATTAATTAACGTTCAAGTTAAATACTTAACCATAGCATCCTATAAAATGTGAACAAACAACACATAATGTTTTCCAAAGTTTGTACACAGTACATAAAAAGTCTTTCTGCTCATTCAGTAGTACTCTGTCATGATTGTTGCTTTTACATCTGAAATATTTAAAAGTCTAAAAATAGATTTCCTTTATTTTTTCACATTTGCTTTCCCAGTAAATACAATTTAGCAAATAAGGCATCTATAAAAGTCGGGTTCCACATAAAGGTTTCGGACCAGTGTTTAGCAGTTCTAACATCTAACACAAGTTGCAGAATTGTTTTAAGAGCTATATTTAGAGTAGTTCTATGTGCTTGCCCACTCTTATGTTATTGCAAATAGTCTGCACTTGTTTAATTATAAAGGCTTGAAAAATTACACTACATTTGCAATGGAATGTGTTAGGGATTTCCATTACTTAGTGTTCACATCTCTGACCACCTTGTTTCGTGTTAATGGATGTGAAACACAGGAATGTCCCTCCTTCTTTCCAGCGAGTGTCTATCCTGGACTCTTTGTCCACTTAAATCAAAATAATGGCAGAGAACACCAGCCACTAAGACTTTGTTTATACCACATTGAAGAAACCTGAACATGCGTGTAGCAAATTAGAAAGATTTTTATGTGGTTTCATCAACTAAGCTGATAAAACTCCTTTTTCAGAAGGATGGAAATCCCATTTTCCAGCTACTGTTCCTGCTAAGTGCTATCAATTCATTTGAGTGTTTGAGCGGAACTGTCTCCTTCCTGTGAGTGGGACCCTTCAGGTGGGGTATCTACCAGCAGAGACTGGGGACCTGTAGCCCTCCAGATGTTGCAGGACTATAACTGGAGGGCCACATGTTCTCCAGGCCTGCCATAAAAGGAGGCAAATTCTATCTGCATGATTTCTGGTGGAGTGTATAATACTCTGCCTTGCCAACCCAGTTTGCTAGTTCTCACTGTCATTGGTTTAATCTCTTCTGTCTAGCCAAAGACTACAGCAGTTTCCACTGATATTAGAAGATTTAAAGGGGAGAGCTTTTCTGTACCTAACACAGAACTTTCTATAGGCTGGATAATACCCAGGCTGTCCATCGTGGAGCAGTTTTTTCTGCTCTGTTGTCTGAAACAGCACATGCTTGAGACACCAAATTTGCAGATGTGTTAAATATAGAACTATTTTCTGCACACACACACACACACACATGCACAGACCTGCTGGGTCACACACTGCCATAGACCAAGTGCAGAGAAACATTGAATTGTAATTCTTGTGCTTTGCAGTTATATTTTTAGCATGATTTTTTCACTTTTAATACCATGTAAACTCTTAATTCTTCTAAATATATTTTCTTTCTTATTTAATTATGCTTCTTTGTCTGGGGCAGGAAATGCCAATATGTCGCCCTCTCATCAGCCCCAGCAAGCGAAGCCAGGGATGGCAGCAAACATGGGCCGGGGATGGTTGGAGGTCTAGTTCATCCAGAGATCACCATGGTGGCTAGCTCTGGTCTAGAGTCTTTCCATTCAACTCATCCAAACAACTTCTAGTTTAATGCACTAAGACACTAAGCTACATCTAAATGTTGGGTACTTTTCAAAGTGGGGTTTTATCAGATTGAAGCCCAGTGCTACTTTTCTAGAAAAAGAGGTGCCAGAACTCACCATGAACACCTCCCTCATTCTCAGAATGGCAACAGCACCCACCTGAGACGTGCTGGAACTGAGTTCCTGTGAGTTCCCTCTGAAAAGGCCCTCCTGAAGCCCATTAGGTTTTTACAAGTTTTGATAGTCTCTGCACCCTCACTTTGGCCCTGACCCGTTGGCAGCATCAAGAAGGCCACTGCCTCAACTTGTAATGCAGATGTGTACACAGAACTAAAACAAACAAAGCAGTTTTGAAAAACACCTAGTGTCCTTAATCATTAGTGGACAGTATTCACACATGGTGCCTGTAGGACTATGATAGTAATATACCTATATTCAACAATGCTTCTAAACCCAGGCAATTCTGCTTTGATTTTTGCTGAAGTTCTAATGAATGCACTAGGAAGTAATTAAAGTTAGCTAATCTTGCAAGGACCTTCGTGGGTGTTTTGTGCCTTGTGTACAGGAATTTTCTCTTTGATGGTTCAGTTAAGTATCTGTAATGAGAGCGCCGTCCAGGAATCTCCGAATATATTCAAGAATTCTTGCTATCCTCATTAAGACCTTAAAGGGGGGGGGGAGGAATCAAGATTAGTTCCTTGGAACACAACTAATGGAACAACTAAAACTATAGCATAGTTACCTGGAAGTAAAGTCTCAGTGAACTCAATATTTATTTCTAAGTAAACTTGCTGTAGGGTTGTACTGCATGTCTGATAATTGAATTGATTGTGCATATAAGCAGTTTCGGCTGAGCTTGGTGTGCTCAAAACACCGTATCATTTGGTTTCATGAAGAAATACTTCTTGTTTTGTGCGAAAGACATTATGTGTACTGCATTTTACGGGCAAGATCACATTTCTAGTTCCTGCCAAAAGAGTGCAGTGATACATGCTGTGGCCCATTGTTATGGCCCTGCATTAAAACCCTTCCCACAACATGTTTCTTCTTAATGCATCGTCTGGATCCCTCATGAACATGCCTTAAGTTTGGGGTCATCAATGTGGTACCCTCCACTCCTTTCTTTTGATACCTGCCAATCCCAATTTTTGGATTTTTAAAAATTTACCTCAGGCTACCTTGCTGGAAAGCTCAGATTTCCAGTGGCACACCCTTTCCAATTTGTTTCCCCCTGGATGCCTCTTGGCCCCACACAGGCCCAGAGATATTCAAAGAACATGAAGCAGACAGGGCGATTTGCTGCTCTGTTTGTTGGCAGCCCCAGTTGCCTTTGACATGGGGGTGAGGAGCAAAATGTTGTTGCGCTGCAACTCTCAACATCCTTGAACTATTGACCAGCACCGGGGGAGGGCAACCTGCCACTCAGGGCACATTTCCCCATTCACACCCCCGTACCTCATTCTGGGCCTGCATACACTGATGCAAGTGGGAGACTTTCGCTTTCCAGATACCCAAGAATCCTATCCTGCCCAATGGTTAATTTTTTGCTACTCTCAGATATGCTGCTTCAATGCAAATCTGTGTGAATATAGGTATAAATGACTATGGAGCATATGTTATGCATTTCTAGCTAAACCTGGTGTCGTTTGGAGCTGCCCAAAGCACATTTCTGGATGGTTTTTAAATCCCCAGGCCCTTATAGCTACACTAAATCTGCCCTGGAGGGGGTATCACATTTAATAGCATAACAGGCAAATGCAATAGTTCAGGCATAGGCCTGATGTTGGGGGACTACAACTCCCATCATCCCTAGCTAACAGGACTCAGTGGTCAGGGATGATGGGAGCTGTAGTCCCCAAACATCTGGAGGGCTGAGTTTGCCTATGCCTGCAGTAGTTTGTATTCAAGGAGAACTAAGTGCATCTTGCAGAAGGTGTATAATACAGGGTGGCTCAATGCTTATTTTGGAGTATAGAGTAATACAGGCACTCCCCCCCCCCCACCTCCATATGTTGTGCATGACCACGCATACACGTGGCACCGGGAAATAATTCAATTCATACCCAGAAATGGTAGGAGAGAGTGTGAGAGTCCTTGTGGCTCGCAGAGACACCCTCCCCAGAGCCCAAAGAGTACATCAGTGTGGGTGGAGGAAGCTTATGAAAAGACAGTGGGGCTTTGTTTATGCTGCTTAGCCTCCCCAACTAGCAGCTGGCGTGCAGGGAAGTGCAGCAGCAGAAGCTGTTTTCCTGCATGCCCCCCAGCCTCCTGAGCTTTAATTCTAGTTGTGGATATTTTTGGATACGGTATTTTTTTGTTGTGGATTGAAGAGAGAGCAGCAGGGAGGGCTTTTAGAGGGTGCTTCCCCACTTCACGCAGGTTCATTTATGTGTGTGGGGGCCCGGAACGTAAGTGGGGAGTTGCCTGTATAAACTTCAGTTCCGTAATCTGGCAACTGCCAAATTGGAAACTGTGGCAACCAGTTCAGTTTTGCATAATCGGGGTGGAGCAGAGAGCACAAGCTAGCAGTGATACTTTCTTGAAACAACTCTCCATATGGGTTTGCATTTAGTTACTAACCTTTTACAGCAGCAGAAGATTGTTACAGGGCCTTCGTCTTCTAACCTGTACCTCCCCGAGTTTGGTAGATCTTTGCACTGTGCTACGAATGCACGGAGCTCTGTCTCTGGAAAGCCTTCTTGCTGGTAGTGCTTTTTTAAAAAAGTGGTGTTGTTAGCATCAATGCACGGAATCTCAAACAAACCACTGTACGCAAATCAATGGAGAGACGTAATTTTAATTGTTATTCAGCATACCATTTCACCTGTTGTTTTTAAAAAGGGGGGGTTGGAGTGCTGTGGGTGGACTTGCTGGGTAGAAAAATTGGGCTAGGGGAGAAGGATAAAGTGGTTTATTTTATTATAAAATATTTTTATATACCTGTCATGTAAACATGCAAAATGCACTTTCTTCAAATCCATGGGAGACGAATCTTCAAAGTATGAAGGAAAATCATATTCTTGCAAATGCTTTCCCACCTCCCCACAAAACTCCAAAAACAGGCTAGAGATTAGGGCAGCACATGCACAGTGCCTTGATGCTTGCCTAAAAAAATCTGCTGGTACTAATTCTCAGCTGCAGACTCCAAGGTCTTTCTTTATAGGGAGGCAATGTCTGGTGCAGATAGATGCTGGAGATATAATGCTGAAAATGCACTGCATATGATGCAGGTGTGTCCAGCGATAGTTTCCTTTGGGTCTGAAGTTACTGTTGGCATTAATTTTGTCCTGGAGAAATCCTAGATATTTGCAATGTCCACGTACTTTTAAATTATATTCCCGTGGTATGGGAACCAACAGCAGGACAACAAAAGTGTATTTAGAAAAACCTTCTGGTTGCTGGGACTTAAGACTTCAAGTGTTTGGGAAACCCAAGATCTACTATGCAATTCTCCAAGTACCTCACTGCAATTGTTGCATTGGAATGTATTCCCTATAAACATTGAATTCATTTGGATATCTATTGGGATGTTTGGATGGCATATATAGAAACATATGTTTAATCTGAGGCTGATTTATTTTGTGGCCCTTGACTGCTTTATGTGAGTTGGTGTTTTCTTCTACGGCTTCTCTTTTTCTTTCTCAACTCCAACACTAGCAGATGAGGATTTGTATTTAAGTATTTACATTTTTAAATGGCAAGTTTAATTAATAAAGAAAAGAAATAAAAATTCTCAGCTGATAAAGAGTTGGAGGAGTCTGAAGTGAAGCAGGTGGCATCCATCTAAGGTAAAGGTAAAGGGACCCCTGACCATTAGGTCCAGTCACGGACGACTCTGGGGTTGCAGCGCTCATCTCGCTTTATTGGCCGAGGGAGCCGGCGTACAGCTTCCGGGTCATGTGACCAGCATGACTAAGCCACTTCTGGCAAACCAGAGCAGTGCACCGAAACACCATTTACCTTCCTGCCAGAGCGGTACCTATTTATCTACTTGCACTTTGATGTGCCTTCGAACTGCTAGGTTGGCAGGAGCAGGGACCGAGCAACGGGAGCTCACCGTGTCGCAGGGATTCGAACCACCGACCTTCTGATCGGCAAGCCCTAGGCTCTGTGGTTTAACCCACAGCACCACCCGTGTCCCTTCACCTGCCATCTACTTCCCTTCAAACCTAGAGCCTATAGAGGAAAAGAATGGGGCTCCTTCCTTCCACAAGAGACCAGCTGCAATATTTTTGCTGAAACAAGATGTCTTGGCTCAAGCAGCCAGACTGCAGCAGTTGTCCCCAGGGCTGGCCCCCTCTATAGCAGTGCACCCCAATCCAATTAAGGGAGAAGTTTCTTAATAACTGGGGAGTGGGAGAAAAACATTAACATTAGTTCCCTACAAGGAAATAATAATAATAATAATAATAATAATAATAATAATAATAAAAAATAAAATTTTATTTATACCCCAGCCATCTGACTGGGTTTCCCCAGCCACTCTGGGTGGCTCCCAACAGAATATTAAAAACATGATAAAACATCAAACATTAAAAACTTCCCGAAACAGGGCTGCCTTCAGATGTCTTCTAAAAGTCAGATAGTTGTTTATTTCCCTGACATCTGGTGGGAGGGCATTCCACAGGGTTGGCATTACTACCGAGAAGGCCCTTTGCCTGGTTCCCTGTAGCTTCACTTCTCCCAGTGAGGGAACTGCCAGAAGGCCCTTGAAGCTGGACCTCAGCGTCCGGGCAGAACGATGGGGGTGGAGATGCTCCTTCAAGTACACTGGGCTGAGGCCGTTTAGGGCTTTAAAGGTCAGTACCAACACTTTGAATTGTGCTCGGAAACCTACTGGGAGCCAATGTAGGCCTTTCAGGACTGGTGTTATATGGCCGCTCCCCGTCACCAGTCTAGCTGCTACATTCTAGATTAATTGTAGTTTCCGGGTCACCTTCAAAGGTAGCCCCACATAGAGCGCATTGTAGTAGTCCAAGAGGGAGGTAACTGAAGCATGCATCACTCTGGAAAGGTTCACACATACCTTAACTGTTTCATAGGTGTCTGTAATGAGGGCAATGAAGAGACTCAGAACCATGTAGATAAAAAGGCTAATGAAAGAGTAGAGGTAGATCCGACTAAACAGCCAAACCAAGTAGCTTTTCTGCTGCATCTTTGCAAAAGTAGCAAACATATCGTCTCCGTTTATCAACGAAAAGAGACATTCGGAAACCATGTTCAAGGAACGGAACTGGAAGAGAGGAACCAGAACAAAACAAAAAAAGATAGGTGTTTGTTTTTGACAGATTAGTGAAGCAATTTCAAACAAACATGTTATATACCTTATTGGGGATGTGCGGGTCCCTGCCACACATAGTGTACAGTAAATACAGTGGTACCTCGGGTTACAGACGCTTCTGGTTACAGACACTTCAGGTTACAGACTCTGCTAACCCAGAAATAGTACCTCTGGTTAAGAACTTCACTTCAGGATGAGAAGAGAAATTGCGCAGCGGCGTCAGCAGGAGGTTCCATTAGCTAAAGTGGTACCTCAGGTTAAGAACAGTTTCAGGTTAAGAACGGACCTCAGAACGAATTAAGTTCTTAACCGGGGCACCACTATAGTAGATCATTTGGACAGTACTTTAATACTATCTCCGTATACAGGGCCATACATAGGAATGGACAGGCAAAATTGGAGTCCCAATCAGAGGTAAACTGGGTGTTATGGGCATAATCTAATTTTGTGCAGACTGCCACTTGTGCAACAGAACTCCTCTCCTTTTCTGGTGTGCCTCCAAAATATGTTACAGAGAGTCCTCCAACTCTTCGCAGCAGATTCTGAGGCTGCACACAAGGCTGCAGGGGAGAGGAGAGGACAGTGAAATCTTGTTACACAAGCTGAATGGGATTCTTCTTCTGCACAGACAGCTTTGGAAACTACTCTGTGTTTGGGGCACGCTGCCCTAAATAAAATCCACGAGTGACTTTTTCATCTCCCTCAGTAGGTATGGTTTTTTATGGGGCAGAAGGAGCTAAATAAATTTATATGCAAGGCTTAAACGAACAAACAAAAACCCCTAGATTGCAATACCTTGACGTGATATGGGCCCAGCACAATCCAGCCGCAGAAACAATAGCCCAGATAAATCATAGCAGCACAACAGCAAAATCGGATGACGTTGGGCAAAGCCGCACGTAGTGTCAAAATAAGCAGCTGCAGAAAACAAAACAAAAAGCAAAACAATCCAGTATTGCCAATCAGACTTCAGCCCTGCATTCAGTACAGCTAGATAGCAACAGGAAACAAAATAAATACCAACAGCATGGAGGTCCTAGGTAATCCTTACATTGTACTTCTGAAAGAAGCCTAGGTAGCGAATCACTCCAAGCCAGACGAGCATGGTGGAGGTTCCCAAGAGGATGCTGCAGACATCGTAGCTGGTTAGACTCTGTACGAAACAGAATTTTGGAACGTTATTAGCTGTTTAGTATAACTGCCCAGATTAGGTATAATAGCATTGAATCTTAGTAGCATTATGGTGGTGATTGGGAGGATGGGAGCAAGGTAGATCTGGATCACAACCTGCCTCCTTATCAAACACCTGTCTTGGTGAGAGGTAGCATTTGATAAGATATGTGGACTGCATTTTTTACAAGCTGTCCTAGATAAAACCCTCTCTATTCCCTTTAAGACAGGAGGCACCCCAGATCTGCCAGACAAAAATCAGGGGAAAACATCAACTACTTTTGCAGCAATAGCAGACAGGTAAGGCCATTCTTTTTCTGAGGGGTGTCACTATGACCCAGCTGAACAAGGAGCCTCCAGAGACTCAAGGTGCACCGGAGAGATGAGTAGAGCTGCTTCTAGATCAGGGTTCCTCAGCTGTTTTTTGGACTACAACTCCCATCATCCCTAGCAAGCAGGACCAGTGGTCAGGGATGATGGGAACTGTAGTCCAAAAACAGCTGGAGACCCAAATTTGGGAAACCCTGTTTTAGATGAAATTAGTATTTGGAAAGTGGTGTGTATTAGAACATTTATTTAATATGCATGCACAACTGACGATATTCCTCCACGTGCCCAGAGATGCTTCCGGCTCCCACTTCATACCTTAAACTATGGAACTCGCTCCTAGAGGAGCCAGCGATGGCCTCCAGATTGGATGGCTTTAAAAGTGGATTAGACAAATTAATGGAGGAGAGGGCTATCTGGCTAGCAGCTATGACGTCTGCCTCCACAGTTATGGAAGCAGCAATGCTTCTGAATACCATTTACTAGAATCTGGTCAGCCTCAATGTAAGAACAGGATGCTGGTCTTGATGGGCCATTGTCCTGTCCAGCAGCATCTTCTTATCATCACAACATGAATGGGGAGAAAAGCAGGCAAAAGATATTTAGGCGGCAATCCCTAGACCTACAAAGCTGGGAGTGCGCCCCATTGAACTTAAGACTTATTTCTGAACTGACATGTATAGGATTGCTGTTAACCTAGGATGCCAAGATATTAAAGGCCAGTTGAAGAGCAGAGGAAACATTTGTTTCCTGTTCAGCATACAAGCCTGCTACCTACCTTAGCCTGTATCTCCATCTTCAGCGTAGAACCAATTAGGGTTAGAACATCACTAACTATGATCATGATATACCAGCCATTCACAAATTCCATCTGATCCGTGAAAGAGACTTCTTTCTTATAGTGTTGTTGGAAGAAAGATACAAATTCCTGAGAGAGGGGACACAGACATAGAGAAAAAAGGGGAGGAATTGTATTATATGAGAAGCTGCAAACGACAATACACTGGAAAGTGCCGTCCGGCAAACCCTAAACTCACCCTCTGCAGACGTACTCCTTTAATCACAGATCGTGTGCAGAGAACCAGGGATGCTAGGCATGTCAATATGACAAAGGCGTCAAAGATCATCATGTAGTGTGTGTTCTTCTGTACTGGAAGAGAAAGAGGGGGAAACCCTAACAAACTTGTAGGTAATAGTCATTCCCTCCTCCACCCCATTCTCATTCACACCAGTACGTTTGTGTAGGTCAGAGTAGTATCTTACAAACATAGACTGGCCATGGAAGGATATAGCAATATTTGGAATTCATTTTTATAATTACCATATTAGGCTAAGGGCTAATAACTTAACCACAATAACGTTTCATTTTATTTTATTTTTGTAATGTATACAATTTCCTTTTCATTTTTTGTTCTTTTCTTTTCTTTTGAAACAAAAAAAGTTTATAACAATTCCAAATACATATCCATTTAAAGAGATTTCTCTGACTCTTGTGACCACCCCCAACCCTTCCATGTGAACATTTTCACCTACATATTATTTCCTAATCTATATTTTGTATTCATATTATCCATAATACCTGTTACATTACAAGTGATATTAAAATCCTGCTAATGTTTTCATTGGCTTACAGTGGTCTCCTAAGTAAGTTATAAATTTTCCCCATTCTTTTATAAAGTTTTTGTCCTCTTGGTTCCTGAGCTTTCCAGTCAGCTTTGCCATTTCAGCGTAGTCCATCAGCTTAGTTTGCCATTCCTCTCTGGCAGGGACTCTTTCTGCCTTCCATCTCTGGGTTGGTAGCATCTGTGCGGCTGTTGTCACATACATAAATGTTGTTTTCTACATGGGTACTATTCATTTTTGTGTCTTATCTTACTCTGTGCACTTGTAATTATATACTTTTCATTTTTCAATAAGGTGTACATATATATTCTCTCTCTCTCTGTCTGTCTCTCTCTCTCTCTCTCTCTCTCTCTCTCTCTCACACACACACACACACACAGTGAGTGTGTGTTTGCGTATAAAAGCCAGAGAGACCTGCATTGGGGGCCCCTTCTGCAATCACTACTGAGTGAGGTCCTGGACTTCAGCCCCAAAGCCAATGGCAACAGTTTTTTTTATTTTAAGAGAGTGTTAAATGTCATCTTGCTAAATAGTTTTATGCCTTTCTTCTCCTTCTCAAATATGTAACACCAACAATATCCATAAACTGCTTATCTTTAAAAAGTGCTATATGAAAAGTAGCCCTTAGCAATGATGCTAAGTGAGAAGTCTATTTCCTATTGGGAGACTTGTCCTCAATGGAGATGAGGTTTCTATTTTTCGTTAATATTTGGATCATGGTGCAATTTGGGGTGGCCAAGCAATTCTACTAGTCAAAGTTTTCAGCGAACTTGAGGGAACATGCTCATGAATATGAAACCTTCAAGGAAACAGTCAAAGCTGATACAGGGTGGAATTCATCCTCTCCCACCTGTTGCGCTGATTGAATTTGCATTTTTTTAAAGACCTGGACATTAGATGCATAGAAAACCTTGAATATGAGGTTTTTACTTACGTGATCCAGAAACATGCCAGTCTTTACATTCCTTAATGGCAATATCGTTGTCTAGGCTAATTTTGATTCTTCCACTGTGTGCTTTGTTATCAAAGACTATCTGTGGGGTCAGAGACAAAAAAGTAGTTATCTATTTAGAGAGAAAGCTCTGAAGCCATATATCACACTGACGTGCATTAAGACAGACTGGATCTGACAAACATTCTTCTAGCAAGAACACATCGGATTGAAACATCTTACGATTCCCAATTGTTTGCTCAAAAGAAAGAACATCTGGTGTCTGCCAGATGTTGTTTGCTTATAGCTTCTGTTGGCCCCAGCTAACATGGCTAATGGTCAGAAATGATGGGAGATGAACCACATCTGGAGAGTGCCACCTTGGCTATTCCTGGTTTAGCTATAACTGCTGCACCATGACAGCCAAAATTATATTCTTGAAAACAGGCCTGTAGTTGGCGCCTAGAATCCTTGGGCAGCTGGCAATGCCCACAACAGATGATTGACCCAGAATCGTCTTTTTCAAAAATCTCTTCTGTGCTTCAGTTGGCACCAGGCAACTAGGCTTGGAAGCCACCATTTTAATTTCCCACAGTGCCTTGGCAAAAACCCAGCTCAGGGATAGTGGGAGGAATTAAAATAGCAGCTCATTGGCTAGCACTGACTGGAGTGCCGCTGCCCAACACCACCAAGTTGGCCTGCCAGGACCCAACATATAAGTGGTCCCCCCCCCCTCAGCACTTCTGCAAGGATGCCCTTAGCACAAGGATGAAATCTTTGAAGTCAAAATAGCTGAACTGCCTCAAGGAAAATGGGGCTTCGGTACTCTTCACATCTCCTCAACTCCTCAACATCTCCCTTGGCTATTATCACTTTGTCCATGTCTCATCCTCCATATCCTCCACCGGCAAAATCCAAGTTGTAATGGAAAAAGAAACATAAATTTATACTTCATAAACTGGATATCCCTGGAGCGCAAGTCCATACACTTTACCTGTGTTCCATATGCTTTAATATTGTTTAATAAGTATTTGCAAATGGTGAACCAAACTATTGATGTTAAAATAACAGAAATGATCCTTACCACATGACTTGGCATCTGGTGCCCCTTGCAAGGGATAGCTTCAGCCCCATGATTTGCTAGGCCCTTTCTGCCTCGCACATCTTCTTGAGGCTTTGATGGGCTCCTGGGTTCACATCACCCCTTCTCCAACCCACCCTTTGGAAAAGCTGGTTGGGGCCCTACAGCAAATGGGAACATTTGAACCTGAAGCCTGTACTTACTGTCAGTGTGAAATCATAGCAATCTGGTAGTTCGTGATGACGAACCGTCTGGAGATTGATAGCCTTCAGTTTGAACGTGAGCTGCAGAGTCACAAGTCTAGAAGAAGAGTTTGGGGATTTTATTTCACCATTACCAACAACAACATGCGAGCACACCAGCAACTGAGAACTCCCGCCTCACCTATGGAAGTCTAGAGTGAAGTTGAAAACATTCTTCCCCAGTGTCCTGTTTTCCAAAGGCAGCATGGGTTCCACATAAAAGCATTCTGTGAGGAAAAGACAAGACAGATTTTGTGGGAAGTACTCGGCATCTCACAAGGCAAAGAAGAGTCTAGATCAGTCTTTCTCAAACTTGGGTACCCAGCTGTTTTGTGACTACAAATCCCATCACCCTTAGCTAGCAAGACCAGTGGTCAGGGATGAATGGGAACTGTAGTCCAAAAGCAGCTGGAAACCCAGGTTTGGGAAGATCCTGCTGTCCACAAGGGTAGGCATGTTTGATGTGACATGCATTGGGAAGCTCTCCCTTTGATTAAGTTACCCACCGTGTAACCTTTTCTCCCTGCACCGTGCCCCAGGAGAAGGAAGAAGGAAGTGGTGGTTGTGATCTTGGTATACAGCCACCCACAACTTCATTGGGCAGTTAAGGATAAGCCCCTCAGTGTCAGGACTGCCAACATGTTTTTCAAATGTGGGGTAATGCTGAATCAATGTGAAATGGGCTCTTATTTCAGAATGAACACCAGTTTCTCAATAAATAAATAAAAGCCAGGGGAAAACAGCAACACAATGGATCTAGATTATGTATTTGGGCTATATAGTGGGGGAGCAAACCAAGTACTTAAGTCTCCATAGATTCTAGAATGAGATGGTGTGTGTACAAACCTCAAGAGTAACAGTTGGTATTGCATATGAGTGATGACAGGAAATTGACCTCTCCCCCCGCCCTCCTTTCTCTCTCTCAAACACAAGACTTGAGTAATAAAAATATATATTACCAGTTTCGATTTCTGGATCAATATCAAAAGTGTCATTTCCAGGACAAATGGTTCCTCGCTTGTAGAAGTATTGGCATATGGCCATCGGTGTCTCTTCGGCTCCTCTCTTCTCGTAGGCGTGATTTCCAACAGATATGGTACGCAGCTGTAAATACTAACCCAAAACTGACAGATGGTTAATGAACCCATATGAACCTGCCTGACAATCAAGAGAAAGCTCAGATGACTCTCTCTCCATCCTGTTGATGCACGATATCAGATAAGCAGCTACTGGAGGCAGGATCATCCCAGTGGTGGTTCCAAATGTGTGTGGAACATCCTCCCTTTGGAGATATTCTGGTCCCCTCTCTTGGTTTTTAGGTGATCAACTGGAGTCTAAGTCTACAAAAGTTTATGCCATAATAACATCGAGGTGCCACAAGACTCTTTGTTGGTGTTCCTGCAGCAGGCCAGCACAGATCACCTCTCTGGAAATATTATTTAAAATACCTTCGTTTCAACATGCTTTTAATGTTTAATTTTAAATATGCAGCTTTGAATGCATTTTATGTTATTGGCTGCATTAGGTTTTTGTAACTGTAATTACAAAATAACATTTTCTATTGTCTTGTCTTTGGTGTTTATTCATTTTGTAAACTCTTCTGATTTTCAGAAATAGGTCATCCTCCTGTCAGGTCAAGGGAGCATCTGAGGGCATCCAGATAAATGATTAAATCTACATAGATAAATTTAGTGTTTTCTGAGCTATGTTTGGTTTCACTGGGTTTAGTTAAATTTGTATGGACAAAGTCGAGATCAGAATCTGCATTTTATTGAGCTTCTGTTTGCCTGCTTCCCATAAATAAGGGAAGAACAAGCAATTAGGACAAAGATGAGCAGTTTCTTTGCCCTTTAAGGATTTTTCACGGGGAGTTTCACAAGAGAAACCCAAATAGTTGAAAACCAGCAAGTGACTACAATTGTCCTCACAAAAAGCACACTAAGGCATGCACCAATTTGAATGAGACTGTATCTACAGGCTCTTGAACTATGGTAGTTTATCAGTGGGAAGGAGTTTCTGGAATTCTGACTTGGGAATTAAGTTTGGCTTGTGAGGATGATGTTATCTATTAGCTATTACTATGCTCAGATGCTGAAGACAAATAACAGCCTGCCTGTGACCCTGCAGAATTACTACAGAGCCGGCCCTATCATTAGGCAGGATGAAGTGATCACCACAGACAACTGGTTTGGGTTTCTTGAAAGGCCAGCAAATGGTTAGGTATTTAATCATTCTTGGATTTTTACAGCTAGAGACAAGGAGGAGCGCTTTTTTTGGGGGGGGGGTTGCCTTAAGAGCCAAAATAACTTGACTGGCCTTATGTATTCTGCACCTAGATTGGCAGCATTTACTACTCTGCCTCAGGCAGTACAGTCTCTTGGGCCACGTGGAAACAAGATGGGATACAAGGAAATCCTTATATTGTTAGCCTTGCCAAACAGGTAGGTAGCCAGACAAGGACGGAAGCAGGTTCCACATCTTAGCTCCCAAATGTTGCGGTGAGAAAATGGTTTTCAAGCTGCTATCAAAACAAGTGAATGTCCCAGATTTGGGCTCAAGTAGACTTCTTCACCTAAGCCAGGGGTGGGGGACTGGGTCAATCTGGCAAGGGGGTTCCTTCATCTTGACACACCCATCCATGAGCTAAGCTTAACAGGTGGGTGGGGCCACACACCTGCCAGTCACCTGACATCACGTGGTCCATTTTTAGCCTGCATGGTTTGAAATCAAACTCTGAGCGGCAAAACATTCTGCAATGCATTCATCTGACTGTCAGCACTTGAGAAGCCTTGTGCAATATGTTTTTCAGGGACCACGGATCAGCCATTATCTGCCCTACACCATACAGCTGACCCAAGTCCTTTTTAGCCATTATCACTTGAGGAGTGAACACTGGTACGGCAGAACTGCAGGTACATTCTTTTGGCCTCACTCTCTGTAACCATGCAAACTAGGTGAGGGTCCCTACTTCTCTGTGGAATGTGCAAGACACCTCTGCATGATTTTGCTGAAAACGAAGCAAAAAGCTGAATGAGTCATGCAGCTCTGGGGAAGGGCTAAAGGTCTCCCTCTTCAGACAATAGCACAGAGATGGAGGAACCTGTGGCGCTCTAGATGTTGCTGGGCTCCCAACGCCCATCATCCCTGCCCATTAAGCTCTGCTGGCTGAAGCTGAAGGGAGCTAGAGTCCAAGAACACGGGGACAGGTTCCCCATTCCCTGCAGAAGCACCTGAAAATAGGTTTTGTGTTGAATAATTTTGTTGTACGATTCTGTCTGTACAGAAAGTCTGTATAGTCAGTGTAGTGTTGGACTAGGAGCAGGGAGACCCAGGTTCAAATCTCTAATCTATAAAGCTTAGGTGACCTTGGGCCACTCAACCCAGCCTGTCTCACAATTTTGTTTTGAGGGTAATGTATGAAAAGAACCTTGTACTATGTCAGTCTTGAGCTCCTTCAAGTAAAAGGTGGGAGAAAGGTGTAAATAATAATAATAAATTTTATTTATACCCTGCCCTCCCCGGCCAGAGCTGGGCTCAGGGCGGCTAACACCAGTAAAATTACAATAAAAACATAATGGGGGGGGGACCAATTTATTACAATATGGGTTAAAATACAATTTAAAATGCAGCCTCGTTTTAATAGTAGCCCATAGATCAAAACCATAAGGGGTGGGAAATATAAGAGTCAGACTGAGTCCAAACCAAAGGCCAGGCGGAACAGCTCTGTCTTGCAGGCCCTGCGGAACGATGTCAAATCCTTCAGGGCCCTAGTCTCTTGCGACAGAGCGTTCCACCTAGTCGGGGCCAGTAAAAAAACCATAAAATTAAGACAACAGATTTGTCCTACTACCCATTTTCTGTGCAATTAATGCTCACAAATGATTTTAATATGGAGTAGTTGCTTGGGTTTTTTAAGCTAGCTTTAAATTTCATGGGAAACGGCACCCTTGTAGAATAACCCCAGCTGCTATATTTATTGTATTGTAAATTGTAGATGGCTCATAGGAAGTGAAGTTACCTGATTTATTGCAAAATAGATCTGATCATAGACATCCATCTGCGTATAAACTGCATAGGTGTCATCCAGTCTGTCTGTGTAGCCTTTCAGGAAGAGATGTTTAAAAGCCACTGTGTTCTCCTCTTTAAATTCCACTACCATTTGGTTGCTTAACCCAAACACTACCAGCTGAAGGCAACCGCACACAAAAAGAAAGAAAGAAAGAAAGAAAAGAGAGCAAAAGTTGTTGTTTTTTATATTCCAGATAATTTCAGCTGGTTAAAAACTGCACATTTCTACACAGATCATTTCCCTGCTGCGTGGACAGCTATGGCTAAGACCGTATTTATATTTATCAAATTTATATCCCACCCTTCCTCCCGAAAGATCCCAGGGTAGCAAACACACATCTGTAATTTAAAATAAAAATGTATTTAAAAACAGTGAAAAACATCCTTTTAAAAAATGAAACGCAATAAAACATGTACCGGTAACCAATGATGTGTCTGGATAGGCCCATCGAAAACGTTTTCAGCAGGCATCTAAAATAATACAATTATGGCACTTTACCATAAACATGGGACACGGGTGGCGCTGTGGGTTAAACCACAGAGCCTAGGGCTTGCCGATCAGAAGGTCAGCGGTTCGAATCCCCGTGACGGGGTGAGCTCCCGTTGCTCGGTCCCAGCTCCTGCCAACCTAGCAATTCGAAAGCACGTCAAAGTGCAAGTAGATAAATAGGTACCGCTCTGGCAGGAAGGTAAACGGCGTTTCCATGTGCTGCTCTGGTTCGCCAGAAGCGGCTTAGTCATACTGGCCACATGACCCGGAAGCTGTACGCCAGCTCCCTCGGCCAATAAAGTGAGATGAGCACCGCAACCCCAGAGTCATCCATGACTGGACCTAATGGTCAGAGGTCCCTTTACCTTTACCATAAACTGCAACCTTATTATTCTCTTCGGTTTTTAATATGATTTGGCAAAAAGTTGGTAAGGTAGGAGTATATTCTCAGTTTACTGGGTGTATCCCTCCCTGGTTCCAATCCACTGTTGGGCCTTGAAGGCAAGCAGTGGATTTCCTGCAAATTTAACCTTCACATCTCTCACTCTCTATTTGCACTTAGAGCTTATTATCTGGGATCTGCAAAGGTGAAGACAGTGCAATGGCTATAAAACTGACTCTAAATATATGTCAGCCAGAGGTGCTTTGCAGCCTGAGACAAAGGACAGTATGACACCCCCTCCCCTCTCCATGTGCAGAAACTGACTGGCCTGGAGGTTGGATTCTGCTCCCAACACTGTTGTGGAGGGGTCAATTTTGAAACCAAAAAAATAACCATTGGTGACAATACAGCCTACGTAAACGCCATATATTTTAAAGCACATGGCTTCCCCCAAAGAGTCCTGAGAACTGCAGTTTGTTGAGGGTGCTGGGAATCTCTCTGAAGATACAATCCCTAGGATTCTGTGAGGGGGGAATGTATGGTGTATAGTTGTATACTGTCCACCATGCTTGACGCAACAAGATAGATTAGGAGGCCCAGGGCAGGGCATGTGACAACAAAAGGAAGTGTCTAGATCATGGTTTCTCAAACTTGGGTCTCCATCTGCTTTTGGACTACACTTCCCATCATCACTGACCACTGGTCCTGCTAGCTAGGGATGATGGGCATTGTAGTCCAAAAGCAGCTGGAGACCCAAGTTTGGGAAACCCTGATCAAGAGGGCTCCGAAAGAACAACCGGGGGTAGCTCCCACCTCTCACTTTGCTTAGTGGCATAGCTGGGTGTTTATTGGTCCTCCAATATCAGAGGAGATTATTTTTCTCCCAAACTTCCATAATTTGAAACACTGAAGCCATTTCCCTTTTATTTCAAGTATTGACATTTTCCATCAGTATTAAAAGTACAGTGGTACCTCCGGTTGTGAACTGGAGCCATTCCGGAACCCTGTTCGCAACCTGAAAGGAACGCAACCCACATCTGTGCATGCATGGGTCGTGATTCGCCGCTTCTGCACATGATGTCATTTTGCGCGTCTGCGCATGCGCAAGTGGCGAAACACGGAAGTAACCCTTTCCGGTACTTCCGGGTCGCCGCAGGACGCAACCTGAAAAGACGTAACCTGAACCGAACGTAACAAGAGGGATGACTGTGGTTCCGGAAATGTATTTCTCAAATGGGTATCTCAATTCAGTATCAATAGCCTCTTGTAGTCACGTCCAAGCAACATAAGATGGTTTTGGGGATTTCTAAAAGGCAACTTGCAGCTTTCCCATTGTCTCTCACCTGGATAGTAACCATGGCAATTTTCAGAAGTTGTATCCCAAGTTTCCAAGGCTTCCTCCCCCGGGCCCAGAATTTTTCACAGGGGTTCATGAAGAAAAATTTAAGTTTCCTTCTCAGCTGATCTTCCAGAAGCAACTCCTGACACATTGAGGGGCGACTCTTGTAGCTGTAAACGTTTTCATCATCATGGGAACTGCAGCTGCTTACAACCACCACTTCAGGGTTTTCCATTGCTGGAATGTGCAACCCAGTGATTAAACCAAAGAGACATTAGCAAGCTCAGAATTACTAACAGAAAATATTATACTTGTGGTTAGGCGCATCTCTACTATATGAGCTGGACTGTCGTCTCCATGAAGGAATCATACAATCATAGCGTTTTAGAGTTGGGAGGGACCTTTGAGGGTCATCTGGCCCAACCACCTGAGGCAGTGGTTCTCAAAGGGTGTGGCATGCCACACACTGGTGCAGCAGGAGAGGATGGTGTGGCAGGAAGATTCAAGGACCATCAAAGAAACTTTTAAACATTTTGGTGTAGCATAGTTTCAGAATTTTATTTTATTTTTTAATTTGCAGAATCTGGACAGATACATTTTCAAAATGAGAACGAGAACATCAAATGATATTGAGGATAATTCTCGTTTTGACCCTGAACTGCCGTGTTGTGCTGGAGAGTGCTGGAGAGAATGCATTAGCTATTCTGCTGCAGTTCTCCACAACATGGTGTTGTGAACAGGGATTTTCAACTCTTGACAAATATGAAAGATCAGAAGAGAGAAAGCCTTCTTTGTGTTGATGAGGAGATGAGAGTTTGTCTGTCTCAAATTAGACCTAATATAAATGAGATTACCCAGCAAAAGCAAGCTCATGCCTCTCTCATTCAGTTTGAATACGTACATAAGGTACATATGTAAGAGGCTCGTTTATAATTATATTTTGGGAATGGTCCCATGTTCTTATGTAGCTGCATTGTTTTTATACTTTCTGGATGTCCCATGATCATATTATAAAGTAGTTGTGTTCTATGTTATACATCAAGCACTGCCAGGAGTTGGTTTCTTTTTGTTTTCCAAAGTATTTCTTATCAATAGAAAGATTTGGTGTGGAACGAGCAAATTTTTGTTCTGAAACTGTGCCCCAGAGAAGAAAGAACTACTTTGAGAACCACTGCCCTTAGGAGTGGCACAGCTCAGATGTGTACAGTGTAAAACAGAAACCAGATATATACACTCATCCCAAGGACCAGCCAACCCATATGATCAGGCTTATTAGGTCATCAACTAAGCACAGCAGGGAAGGATGACTTAGTTAAGAGTACAGAAAAACTAATTCACACACAGTTCCCATGCTTCACTCACAGCACTATTTTTAGAGATGAGCAACAGAAACATTTTCCATAAACGCAGTATTTCCACATCTTGATTTTTTTCTGGTTTTCCTACTAGAGTTTGGATACAACAGAAGACAGATTTCTTAAAGTGGGTTTAAAAAAATTAAAAGCTATGCAAAAAACACACCCTTGCATATAAATTCTTAATTGGAACGTATCTGTATTTCTTGTAATACGGGTCATCAGATCAGAGGGTTCTTTATTTCTTACCCACATACAATTCCAAGATACGGATTGACTAAATCAGCAATCCTGTGGTTCTCCAGGTATTTGTTGTGCTCCAGTTTCCATCAACTTCAGCCAGCATAGACAATCATCACGGGATGCTAGGAGTTGTAGTCCAGCAACATCTGGAAAGCCTCAGGTTCTCCATCCTTTCACTCGGGGTTTCCCAAACGTGGGTCTCCAGCTGTTTTTGGACTACAAATACCATCATCCCTAGCTAGCAGGAACAGTGGTCGGGGATGATGGGAACTGTAGTCAAAAAACAACTGTAGACCCAAGTTTGGGAAACCTCGCTTTCACTAAATACAAATCGGTATCAAGATAATTATTTGCAGAATGCAGATTCTTTAAAAGTGAGGAACTAAAGGGAAAGTCTCTCTTTACCCCTGAGTTTTAAATTACTAACTTATTTCTGTGACCAGCAATGAGGCTGTCAAGCAGGGAGCCTGGTGCCTTCTGGATATTGTTAAGGCTAGGGTGGCCTGTAGTCAGGGATGAAGGAAGTTTCTGTCCAGCAATTTCTGGATGGGCACAGGTTCCCCAACACTGCAGTAAAGGGAAGGAAGCTCCTTGGAAGTCTTGGTTGCAACTGTGCAGCTCTTTGGTCCTGCTTTAGATTTGAGGTCTCCAGAAAGTAGAGTACATCTGGCCAATGGAGAACATCCCCTTTGCTCTACTTGTTACACAAATGTCGTAGAAGTGCTTACAGCTTGACCGATGACATTGCTTCTAGTTCTCCTGCCCCTATCTCTTGCAAATGGTATGTGAATTATTTAGCGTTTTACCTGCAGCAGTGACCAAAATATGCCAAGAGCCTACAAGCAGTGTGCAGTGCATTCGTTTAAGAACAGGTATAGTTCAATCCGAACGTATGCTTAGAAGTAAATCTGATGGTGCTTTTCCCAAAGGAAATGCACATTGGATGACGGCTTTCAGCAGGGAAGTAATCCCACTAGGGGCCTTAACTTTCAAGTAAACATACGTATAATCAAGTTGTGAAAAACATCACAAAACGCTGACCTGATCTCTTTGGGTCATTTAGGCTGCAATTCTATACACATTTACCTGAGAGAGTATGTTCCATTAAACCCAACAGGACATACTTCTGAGTAGACATGTATAGGGTTATTGTAATTGCCATTATAGAAAACAAGAACAGCTCAATTTTTGGAAGAAAATTCTGCACATGTGAGAAAGCAGTTGCTAATCTACAAAGTAGTGACTTCGATTCACTTTTTGCCAAACCAGGGTCCGTAACTACAGACAAATGCAGCAAATTTCTGCACTAGATAGAAGTGCCTAATTTAGCTCTTTAAAAATATGTTAACATGCATGCAACCTGGGCTTGAAAAAACCCACAAGGCTGGCTATGCAGCTGATAAGTGCCAACCTATGTCAACTCTCTTGTCTCCCTCACACACCAATTGATGGAAACAAGGGCATTGCAAGAGTGGCACACATTTACACAGGAATTGATGTTCTGTTCATTTTCACGGCTGATAGCATGACAAGATACGCAGCACGGATACATGCAAAAAATTGCTAGCTAACAGGAGCATCACACAGCGTCCCTAATGTATCCATAAATGACTGCAATTAAAATTGCCAAATGTGCTGATCAGGAACATTTTCATGTCCAAAGTTTCCACATTTTGTGTTACCGTTTGAATGAGAAACTTTGTCATGGCCACATGGGTAAAATCATCAGGCATTTGGAGTGATTACTCACATTTCTGCAAGGTTACTGGATATACCCATATCAAAGTCCCACATCTACTGATATAGAGATTGTAGGTGGAGACAACAAGCATGTTTCTGTTGACTTCATCTTCACCATCCCAGCCTCTCTTAGGAAGGAAGCAAGGAAATCAATGGGGCATATTCCCAGGTAAGTGTCATCAGGATTGCAGACAAACTTTCAAGTATAAGTCATTGTACGAATGAATCAAATTGGTTTTAATCAGATATGTGATTAAATCTGCATAAGCTTACATGACTAAAGAATAGTTTTGAAACAAAGGAAAAAAGCCTGGGTATAAATTATCCAAAATCCATGAATAAAACAAATTGATACTTAACTTTCATTTTTAATTGTCCATTTAATAGGGGTCTCCTTTTAGTCAATTGCAAGACGCTGAATCCAATATATTAACCAGTTAAAGGTTGCAGTCCCATCTATTTCCAGTGCCACCCCTCAACCCTGAAAATCTGACCAAGCAGGCTATGCCTCTGAACATGCACAAAGTGCCTTTCCCTCTGTCAATAAGTTCCCTCCGAAGCACTGGAGAAGAGAAGCAAGGATCCCTGGGGGCATCCTAGTAAGCACCTTCCATTTCATAGAATCATAGAATTGGAAGGGACCCCAAGGGTCATCTAGTCCAACCCCCTGCAATGCAGGAATATCAACGAAAGCATCCATTTCCATATACCAACTGATCATGGGAAAGAGATTCATTTAAAAATCCTTGTGCGCGTCCACCTGCCTGTCTGATGCTCAGCTCCAAAATCCAGCATCTTTGAAGAAGGGCCACAAAACGAAGCGGGGAAGGTCTGCCTCTCCTCCCTGCCCCCACCCCGGTTATATGACCTCCGCGGGATCTTCAACCAGGAGGAGAGCCTTTCCTTGCCTCGGAGAGAAAGCAGGAGCGCCCGGACTGACCTTTGGAGGGACGGCGAGAGAAGCAGCGCATTGGGGCGCCTGAGCCTCCCGCGCCTCTCCCTTCCATGCGCTCCCCCCATCCGTGAACCAGCCTCTCCGGGCGACTTACTCGTTGAGGCGGCCCCAAGCGCTGACGGACGCCGCCGGCTGAACACGACACCACCAGGGACGCCGAGAGAGAGAGAGACCTCCTCGCGCCCGGGCGCAAAGCGACACCTGATGCCCGCGGAGAGGGCAACGCGCCACCGCCGCTCGCTCACCTGCCCTACCTGCCGGGGAAGGGCGCGCGCATCGCCAGGAGGAGGAGGAGGCGGCCGGCGCCTCAAGGGGAGTCCGCTTTCATCCCTGCTGCCGCGGAGGAGGAGGAGGAGGGGAGCGTCCTCCTCAGCAGAAGGCGGGACGGCGGCCACTCACTCCGAGCTGGTGCCGGCGAAGCTGCCCGGGCGCAGGAACTGCAGCGGCGCAGGCGGCGCAGGAGGAGGACACGCCACGTGACTGGCGAAGCGCGCTCCTGCAGCAGCAGCAGCAGTAGCAGCAGCAGCTTGGGCCTCCGCCTCCCTCAGGGGAAGATAGCCAGTGTGTGCCCAAACTAGACCAGAAATGCCGCCCTACTTACCTCTCTTCATCTACAGCAGCAGCAGCAGCGGAGGTCCAAGTTGAGACACACACACACACACAAATGTTTGAAGGCCCTGGGTCCCCCAAAGTTAATGGGCATTGCCCAGTGCAAAATTTACGTATAAAATTAAGGGGGAAAACTGGATGTACATTTCCAAGTGTTTTGTGTTGTGTATGTAGGCTCCTACGACTCCTTCATGGATCACAGCCTTGTCGTGGTGAAGGGGCTTGAATAACTCAGAGAAGCTATGAGCTATGCTGTGCAGGGCCACCCAAGATGGACAGGTCATAGTGGAGAGTTTTGACCAAACTTGATCCAGTTGGAGCAGGAACTGGCAAGCCACTCCAGTATCCCTGCCAAGAAAACTCCATGGACAAAGACAACAGGCATATAAAAGTTACGACGCAGGAAGATGAGCCCCTCAGGTCGGAAGGCGTCCAACATGTTACTGAGGAAGAGCGGACAGGTGGGTGGGAGAGAGGAAATTTATAGCACCCTAGGAATACACCCATCCTGGCAGAATGTGAGCTGCATTTACTATTGTAGACTAATTAAAAGGTACTTCCAGCAAGTATCGAGAGTCAATACTTTAATAATAGACCTCTGGGAGAAGGGAGCGCCACAATGGTTGTTCAGCTAAAAATAACTTTCTAAATCCCTTTTGCTGTTTGAACTTGTTGTACTGATGTCATAAGGACACTCTAGTGGTGAAAGAAATGAGGGAAGGCAGTATCTGTGGTATACATAGTGCCTAATAGACCAAGATCTGCCCCTTCTTGAACGGTGCCCAGGGGTTAATAGGTGGTCAGATGCTGGAACAAAAGCATAGTGTCCCCTGTGACCTGTCTGGGTGAGGTGGCAGGCCATTACACTGCCTGGATAGCTCGGTTGGTTAGAGAGTGGTGCTAATAACGCCAGGGTTGCAGGTTCAATGCCCATATGGGACAACTGCATATTCCTGCATTGCAGCGGATTGGACTAGAGTCAGACGATCCTCAGGGTCCCTTCCAACTCTGCAGTTCTGTGAATGAAACATATTATAGCTATGGAAATTCCATATCAACTTATCAAGGGCATCCCCTCGTGTTCTGCATTAAAGCAGTCAAGCCTCTAGTTTATGGCCACATAAACTCCAGGTTTTAGATTATGACTGAATAGCATTACACACTTGCACTTTTCTCATAGGATACGGGCTGTGGAATGCATATCTGGCCATCACTGCCATCTGAGCTTCTTCCAAGCACACCTGCAGACCCAGAAGCACTCCAAAATAGCAAACTTGGGAACATCCAAATCGTGTCTCCTCATCTACACACAATGATTCTTATGACCTCTATTCAGCTTTAGTTGTCTCACCTACAGCTGGTGTCCCACCATGGCCAGATATATTGTTAAGCTCATAATGCGCAGTATATTTCCACCTCATAAAATCCCCGAGGAATCCAAGAATTCCACAGGGCAGAAAGGTGTGATTTCAAGAGGGCTGAAACCCCCACACTTTGTAGTTTAGAAATTAAGCACAAGATGGATAAGTACACAAAACTTCCTGTAGTTCTTGCTCTCTACCCAGGAAATTCGGATATGGTTAGAGTTATTGAATAGTGAAGGAAAGGCTCTCTACACAGTCTGTATTGGCATTACCGTTACTTCGTAATTAATGTATCAGTGCAGTATAGCTTTAGGGAAACTTTTAATGACTGTAAATCATCTTCTTTTTTAGCTGTAGGTTATTGCATTACCCATGACAATCAATTTAGAAATTCAAGATCAGTCTCACTGGTACCAAGATGTCAAGATTTATTCATTTTATTCGTCATAGCCACCGTTTTAAAATGATGACCAAATGATAAGATTAGAAATAGAACCCAAAATAAGTATCAACCTGGGCACCTTGGAATTTGTTTTTGTTATTAAAAAGTCTCTGGAAATACATTGGTGTTATAAAGATGTCTGGAGATATGTGGTTTTTTAAAAAAGATGTTGTACAGTCTTTGTGAAAACATTTTATGTACAGTAACAGCAATTGTGTCAGTTGTTCCTCGTTCTCTCTCCCTCCCAAATTCAGGAAATAAAACTGCATGCAAGTTTAGTTCCTGAATCTTTAATGAAATCTCCTTTTCGGTCACAAAGTAACAATTATAGGGAGCAATCTCTTGCTAGGGGAGAGCTACTCTGAATAGCTTCCTTTGACTGTATCTCCGCAGATGTAATCCAAATAACGCTCAAGTATAATTAAGCTCTTGAAAGTTATTAGATGAGCAAGTCAGCGACAGAAGCGAAGGCATATTTTGCTGCAGTGATCCAGCCGCCTTCTCTTTTTTTCCCAATGGCTCAGCACGTTTTATCTTTCGAAATAAAATTGAAAATAAAATACAAACGCTTCAAGGATAGGAAAAAAAGAACTGCAAGCTGAAAAGTGGACGTTTGGTACTTCAAAGGAAGCGCCAACAACGAGCGCCAATGAATCGCACCCCAAAGCCTGCGCAAAAAGAAAACTACGATTCCCCCTCCTCTTTCCACCTGTGGTTGCGAGAAGGCCAAAGCAATTGCATGCTGGGAGTTGTAGTCCTCTCGATGTTTCCCAGCGTCGTTTGTCAAAGCGTCCAATGGCTCTTTCCTCCAGGAGGGGCGGGTTAAGCCCGTCGAATGCTTATTGGCTCTCGCAACTGCCAGTCTTTAATAGCAACTGTTGATCATAGCAACTGAACGACGCCTGCTGTAGGAAGGCGGCATTCAGATTGGGAAGCGGACGGAGGGTGGGGGACGCTGCAAAGCAGGTAAGGAGCGGAGAGGAACCGGGCCAGTGCAACTCCGGGCGGGGGGACAGCTGCGTTGGGGCATCCCAAGTCGCCCGTGGAGCCAGCTAGGTCGCTGACCGGGAGCTTGCAGGTTGCAGCCAGAGTGAGCAAACATGCCCTAATTCTTTATCCGTGATATTCCTTCAAAGGCTTTCGTTTCATGGCCGTCTCATCTAATTCCTTAGAAATGCACCTTCAGCAGTGCTGTGCATGCCTGGTCACCAATCTGAATATACTATTGCACCCAGTGCTATTTTTCTAGGGAAAAGAGGTGCTGGAACTCCTCATGAACGCCTCCCTTGTTCTCTTATAATGGCAATGGCGCCCACCGGTGAGTTCCAGCTGGGGGAAAAAAACTCTGAATGCACCCACTGCATAGATGGGGAACTGATGGCTTGCTCTCATCCTGTCCTGATCTAAACACTCAGCTAGCCCATAATTATACTTCAAGTTTAGCTTGGCATCTGTTTATGTGAACTCAGGGCCGACCTACACTGTGCTACTTCCCTCTGGCTTAAGGAGGAGGAAGACACAGAATTGCTTGATTCAGGATTTCCCAAACTTGGGTCTCTGACAAGAGCAGGAGACTCTTCATTCATCTGGCAAAGTCTTTTCCAGAGCTACTGACTGGGAAGAGGCTATTGTGAAGGCTTATTGACTACAATGGCAGCACATTCACACAGGGAATTTACCGATTAGTTCAAGACTAATCAGCTGCACCTGCAAGTGAAGTGATCATTTTCAACACATGTGTCAGGGTAGGGGAATTACAGAGTCAAGAAAAGTAGTAATCTGCATAGGGCAGGTTTGGGGAACCAGTTCCTCTCAAAATGTTGCTGAACTGCAACTGCAGTTATCCCTGGCCATTGGCCATGCTGACTGGGACTGATGGGAGTTGGTGTCCAATGACTTCTGGAAGGTCACACAAGTTCCCCTGTCCCTGACACTGAGGAATACTACACAAAACCAGGGCTTTTTTCCACTGCAACTCAGTTCCAGCACCTCTCAAGTGGGCACCATTGCCATTATAAGAGAAGAGTGGAAGCATTCGTGTTGAGTTTTGGCACACCTCTTTTTCTAGCACTGCACAAAACTGATCCTAAAGAAAGGAAGGGAGGGGGAAATAAATAATTAAATCACACATTATGGTTGCGGGATCAGTAATAGGTCAGGAGATATAGCCTGATAATGGCCCAGAAAAACTGGTTGATGTTTTCTCAGTCAGAGTGACTGGTTGGGAGAGATATGAAGATTTCTCAAGCATTAATTTTGCATGTGACATATGCCTGTCACAAAGATGTTTCAAAGAAGGCAAAGTTTTTTTAAAAAAAGAGAACTAAAGAATCTAAAAAAAATATTGTTTCGATCTGCACTCAAAAACCCTTACTATTCTCTACCCCACATGGCATCTATAAAACATATATCTGTAGTGAAAGTTGCTTAAATTTGTTTCTGGGTAAATCTGAAAAAAAAATGTACAAGCAGATTACTTCCAGAGGGTTAGTGATATTTTGCTGCAGCAAACGAAACCAAAGAAACTTGTGGCGCTTTAAAGATTAACGAAAGTATGGTGACACAAATGTACGTGCATCGCAGTGCATTTCATCACATGCTGCTGCTTGTCTGGCAGTGATATTCTGAGCATATTTCCTGTTGCAAAGGCACAAAGTAGCACAGCAGTCCAATGCACAATGTAAATCCATTCAGTAACAAACATGTAAAATGATTATCACCTGCAGGATTACTGTGTGCAGTTGTGTAGAGAGCTACAGCCTAAAATGATATGACCATGGTCTGCAGCCTCTGATATTTAGTACTAAACCCTCTCTTTCATACAGACCATGGTGAAGATCCCCCACTTTCATTTCCAAATGATACAGGATTCCGTTCCACATGATGCAAAATATTGAAAAGATTAACCTGACTTGAGTACTGTTGTCACCTTAAGTATATTAGCAGCAAGGCCTTCCTAGGGCAAGTACACAGCAGTTGTCTTCACAGGAAGCTCATTGGAGGGGCTGGCTGGCTAGTTAAAGGACACCTGTCTTATTTTGTAGTTTTCTGCTTGTGTAGAGATTATCCCCATAGTAACCTTGTGAGGTAGGCCAGGCTGAGAGACTGTGGCTGGCCCAAAGTCACCCTGGTTGAAACCTGGTCTCTCCGGTTCTGGCCAACACACTAATCTCTACATCACACTGACTCTCTTTACCCCAGTTTTTGACAGCGCTCTCTCTCTCTCCTCTTCCATTCATGATGCGCTCACTGAAATTGTTGAGTTTCTCCCCATTCATACCTTCATTTCCCATTACCTGGATTCACAAACTGGGTTTTTAGAAATTATGGGCTTTCAGAAAAAAATACCAGAGGAGTCATAGAAATATATTGTGTGACTGCTGTACAAATTTCAAGGTTAAAATTAAAACACTCAGATATTAGATCACTTCAGTATTCAGATATTATATCTTTTCAGACTTTAGCTGTAAAAATACGAGGCAGTTTGTTTTCTGACAGAAGCATGGATCTTCAAGGACTGAGATGTCAAGTACATTTGTTAAAAAGAACTTCATGTTTTACACCTGTGTATTCTGATGATTCAGTTCTTTCATAATGAAATAAATTACAGTCTTTAATGGGTACTGCACATAAACGTGATGTTTAAATAGTTCAATCTGGTCACTGATTAATCGTTCTTTCTTCTTGGTACAGACATCATCCATGTCTTTGCTGATAACTAATTAACTTTCCTCCCCTTGAGCACCTAGCAACATGGTAGTTTAGTTTCATAAAGCTAACTATTTCAGCCCATTAGATAATTAGAAGAACATACTTCTCTGTTTTTGTTACTTTTATGTCAATACAAAATACTTAAATACAAAGTTAACAGCCGCCTGTAGTTCTGCTAATGCACTGTCAGTTCTAAACATTATTTCATGACTCAAGATTTAGGTTGGCCAAATGCACAACTACAAACACCTGGGCTAAAACGCTTAACAGTTACCTTTCGCTCAGATGACAGTGTCATGGAAAAGTGTTTTTAATTAGCCCAAAGCTGGGGGGGGGTTTGAGCAAAATATAATTATATTTTTGAGCTGCGGTTCCAAAAGACCAAACATTGTCTACCTAAATAAAGGTTGTAGGGAAACAGTAGAGGCCCTTAGGAGCCTTGGTCACAATCTATTGGGAATTTTTTCCACCTCAAGTGAACTGCATTAATTTTTATCATTCTGTTCCACAGCACTCATGTCAAAGAGTGCAGGAGGAGTTTAAAGAGCTGTTCCCTTCTATTGACTCAGAGTAAAAAGATTGTGGCAGGACCTTTTCATAAACCACACCCTCAGATCTAGTTGTTCTTCTGTAATCTTGGTTGTGTCATGTCTGGCTGTGGTTACTGAACTAAGGGAGTTATTTAACATGCACAAAGCTATTGTGATTATTTCGCATATTACAGGGCAGAAGTTCTAGCACTTAAAATAGGTCCTGATGGTTGAGGGTTCACATATAACCCTGTGAAGATGCTCCTTTGTGCCTTCCACCATGGACCAAAATCATCACGCTTCTAGAAGGCTATGTCTGTATTTGAGCTTTTGGGGTGTGGTTCGTACGATTATGCAGTTTCTATTTTGCCCTACTTTACATAGCTCTGGCTATTTCTTAACACTGTCTGCCCAGCCATCCAACATTATTGATTGTAGCCATTAGCTACTGATGCTGTATTAATGAGCTCCTCTCACTCATTCTTGATATCTGGTATTTTCTTTCCGCTTTCCAAAGTTTCAGCACTCAAAAAGAAGGGTCAGAGTTACATGCATTTTTTAACAAGTCAACAAAAACAATACACCATAGCTTTAGGGCATCAGTTTGATAAGTAGCTGTTTTAGGAACTTTCTGCCTTGCCTTGTAAACCGCTTTTCTAAAATTAGCTCTGTGATTAATCTCAGAAACGCCAGTGTTGTCTTTGTTCATGTGACTAGACTGTTTGGATGACTTGAGAGAGAAGCAAATCACATGTTCCAATCTGTGGTTATTCCAGTTCTCTGTAAAGTGGTGATTGACAGCTTCCCTAGCCACCAATTTGATGCTTGGGTCATCCTTTGTGATTTTTCCGGACCCTGGAAGTATGGTTGCCATCTTTCAAAAAGAGAAGATCTGGACACAAAAGTTGTTGAGCTTTCTTTGGCAAAGTTTGTCTGAGTTTTCCTGGACGTTTCAGCAATTTCCACTGTTTCTGGGGCTGGGTACCACCTATGTCTGGGAAATTCTGGACATATGGCAAACCTACCTGAAAGTCACACAGGGAAAGAAGAGAGTATTTGCTCAAATCTCTCCCTGTGACATCAGGCTTAGCACTTAACTTGGGTTGGATCGCATTCTATATCTCCCATCTCTTTTGTTATCTGCTTGTTAGAATTCAGTTTCTGGTATAGCGTTGGGTTAAACACGGTGACACTTTGAAAAATAAATAAAAACAGTGACTCAAATTATGAAGCTGCTATTTCGTTTCCTGTTATGCACATCATTTCCACATGATGGTGCTGGAGTTATTCCCCCCCCCATACACTTTAAAAAAATCTTCCTCCATTCATCTTTTCTGTATAAGCAATTCATTAATGCTTCGTTCTTAAGAACAGAAGCAGCTGCTTTAGCAGAGCTATGATTTCTATTCAACTAGCTTGATGACTTTAGCAGCCCCTTGCCTAGACCCCTGTCTTATCATCGTGGAATCACTGAGTTGTAAAGGACTGTGCAGTCAGTCATTTAGTCCAACCCGGCTTTGCAATTAGGTGTGTTGATAGTCTCAGGAGTGTTAATGAAACAGCATGTAACTTAATATATTTGCCCTAAGCAACCTTGAAAGGTCACAGAGGGACACTCAAATAGCGCATAGCTATGCTCAACCCAAGGAGCATCCTCTGTACTTTTTTATTATTATGCAACCCTGCAAGCCAAGGAGATAAGTAACTAATATGGCCTTTAGAAGAAGGCAGCCCTGTATAGGGAAGGGTTTTGGGTTTTTTTAAGTTTAATGTTTTGTTATGTTTTTATATATGTTGGAAGTCACCCAAAGTGGCTGGGGCAACCCGGGCCTCTGATGGACAGGGTATAAATAATAAAACTGTTGTTGTTTGTTGTTACGGAATAGAATATCCCTGTTTTCATCAGAGAAATATCGGAGGGCATGTTACAGTTGTACACCACCCTTCCTCCAAAACTAGCCTAGAGTGGCAAATCTGAAAAGCAATTTCAATACAGATTCAGACTCGGAAAAATCGGAGGGAGGCAGGAAGGCTTGTTGGAAGGTATTCAGTAGGTGCCAAAAGAAAACAAAGATGGTGCCTTTCAGGGAAGGGGGAGGGATTGCACAGCACTAAAGGCCCAATTTCTTGTGCAGAGCCGACCTGCTGTTAAGATGGCATCTGCAGGAAGCCCTAGCCTGTTGAGCACAGTGATCAGCTGGGTATATAAAGAGTGAGGCTATCTTTCAGCTATTCTGGTCCCAAGCTGTATAGGGCTTTGTTCACCAAAGCAGTATCTTCAGCTTGACCTGGCAGCTAATTGGCAACCAGTGCAAGTCTTTCGACATTGGGGTGACATGTTGGCAACGTCCCGCCCCAGTGAGTGGTCAAACCACTGCATTTTGCATCAGCTGAAGCTTCCGGACCAACCTCAAGGGCAGCCCCACAAAGAGTGCATTGCAGTAAACCAGTCTGGAGGGGACCAGCACATGGATGACAGTGATGAGGTAAAATGTACTCCTAGTCTGGGCCTCTAGCGATAGAGGTGAAGCCAGGAGCACCCCCCAGACTATGAACCTTCACTTTCAGGAGGAATATGACTCCATCAAAAGCAGGGAATGCACACTCGGAAACCTCAGAGTCAGTTTATTGGACCTCATCCAGGCTGAGTCCAGGCTCCTTTGCAAGGAATTTTGGGGTGCAGGTTTTTGGATTTTACCGCTTGGAGCAGCAAAATTACTTGGGCTAAACTGAAGCAAACATCGTTCTGCCTCAGTAGCACAAAAGGCAACCTTTGCCTTTCAGCTGTTTTGGACTACAACTCCCATGTCTCAGCCAGCACTGTCACGCAACTAATGGGATGTAACTATCATGTTATGAATGAGTTTTTAAGCCACCCCCCTGAATTCCGCCTCATTATCCACATTGATGTGCCATCTATTTTCCAGGCAGAAATCTTTCAAAATGGCTGAAAGCGCAGAGACTCCCGTACCGCGTTCTGCTCCTGGTTCAGCGAAGAAACCTAAAGCTAAAGGATCGCCGAAACCTAAAAAGTCACCCAAAGGATCGCCAAAAGGCTCACCCAAAGGGAAGCAAAGAAGTGCTGGTAAGTATAATACTGCAGAACTGTGGAACTAAAGAAAGTAATTTGTCGGGAATTTGGATGCCAGGCAACAATACGTGTGACAGTATGCCCAACAACATTTCTCTGTGATGTTTTCATGTACAGTCGTACCTTGGTTGTTGAACGGAATCGGTTCCAGAAGTCATTTTGACTTCCAAAAATGTTTGACAACCAAGGCACGGCTTCTGATTTTCTGAGTTTCCTGCAGCCAGTTAGAAGCCATGGAAGCTGCGTGGGACGTTCGGGTTCCAAAGAACGTTCACAAACCGGGACACTCACTTCCGGGTTTGTGGTGTTAAGGAACCAAAACGTTCGAGTTGCAAGGCATTCGGGATACAAGGTATGACCGTACTCAAAAGCTGAAGGTTTTCAGTTATTGTTGATGGCTCCCCCACCCCTCCATTTCAGCTAAGACAGCTCCTTGAAAAGGCCGGGGCGAAACTCAACATGTTGCAGAAGCGAAAGTGGTAAGTTCAGTGGGTTGGGTCCTCAGAATAATCAGATGAAGGAAGCACACGTGGAAGTAAGTTGCACCTTCCCCCAACCCCCTCTTCACCACAATCCCCTGCACTTCCTGAAAAAGTTGGAGGATTGGGCAAAATTGGGTAGCTTTGCATTGGCTTTGTGGTTTTAGACAGTTCTCCCTTTTCCCCTACGGAGTCTACCATACCCCATCCCAAGCCATGCCAAGTTCTGTGATAGGAAAAGAGGGCAGCAGTAGAGTTGGGAGGGCAGATGCACACATGACTCACCCCTCCCCCCAAAAAAGATCCTGGAAACTGTGGCTTCCCCTTCACAGAACTACAGTTGCCAGTACGCTGAACAAACTAAAGCTCCCAGGATTCTTTGTGAGGGGTGTCACCTGCTTTAAATGTGTGTTGGTTGTGCTTTAAATGTATCAGTGTAGACCTGCCCTCCCGAGTTTCTAAAACTTTCCTTCCATGATTTTTCTTCCATTGTGTTTTTTGGGATCCAATGCGTTGTTGGGAATTATTAGGAAAGGGCTGAAAATGTATCTGCCAGTATTATGTACACACACACACACACACACAGAGAGAGAGAGAGAGAGAGAGAGAGAGAGAGAGAGAGAGAGAGTTTGGCCACATTTGGAGTAATGTACATTTGGCTATTATTATCTTGTCTGGGGAAAATATATATATATATCATATAGCACTGGCTATGAAAAGAACAACCGAAATGATAAAAGTGCAACTTTAAAGTGTTTCGGGGCCTTTTAATTCAGGAAAAAATATTTTGTGGGGTGCATGAGAAAGGTTTATGAAGTTGCGAATGGAAGAGATTTTAGCAGCCGCAGCCCCCAGGCTAGAGCTCACCCACTGAAATTGATTGACGAAAGGAGGTTTTAAAATGGAATTCAACAAATTCATGGGGTATACTAGTCCTCATCATTTTATGAAACCTCCAGGTGGAAACAGAATTATAGCTTTTTTATTTTAAAGCGCCTTAAAAATGTACTGTACACAGATCAGAAGCATGAGATCGTGTCCACAGGCTTACAATCTAAAAGTCATGAGGGAAAAAAGGGATGGGGAGAGAAAAGGAAAACAAGCAAACTCAGATAGTGTAATACAGTGTGACCTCTGAATAAGAGATACTGGAGAAGACAATGGTGTGAGTGGGTTGTTCATGCCTTCGGTTCCAGAGGATACTTGACAAGAATTTGCCCTTGGTCTGCTTCAGCAGGGCTCTTCTTAATGTTCTTATGCTAAGACCCCACTTTATCTCATTTCAGCAAAAAAAGATGAAGAAGTGGATTTATCGATGGCAAGCATGGGTAAGTTCGACACGGAAAAAACAGTTTTTGAAGAATATGCAGCAGACATAGAGTCTTAAGGCCATAAGACTAGCTGTGAAAGGAAAAAAGAAATATTTCTCTTCAGAAGCTGCATCTTCTGCCTTTTAGCTATGGGGAAAATAACACAGAACACATGTCCGTTTGAGAAGTTGTAGGAAAGAGGAGCAGATCATTAGCTGGGATTCATAAGTGCTAAGTAGAATACAGTAGAATACAGTGTACAGTGGTACCTCAGGTTAAGAACTTAATTCGTTCTGGAAGCCCGTTCTTAACCTGAAACTGTTCTTAACCTGAGGTACCAATTTAGCTAATGGGGCCTCCCGCTGCCGCAGCCACGCAATTTCTGTTCTCATCCTGAAGCAAAGTTCTTAACCCAAGGTACTATTTCTGGGTTAGCGGAGTCTGTAACCTGAAGCGTCTGTGACTTGAAGCGTCTGTAACCCGAGGTACCACTGTATCTCATAAGACATTTAGTATGTGCAGTGCAATGGTTAGGCTGGGATCTCAGAGACTCTGGTTCAAATTCCCTTTTGATCATGAAGCTCAGCCGGCGACCTTGGGAAAGTCACTGTTTCTCAGCCTAAACTACCCTACATGGTTGTAGTGAGGAAAACATGGAGAGGGGAGAACCATGAGCTCCTTGGAGGAATGGTGGGATAATATCCATCTATCCATCTATAGGGCCCACCATTTTTGTCCTACTCCATTTGCAGAAGGTTTCTGGCCATTTGTGTGGGCTTGTGGGTACTTTCTGCCTCAAGCGAAAATATCTCCATGCCGATTTCTCTTGGGGCTCCTGGTGCCAAATTTACGAAAGCGCCAGATATCTCTCTCCTCCTTTTGTAGGTTTTAATGAATAGCTCCAGTTGAGCAGGTGCAGTGGAGGACCAGAAATGACAGGGCTTAAGGGATAAATGTAGGGTTTATGAAATGTAACATATTAAGTGAGAGACGTTTGCTGAGGGATTTAGATTTCTGGATGAGCCGGATTAAAATAGGATTTAGCATTTTGTCAGTTCAAAAAAAAAAAGGGGGGGGATTAAGTGAGTGAAGACTTTCTCCCCAAAGCATGTGTACGTAAAGCTTATCAATATTCCCAAATTTATATTTGTAAATGCCTAAAAATTTAAAAAGCCTGTCCTTGACATCTTCACGGACATAAATTCCTTCACCCTGAGCCACTGAGCTCTTTTCTATCCATAATATATCCACGGTGCTTGCCTCGTTAACTGCAATAAAGGGGTTTCGTTTTAGGGCAGCGTACATCAAGTATGGAAATAGTATATGGCAAAAGAAGTAAAAAGGTATTGCTCTGAGGGGGTGGGAATCTCGTTTAATTTCACTGACACTTGTAAGGGTACTAAAAGTATCTAGTTATACTTGTTGAAGAATTCTAGAGTGTGTGGGACAAATTGGTACTTGAAATACAGCGAGCCTTTTAAGAAGAGGTGTTTCTGTATTGTTCTTTACTCTTTCAGGCCACCCGGAAATCTTCCCCTTGGTCCTCACGGAGAAAACTCAGGAGATATTTAATTGCCGTGCTGACATCGATGTCACGGCAGAAAACCCTCACAAACTTTTGAAGAGAGAGGACATCATCGATGACATGAAAGCAAGAGCTGCAGTTTCTGACTTCCATCCTTTCAAAAAAATTATCTTAGTGAGTTACCCTGTCGGGGCATGTTGTATACCGGGGGTTGTGCTGGAATTCGGTAAACTGATCGTCTAACTTCATTTCACTTAAGATTTGTTACTCCTCCTGGCAAACAAAGTCCTTTTGAGCACAAGCTTAGAAGTGGCTGTGATGGAGGCATGAGGTTCACAAAAGGAGTGCCCAACATTAACACGGATTGTGGTGTATGTGTTGCCCACAACAGTTTCTCTGGTTTGTAAATGTACCTATGGGCCCCAGAAATGACCCCTAGTATATGGTGTGGGATGAGCAGTTGTGATCTAGAAAGAAATCCGTTGCATTGGCAGGCAGAGGGCATTCTAGAACGTAATGGGAAGAAGGAGGATACATTGAGGAAGAAGCTTAAGGGACCCTGCTCCTCTGAAGCAGTTAGTGCTAGACCAAAAACGTAAGCGGAGAACCTTCCAATCCATCAGTATTAAAGTGATGTCATAGAATCGTAGAATTGGATGGGACCCCAAGGGTCATCCAGTCCAACCCCTTGCAATGCAGGAATCTAAACTAAAGCATCTATGACACATGGCAATCCAACCTCTGCTTAAAAACCTCCAAGGAAGGAGAGTCCACAACCTCATGAGGGAGGCCGTTCCACTGTACCAAAATGATTAAGGTTTTAAATGACAATTTTAGTGATCAAGATTTAATATATATTTTAAACTGCTGCTATATCTGAATTGTCTCTGTTATACCCAATTGCAATTCAATGTATTCCTGTTGTGTTTTATGATTTTCCTGATATTGTAAGTGAGCTGGAACTGGTCAGTGACCGTAATAATAAAATTAAAATAAAATTCAAGTCTTGTAAGGATTCAACCATTTAATATCCATTAAAGCATGCCTAGTTTTGACAGGAGAGATTATCGTTTGGAGAATGTACTGGGCCGTTCCACTGTTGAATACCTCTTACTCTCAGAAAGTTTTTCCTGATGTTTCGTCGGAATCTCCTTTCTTGTAACTTGAATCCATTGGTTCGAGTCCTAACCCCGCAGAGCAGGAGAAAACCAGCTTGTTCCCTCTGTCATGTGACAGTCCTTGAGATATTTGAAGATAGCTATCATATCTCCTTGGTCTCCTTTTCCCTAGCTTAAACCTATCCAGCTCCTTCAACTGTTAGTTATAGTTGGATGTAGAAATCATTTAAAACTGCTTAAAACTTTTCAACTGTTTGTATTCACACAGGAATATCCTGGGGAAGAACTTCTGGTAGTCTTTGACAGGGAATTAAAATATGGGCAAATATTTTATCTTATTGCGACTGAAGAGGCCAAGGAAAGCATTTTACATGTAAGGCATTTAAAAAAAAAACAACAGCATTTATCTTTATTTGTATCGTATTGATACACTTTGTATTGATACCTTTGCAAATATTTTTCCTGATAGCCTCCCGAGCCAGAGGAAGAGGAAGGGGAGGTCAAAGAGGGCACCCCAGAAGAATATGTGTACAAGCCTCCTGTGTGGAAACCTTGGGTCTCGCTTGGAAGTGAAAAAGAAATTGAAGAAGAATCGGTTAAGGAAAGAACGACAAAGGTCAGTCTTCCTAACAGTGTCTTATACAGTCGTACCTTGGAAGTCGAATGGAATCTGTTCTGGAAGTCTGCTTGACTTCCAAAACGTTTGGAAACCAAAGCGCGGCTTCTGATTGACTGCAGGAAGCTCCTGCAGCCAATCGGAAGCTGCGAAAGCCCCGTCGGACGTTCAGCTTCCAAAAGAACGTTCGAAAACTGGAACACTTACTTCCGGGTTTCGATTGTTCGGGAGCCAAGACATTTGAGAGCCAAGGTACGACTGTCTACTTTAAATAACAGTCTTAAATATACTATATTTTTAAAAGCAATAAACTGTAGGATCCTGGATTGCCCAATTTTGACTAGAAATCTTTCAGATTTCAAAGCCTGAGTAGGGAGTGGATTTAAAAAGCATCTGGAAAAACAAAAACCTAACTCTCACAGAATCTTTGCTAGCCTTGGCCAAAGTGTGGATTTTAAGCAGAGAAAATGAGGTGGTAACCTGTGAAATACTCCACAGAAGAGGACCTGTGGATGTGGATGAGAAGGTTTGGTGAGAATACTTGAGACTACTCCACCAACAAACTGGTCTCATAACAAGCACGTCCCAAGAGTTCAGTTGTTTCTTCCCATGGGGGAATGATGAGCATGTTGAAAAATGGTCGTAAAAATCAGATCAAACACAGGTCCTGTAAGAGATCTTAAAGATCTGTTATTCTCTATTTTATGGCTGTGTGCCATACCCTCAAGACAATGCACAGTCAAACGTATAAAAACAAGAGTTTCCATTGAGAAATATTTTGGCTGAAATTTCAGGTTAAATATAAGATTTCTCGGCGGCAGAGAGAATTTGGGGCTCGGGTTAAATTTCACAACAGAAACGCTTCGGCTGACCCTAAACATGGCTACGTGGAATGTACGAGTTATTTCGATAAGAACTTTACCATTCGGCAGCTTGAGAAAAATGTTGGCACTCAGGTTGTCCCGATAGTAGAAGAAACAGGAACTCAAACAAAATGGTAAGTATAAGACCCTTTTTTATATATTAAAAAACCATTTTAAATAATTTAAAAAAAGAAACAATGCCCCCATTAATTTCGGGCCAGGAAATTTTCTGTCATCTGAATGGAGGGAAACCTAGAATCAGGCACCTTTCACTTTTTAAAATTTACTTTCAAGCAGAGCAGTATGAAGCAGAGTGCGCCATTTCAGATTATTTATTTTTATTACATCATGCCTTTCTTGCCTGATGCGGTTCAAGGCAACATACATGGGCTTCCTACTTGGCCGCCCATCCAGTTACTGACCAGACTTATACCTGCTTAGCTTTAACAAGGATTGCTAACCACATCATGCTGTTATAGCACTAGCATAGCACTTTAATAGTCATGGCTCCTCCCCACCCCCCCATGAATCATGGGAACTGTAGTTTGTTGAAGGTGGTAGGGACTGTAGCTCTGTGAAGGTTTTCCTAACAACTCTCAGCAGCTTTAACAAACTATATTTCCCAGGATTTCTTTTGGGGGGGGGATTGGGGGGTGGAATCCATTACTGTTAATGTGGTATAATAGCACTTTAAAGGTATGGTGTGGTTGCTATATTATGCAACTTCAGATCATTCCCAGGGATATGTCTTCTGACTATTACCTGAGATTATGTACTTCAAACATCACTTCCTGACAAACGACTACATTTTCTTTTGTGAGGATGGGACTAGGCACAATATTAGATGGGTCTAATGCAAAAAAAAAAAAAGTTCTTCTCCACTCCTCATATTTTTTACTACTATTATTCATTATTTATTAAATTTGTATACCACTCTTCACCCAAAGATCACAACATAAAACTACAAAATGCGGACACAAAATACATAACGAAACAAAAACAAACTAATACCGCCCCCCAACACATTCAAAAGGCCATAGAATGTTAATCAGCTAAAGGCCTAGTTATGTAATGAGGGCACCAGGCGAGCCTCCCTGGGGAGAGCATTCCACAAATGGGGAGCCACCGCAGAAAAGGCCTGTTCTTGTGTTGCCACCCTCCGGACCTCTTGTGGAGGAGGCGCATGAAATCCTTCTCTCCGCTGCCACTGGTGAGCCAGGTTTGACAGGTCCAAGCATGGCTTTGCCTGCCCCACAAATGATGTCTTACATGCCTTCAAGCGTAGGCCTAGTTAGGCCTACAGGTCAGAGAGGCTGCCCACAGCTGGTTTAGCCAGACTTACCTGTGTGCTTTCTCATCTCCCATCAGTAACAGATGGTGCTGTGGAGCAGGAATGCGGGAACACTGGGAAATGCGTGGCATACACAACTCTGGCTAAAGGAGGAAACACTCTGTGAAGTTTCATCAATTCTGCCTTCATTGTTTTGGATTTTCCTTTTTTCTTCCCAAATTTTTCTGAACAGTGTGTTTTCACTCGCCTTAGGACCTACCCCAAAAATGCAACAACGCAGTATTTTCCAAGGGACTTTTCAGATGAAGAAAAAGAAAAGTATTTGTCATCGGAAGACCTGAAAGACTTCATTGTCTCTGTGGCTTTAAGGTGAAATATCAAGGTCCACTGAAAGTTCTGTATGGAGACGTAGGCAAGATTTCTTGCAGTCATAAAGTATCAGGATAGGATGACTTGAGGAATACTCAGCCCAAGAAATTATATATAAAACTGTTGATCTTGAAGACTTCTGCTTTCCCTCCTTAGGGTTCTTAATCTTTAAACCAGACAGCCCTTCAAACAGGGAACTGTCCTCTGTAAAGGTGGACACATGACCACTCTATAAAGCACTTGGACATATTTTTATTTGCAGCATCTTGAGCAGCTCCTGGTGTCATGTAGAATATGTCTTCCTCTCAAATGTGTGCCCTAAGATCTGTGTAATAGGTCTGGAGCAATGTTTCCCAAACTTACTGGTAGGTCTCCAGCTTTTTTGGACCACAGCTCCATCATCCCTAGTTAGCAAGACCAGTGGTCAGGGATGATGAGAATTGCAGTCCGAAAACAGCTGGAGACCCAAGTTTGGGAAACACTGGTCTACAGTATCAAATAAAGAAGCCATGGCACATAATCCTTTCGTGCTAGTGACACTATTTTTTAAAATTAAAAGTGCATCTTCCCCGAAATAACAAATCTACGCTATACCACGATTTGAGATGCAGTATCTGATTTTTTTTATTAAAAACAAAACAAAAAAAACATGTCCCCGTTCCAGAGTTGAAATAGCACTGCAGCAGAATGAGATCCTGAATGCCTTCTTTGACGACTGGAAAGCCCTTGCGGAAGACGAAAGTGGCTTTGCAGGCAAGTCCGACGTTTCCCTCAAGGAGTACCAGTCATTCACAGACCTGCATTACCTCAAGGACAGGACTGTGAGCTGCGTCTGCTGGCACCCAACCATTTATGGTAAGGTTTGCAGAGCGTTCGGTTTGTGGGCAGAAACTTTGTGAGGGTTGTTCTGAAGTCTTGGGTTTAAAGATTAGCCACTGTGCCCATTCCACTGGCCCTTTCTCTGAACAAATCAGCAGCACAAAGGAAAATGAGATGAGGAAATATTTTGTAACGTACTAGCACAAGGGTACTCAACGTGGTGCCCTTCAGATCCTGTTGGATCTCAACTCTCCCATAAGCTCCAGCCAGCAGTCAATGGCTAGGGATGCTGGGAGTTGGAATCCAACACATCTGGACTGCACCACATTGGCTACCCCCGTTTTAGCAAACTTGGGTTACCTCACACTAGGCAAGCTGTAACAGAAATGAAAGTGAAACGGATGTTATTGCTGCAGTCTCTTAAGAGTCAAGCTGCATGTTAACACCAGTGACGTAGCATGGGGGGCCCACAGGGTGGTTGCCCCAGGCCCAAAATTGTTAGGGGCACAAAATTTCAACACCCGGCACTGCCTCAATACAGGTGTGGGCTTCTGTTGAAAATGGCTTCTCCATGCAAACCAGGAAGTGAGCTCTCCAAACAATGGAACGACTTCCTTTTCTTATTCCTGAGGCTGCAACTCTTGGGTGATACAGACACTGTTAGGCCATTGAATGTGCATGTGTACTCGCATCCGTCCCCCCCCCCTCACAACCCGCCTTCCACACGGCCCCGGGCACCGGCAACCCATGCTGCTTTAAGACTCCTGCTGCAGGCAGGCTAGAGCCCTGAGCAGAAGTGCTCCACTTAAAGCAGTGTCTGTAACGACTAGAAGACTGTGGGCAGAGTAGACAAGAGAGTTGTTTCTTCACTGCCACCCCCACCATCGCATTAGGTGGCCCAGAAACTTGATTAGTAAAAGGCTGAAGACAGCCAAAAGAAAAACATCTATTCACGTAACGCTTGTGGAATTCACTTCCATCAAGAAGTGAAGGTGATGATTAGCTTTTAGGATTTGTACCTCTTCTAAAACACCCCTGGGCAATTCTTGCCGCAATTTCTGACAGCGTGGTTGAGTGTGGACATGGACCACTTTAAACAGACGCAAAGTTTTACCCTTGCAAAAGGTGAAATGACATTTGTCTTCAATCAGGGATTATCGCAGTGGCAGTAACGGAGCGACTGTCTTACGAGGAGCGGGTGAACAACTCTGGGCGACTGCTCTTATGGAAAGCACCAATTCTCTTTTGGAGCTTCGCAGACCCGATTCACCCCCAGGTATTTAAAGGAGGGCTTGGGTGTTTCTGAGGTGTTTAAAGAACAGAACCAATAATTTCAGCATAAGACTGTCCTCAGATCTGATCTATTCCTCCCTGGATATTTATGTTTTCTAGCTGATGCTGGAGTGCCCTGAAGATATCTACTGCTTTCAGTTCTCCCCAAGCAATCCCAACATCATTGCAGGAGGCTGTATAAACGGACAGGTTAGGATTCCATTACTTTTCAGCTACTTATTTGCATTCACAACATACCTCTTCTACATCGGTATTGTGGAATAAGATGCTCCGGCAGGTTTGCAGATATTTGAGGGACCAGCAAGGGCTAAGGCCCATGCAGGGTCTGGTCATTCTCATCTAACCCTCAAAATCTGAGGTTGCCAACCTTTTTTGGGGTCTGTGGTCACATTTGCAAACTAGAGAAAATGCCAGGAGCATCACATACATGCCACAACCGAGCACACACTGCAACCTGTTCTTTTGGTGACAGCAGAATGCTTCCTTCAAGCCTAATTTCAGCACAGGAGTAAGATCCTATGGGTGCCAGGGAAGACCTCTGTGGGTCCATGGGTGCCTGGGGGCGCCGCATTGGCCAAGCCCTACTCAGAATGCTAACATTGCCTACTTGAGTACTTTGAGGCCTCACTAGATGTTGCATCACACCCTCGTTTGGATAATTCAGGGTTTATTGAAGTACGCCTGGAATCCCCATGCCACTGTGTGGGACTCCTCAGTACCGGAGACATGTTAATGCTTTTTTAAAAAATAAAATGATTCCCTTTCTATTAGTACAAAACAGATTTCTCCCCGTGAGCTCAGCTGGCCCTCTCTGCATATTCTGTAGAGTCCTATTCTACCCTTCCATCACGTGGCACATTAAAGTGTCCATTAAAACAGGACAATCTGCCTTCTAACGTGTCGTTTCCCCTCTCTGCCCTCCCATTCCAGGTTGTACTGTGGGACATTTCAGCATATGAAGAGAGGTTACGAAATGCGAAGTCCGGTACAGGCGGGAGCAAGAATACCACAGTTAACATGGTTGGTACTTTTAAAGATTCTGCTTTTAGCGTTCCGTATCATAAATTCCTCAAGGAACCACTGAGAATTGCTTCACATTTTCTTCTGTGCATGGATGAAGTTGCAGGCTTTCCAGAGCACTCGTTTGTGTGCACACAAGGGTAACATAGGAATAAGGGGCTGGAAGTGGCGCAGATCCACCACGCTCGCTTTCTGGCAGGTGGGTCGCTGTGGCTTGCCAGAAGGGGAGAGGAGGTGGCGGGAGAGAAGCTAGCATGCTGCAAATGCCCCGCCAGGAGCATGAGATGGGCTGTTTTGGTGTGCTCATGTCACACTGACGTCCCTTCCCTTTCCCCTCTCCTTTAAGCAACAGCAGCCCACCTGCCAGGAAGCTAGTGTAACTGCTCTGCTCCCTCCTCCCAGCAAGATGCTTCTGCAAGGCACCCCAAAGCTACAGCCATTAGCAATTTCCATTTTTGTGACCACCAGGGAAAGTGAATGCCCAGTTCCCACATTGCATTTGTTTATTGCATGCAGTTGCTCCACACTTCTAGGTGGAGAAAAGTACCATAGGCCTGAGAATGTACACATTGCACCGTTTATTATAGTTTATTGAAGAAACAAGTGTTCGAAATTTGTAATGATCCTTTCAAGGGATCTAAAAGGGACTAGTTCAGGTGTAAAAGGAAACTGTGGCTTTTAGTTGCCCCTGAAAAACATACACTCATACAACATAGAAGTATTACCCTATTTTTCTATGTATAAGTTTTCCCCCTAAAAAATAATGTCAATCTTCCCCCATTTTCTTAAATCTGAGTCTCCAAAAATAGAGGGCATCTTATACATGGGGGCGTCTTATAGACGGAAAAATGTGGTAATTTTTTTCACTCAGTTCCTAGAATATGGGCTAGCTAGATAGGTCAGGTTGTATCAATGAATTCTTGGCAGTCCCCCCCCCCCCCAGATGTATCCAAAATTATTCACTATGTAAACAGGAATGGCAAGTGGATGCAGGAAGCAATGTCCACCAGGAAAGCATGGAAAAACTAGAAAGAGCTGGGTCATGCAGTGGATGCAAATGATAGCTCAGTCGGTAGAGCATGAGGCTCTTAATCTCAGGACCGCAGGTTCAAACCCTGTGTTGGGGGAAAGATTCCTGCATTGCAGGGGGTTAGATTATATGCAGGGAGTTGGATAACATATGACCCACGTGTCCCTTCCAACTCTCAACATTCTACGATTCTGTCATGTATGGAAATTAGTGGACACTAATTTGTGTTCAATTTCAGCCAAGTTTCATGCTGGAACAACAAGTTGGGAAGGAGCCGCACTTGGTGAGATACTGTGCAGTCTCTTCCATTGAATATGGCCATAAATCAGTAATAACAGATATACAGTGGTTGCCAGAGTTTTTTGAGGTAAGAGTCCATCGTAAGTATTTCATAATGCAAAAGAGAAAAATTACAAATAATGCCTTATTTGTTACATCTGTATTACTGTCTGGGACCAACACAGTGATCTACACTAAGCAACCCATGCATATTAAGCTCAGTATTAATTACCCATGTAGTTTCAAAGGGCTGCTTCACACCATACTACTTTGTTTTGTTTTGATGAACGAGATAAATTTAATTATTGCATAAAAAACTCTGCATATGCTTGTAACTCGTGTGTGTGTGTGTGTGGTTTCCCTTGTGCCCTTTAAGAAAAACGTTGTGTGATATGGATGTTGAGTGTGAATTTCTAGCCTGTCCTCGTTATGACAGCGGCTATAGATAATTCCCGTGTTCCAAACACTTTTTACATACATTATTTCAACAACCCTTTCAACAGCTTTGTAAGGTAGGCCAAATGATCGTCATGCTGCAGTCGAGGGGGTATGGCAGTGGTTTGTCTTAGGCGGCCTAGTATGTTTATGAAACAGGCAAGATTTGAATTAGGCCCCATCTGCTCTATACATTGACAGCAGCATCATGCCAGTTTAAACCTTCACGGCCTCCCCCAGAGAATCCTGCGAACTGTAGTTTGTTAAGAGTGCTTGGAGTTGTTAGGAGATCCCTATTCCCATCGCAGAGCCGCAATTGTGTTCTTAACAGCTGGAGGGCCACAGTTTCCCCATCCCTGCTGTTGAGCATGCCTGCTTCAAAGTACTTGTATAGCTACTGCATTTTGTATTTTTGTTTCTAATAAACATTGTTTTACTTGCTATTTCTAAGGTCAACAGAATGGGCACTATGTTTGAAAACAGAGCTGGAGTTTGTGTACAGCTTGTCACCTGCTCACCAGACTGGTAAGTATTTCTTCTTCTTCAAGGTTTATTACGCAAGGCCCAGTTAAGCTGTTACAATCTCCGACTTTTAAACCATGGTTTATTGGTCCAGGAATGAGTTGTGTGCCTGCAGGCTCCCTCCTTGCCCATCCTCTTTGCTCCTGCTCTCCTGGGGCTTGCTTTGGCAAAGATATCCCGATTTCCTAAATCACACTTTCCTGTGATACCATAACCAGGAAAGTGTGGTTTGGCAGTGTCTTCAAACAGATTGTGACTTCTGAACCAGGTTGATAAGGTACTGTCTTCACTCTTTCTTCAATTCCCTCTATTTCTTTTCATTGTTTGGTGTAACAACTACTCCTTTTGTGTAATAACTACAGAATACCAATAGACGAGCGAAGAGAATCCTGATGTCCCATACTACCAATTAAGCTGTTGAAAAATGTTACCTGCAAGGTTTCGCTTTATGGAATCTTGCATAACTTTTTTAAAAAAACTTACTTTAGCACGAGCATTTTCACATAAGAGTATTCTTCAGCAGCTCCATTACCATTGAGTTTGCACATGCTGTGGAGTGTCTAGATGTTAGATTTAGTGTGTTGGCAAAGGAAGACTAAGAGCAGGAAAGCCTCTCTCTTTCACACTGGCATTCGGAATAGTCCTCTAAATAGGAGAGGCTTCAGAGACTGATTTGCATTACCTTGCCCCCCATGTGTTCAAGGTTAGAATTTGTGACGTGCACCCAAGCTAACCACAGCCAGCCTGTCACGTATGGAAAACCCATCAAGATGCTTGAAAGATATTTTGTTTCATGCTACCTACCTGAAAACTGCAAAAAGAGGATTATCAGATAGCTAAAATGGGCTGCGTTTGGCTGGGAGGATGAATCACAAGTTGCTCAGGGCTGGGTGAGAGTAAGAATCCTCCCCTTTTATTGTACATTAATCAGTGGATTTAGGGTTTTCTTCTGCTCATTTTGGATTTGATATCCCGCTTTATCACTACCCGGAGGAGTTTCAAAGCGGCTAACATTCTCCTTTCCCTTCCTCTCCCACAACAAACACTCTGTGAGGTGAGTGGGGCTGAGAGACTTCAGAGAAGTGTGACTGGCCCAAGGTCACCCAGCAGCTGCATGTGGAGGAGCGGGGAATCGAACCTGGTTCACCAGATTACGAGTCCACCGCTCTTAACCACTACACCACACTGGCTCTCGTTTTACTTCACCACCACCTCCCAACTTGACCTGTTTCTGGTTGGCACCCCAGTAGTGACTCACCTTTTACCCTGCCAGATGCTCTCCGTTTGTAGCTTATTGTAATCCTTTTGACACCCCAAGGGGCTCCTTTTTCTGTGACATGTTTACCGGATGTATTCGGCTGTTCCTAAACAACTGCTATCTCACTGAAAGCGGATGAGGCAGGCTGGATCTACAACCTAACTTTTATATCATTGTCTATTCCTCCACAGCACAATATATTTTTGGGATCTTCGAGCCCACAGGCCTACTCTCCAGCCTTCAAGTGAGAAGAAAAAGGAGGATAAGCTGATTTTGGCTCCGCCTGATGTGCCTACTACCTTCAAACACCTGGATCTCTGCTGGAGGCCTCTCATTAAGGTATGGGGCTGTGAATTTAGGAGAGCCGCCAAGGTATATTGATAGGGATGATGTGGCTACAGCATATAGTTTTATTGTTAATTTCTCCACCGTACCTTTCAATCTCCTCAAGGCACTGAGGTTTCTCTCTGAGCAATCTTATGTTTCGGGAAAGAATTATTTAAAATTGCATGTTCAAATTGTCCCACTCTGCAGCAGGTGGATAAACATGATTTATTTAAAAACAAGCCCTACCCAATCCACACGTTCCAAAAGAAAATGCAAACTGAAACGCAGCCATTCTTCGAAATTTGCACAGCTCTGAATTTCGCAGTGCAATTCTCCAGCCGGGGAATGTGTACCCAAAAAAACTGCATCCCTAGGGTAAAGTGTGCATTCGTGAAAATAGCAGGCACAAATGCATTATTATGGAGGGAAACCTGCATGGAAAATGGTGTATATTAGGCAAAATGACATAGGAAAACGTGTTCATGGGGAGAAATTCATAGTAAAATGCTGATGAGTACACATAAGGACTTTCCTTTTTTAAAAGAAAATGCAATCTGATGTGGAAATGGAAAGGAACTGAACTTATGAATGGAAAAATGATTTGGACAGCAAGTCCCACAGGGACTGATGGGAGTCGTAGTCCAAATCGCCCGGCAGGCACCAGGTTAGTGAGGGCTCGCGTGGCACAACTATCGCATCTGACCTCTTATCTCAGCACCACTGAATGTGTAAGCTGCCTTTCTGTCTGGTCACACCGGAAAGTTATGTAACTTTTAACTCAAGTTTCTTTGTGGAGTATATGGTCCAACACTCTTTGTATCTTAAAACAGGTGAACCTGCCCAAGACAGATACAGGTGCAGAGTACAGCCCTATAAAACTTAGCTTCAGAGAAGAGCATTACCATACCAAAATTCAAGGTATATATATATATATATTTACATTATATATACACGCATTATATATAAATATGGACTGATGCCAGCACATCTCCCTCCACCTGGTTTCTACACCATTCAGGGTTGCCCCGAACCCTCTGGGGAGAGGTTTGGGAGGGGGCACAGGAAGCTAAGCTTTCTGCTTGCAAAACCTCTGGACCCTACACTATACCTGTAATGTGGGTGCTTATTAAATCTACTTTTAGTGGAGAGAGGGAGGGAGCTAGGGGTGCAAACTTGAATATAAAATTGGGGGCCCAGGTACACCCCACCCCACATAATCGATCACAAGACATGTCACACACACACCATTTTAATGGCAATGCTCATCAACAGGGGGAGGCTGATTCCCTCAAATATTTTATGGGGGGGTGTCCTTGTTCCCTAAGTGTTCGAGAGAGCACATTCATTAAATGCCATACATGCTTCCCTCGGGGCATGTCTATTCGCCGTAACATAACCTGGTGAAATTGACAGCAATTTCTCTCATAAAACACGGAGAAACATACCCATTGAGGGTGATAGATAACAATTCTCTATTGAGAACTCCTCTAACTCAGGGGTGGCCAACTCCCAAGAGACTACAAACTACTCACAGAGTTAAAACTGGCAGTGATCTACCCCCTGTTTTGGGGGGTTCAGGTCAAATTTGCTGAGGTATTTTTGGGAAGGGCGAAAGCCCAGTTTTTTAGGGGTTCAGGGCAAAAATGTTGAGCTTTTCTTAGGGGAGACAAACTTGTTGAGCTGCTTTGGGGGAGCCAGTGATCTACCGCAGATGTCCAGTGATCTACCGGTAGATCACAATCTACCTGTTGGACGTGCCTGCTCTAACTGAATAAACTGCAGGACAATGACAATTCTGGAATGTGGATTTCCCACAGCTTGCCACGAGGCTTTCACCTTCTGCCCACCTGAGCAGGTGGTAGATGGTAGATGAAAGGCATTAATTAATGGGAATGATTGCTGTGCTTAGTAGTTGTTGTTTTTAATGCAAAACAGGTAAAAACGATAGCAATGAGTGAGTAGGAATGTGGAAAGTTTCGAGAGTTTTTGTTTATACGATTTGCATAGTGATTTTATCCACATTCTTCCAAAGACAAAACACAGCCCCAAGTCAAACAGGAGGCACTTGTGGAAAAGCTGCCATATAGCGAGATACAGGCCACGTCCATGAAACCTCTGAAGCTGCTAGAAAATGTCACCAGCAGCTTTTTTGTTGGGACTGAGGTAAGTTGGACATTTGGGTGTACAATTGTTGTTTACGGTGGGGGAGCTAAGAGAAGGAAAAGTAATAACCACACCATAAAGTGTTTTGTTTTTTTCAAAGCGCCTCTTAAACCATCCCAACATTTCTTCTGCATTCTCTCAGTTTGCGGCCCATCGTAAAAACAAGGCATCATGCAGGAAATTGTTTTGATTTTGCAAACACTTTTGTATGCTTCAAAAGAGACCAAAGCTCAGCTAAAAAAATAAATAAATTGTGACCAGTATTTCACTTTATGGCATTGCAGGATGGTGAAGTCCTTTATACCGACTGGAAGATGGAGAGAGATGGGGACTCAGGAAGACTGCTCAGTATGCTTTGAATTTCTCTGGGTGGACAGGGATTGCTGTGGGATTTGGGTGGCTTTTGTTTTGGTTTTTTAAACTAACCAAGGACAACACAGTTCTGAAAAAAATCTGCATGTAACAGTTTCTTCAATCAATGTTAATGTTACTCAACTGAACTGAGTTTAATAGGATATAGTAGTGAGTTTGGCATTAGATAGGTGTTGCTGAGTAAAAGAGAGAGGGAGAGGTAGAAAAGGCGAATAAATGCTGAGAACACTACTACTAGCAATGGGGCATGGGGGATAAATTCAGTTCTCTTCGCATTTCCAAAGCAAGAGTTAAATCAAAACGAAACCACTGTTGAAAATTTACACTTCCCCAAATTGTGCTGTGTAGTTTTCCAGCCAAGCGATGCTTTAAAAAGTGCATGTCTTCAGGGTAATATTGCTTTGCCAAAACATTTATATCAGGAGAAATCACATGGGTATATTGGCAGAAACTCCTCACAAATTTTCATATGGACTTTAAATTCTCTTCGCACACTGCAGCAAAGGTTTATTACTCAAGGAGATACATGCATGTATTATTGTGCTGCAGGGTTCAGATGAGAACAGATTAACAGAGGATATTTCAAAAACTAGATGTAGGTAAAGGAACTAGTTAGATTAGGTTCAGGGGCGATGCGAGGGGGTTGCCTAGGTGGGATGTCTGAGTCCTGGGAATTTTTTGTGCAGGGAGGACCTAGATTTCCTGACCCTCCTTTAAAAAATAAACAAAAAACTTTTGAAAAACTTTGCTTAAAGGGCAGCAGGGCACATGGCAATGTGTGGGGCTGGTAAGACCCAATCTACCTTCTTTAATTTGCACAGAGGAACTATATGTATTTGTGCAAATATGTGGCATATGGACCTGTACTTTGAGGCCATATTCACATCTGCACACTTATGCCACTTTAAACAATCATGGCTTCCTCCAGAATCCTAGCAACTTTAGTTCATTTTGAGTCCTGGGACTTGTAGCTCTGTGACGGGTATCCTAGCAGTTTTTCTCTTTATCCTGACCTCTTTAAAAGGCACAGAATAGTCACTTACCAACTAGTTCAACACCTTGCAAGAGCCAGATAAAATGTGACAAAGAGACAAATGTATGCACATACAAAACAGAGTCTTTCTCTCTCTCTCTTACTCATAAGGTCAAAAGCCATCCAACACGTACATCATCCATGATGGACTTGTCCATACTGTACAGAGGTCTCCGTTTTTCAAAGACATAATTCTCACTGTTGGAGGCTGGAATTTTGCAATATGGAAAGAAGGTGTCACGGTATGTTCCTCTGGAATGGGAAATCCTTAAGAAAGGGGTGACAAGTCCATTCCAAATGTAGCACAAGGTGATTCAGAAAGGTGTAAGGAACAGGTAGGAACGTGTTTTCAGCTGTTTGTTTGGGGGGGGGGGACATTGACCTGTTTACCTATTTCCTTTGATAATTCTTCAAGAGAAGTTTCCTGCGGATTGTTTATATGTATATGACTCCTCTCAGTGAATATAACAGAATATTTTAAAACCAGCCATGATTCTCTAATCAAGAGCTGTTATAGCTCAAAACATATTGGATATTTTTTGCAAGAAACAAAAACATGAAAACACCCCTATTACTTGCACCTGTTTGAATAATGCTGTGCCCCACTGATTCAGGACATACTGAAGGATATTCTTCAGTTCCCCACAGGTGTAGAGGTTTCACTATTTCAATGTATATGCATAAATTCATGATGCAAGCGTAGCTTCTTCTGCCAGCAGAGTGGAATTTATCAGTGATGAATATCTGATGAATTTATCAATTTATCATATCCTCATGCACCTGCCATAAACTGAGGATACAGATCCCCAATAAATTTCTATTTTAATCTTCCTGTATTCTTCAATTGCGGTTAAGCTACCCAAATATAACAAAATCCTTTAAAAAGCACTCTCACGTAGAATTGCAACTGGTTGTACAATGTGTAAGACTTGTCAACATAATGATTAAAAGTTGATGAAGAGTTTAATGGGGATTTCCCCGCAGCTCCCATTTTAATGGGATGGGATGGGAAAAGGCAGGAATACTCAAAAAAAAGACAGGAAGATGGAAGTGTTAGGTGAACAATTTTAATCTGGTATTTGTTTCATGCAACTATTTTCCTTTTGGCTTTGCTTTTTTAATGAAGAGCGGTCCCCTCCTTGAGTCAAGTTGCACAGCAAAGAGATACACTGTTGGGCACTGGTCCTTATCAAGGCCAGGTGTTTTCTTCATTGGGAGAGAAGATGGAAATATTGACATTTGGGACCTGTTGGAGAAGACTCATGAAGCGTCTCAGACCCAAAACGTCTGTATTGCACTGATTACTTGCATCAAACCCTGGATTTACTCTTGTATGTCAGTGTACCGTATTTCTTATTTCCTTACTTTGAATGTAACTTTGCAGTGGGTCGGCCAGGTTAGAAAGAAAGGCAATGTTTAAAAAAAGGAAGGCAATTCAAATGGACATAACTTGTATCACATGCACAGTTGGCCATAAGATGGCAAGGGAAAGGAAGAATAGGGAAAGCAGCAATGAAATTTTGCCTAAGTCTGGTAGTCTAGCATTACCCTCCGTCTTCAGCAGCTGAAAGTGGAATGCGTGTTGAAAAAAAGGCCTTGGGTGAACTACACATTACAAGCAGATGCATGAAACAGAGTCCAGGTGCCATTTTTTAAAATATGAAAAGCTGCTTCAGGAGCCACTCCCAGGTGGCTTTCTAGGGAAAATCATTTCCTGACACCCCGTGTGGTTTCACATTCCTGCTCTCCCCCTTGTTTTGTCAGCACCAGTTTCCAGCCTACCCAAATGGCCTTTTATTTTGTTTTTAAATAGCACTGGGACTCAGTTGCACATATGTAGAACATGTAGTTAGCTCTGCAGTCAGACACGTAGAGAGTTAATCTTTTATCTTTGGATGTTAGAAGTCGTAACGTTTTATTGTGATATTTCTGTACAGTATGTATGCACAATGAGATATTTGCTCCTGCTTTTAGCTCTCTCGTGCCGAACCATAGCTGTCAACCTTCCCTTTTTTTGCGGGAAATTCCCTTGTTTCAGCGCCGTTTCCCGCTGCTATCCCAGATTGTTAGATATCCTGTAGACTGTCTCCGGGACAGGTGAGGCTACTGATCCCTTATTTTCAAATCTGAAAGTTGACAGCTATGTGCCGAACTCTGAACAAATAGGCTTATAAACTGTATTTTGGGATTCCAGTTTAATAAGGTTTGGGGGAGGAGCAAAACAGGACAGGCAAGGTGGCTAGGAAGAACATGCGAGAGATTGAGTTCCCAAATTGACCCTTACAGCTCATTTGCTCTCTGCCATAAATACTAAACACAAAAAAATCCTTCTGTGTTTTGTGTACAACTCCTTCTGCATTCTCTGTCTTCTCTTGCAGCGAAGCAACACTTCTTAGCAGTATCCGATGACTTTGGCACCCTGCATGTTTTGGAAATTTCGTGGACATTAAGCCACCCTTCCCTCAATGAGGTTTGTAACATGTTCCAGAAACTTGGCTGGGGAGTGGGGCAGGGGAGCCGCAAACAAGATTCCTTGCATGGGGTTCTAAGAGTTACATGTTGTAGTTGGCTTGGCATTGCAGGGGGTGGACTGGATGACCCTTGGGGTCCCTTCCAGCTCTATGATCTGGTGGCATAGCAGAAAAAAATGGATGTGCCATTCATTTAGACAAGGTATGATCGGAGGTGCAAACACAATGGTTTGTTGCATTTGTGTAACAGTCATATATCACAAAGCTGGCAATTGTGTAGTGAGGCTGGAATAATAATAATAATAATTTATTATTTATACCCCGCCCATCTGGCTGGGCTTCCCCAGCCACTCTGGGCAGCTTTCAACAAAATATTAAAATACAGTAATGCATCAAACGTTATGCATCAAACAGGGCTGCCTTCAGATGTCTTCTAAAAGTCTGATGATAACAGAACTCAATTGGAAAACAGGCAATTACCTTGGCCAGCCGCTTTGGTCGGGGAAGAAGACCTAAATGCAGCCTCTGATTGGCATAACTGACAAACTTCTGGCGGCTGGATTTAGGGAGAAACTACATTACCAAGAAACTCATTTGTTCTTTTCTTAAATTAAATTTTAATCCCACTATTCTTCTGAGCAGCTCAGACTAGGGAAGGTACATGGCTTTCTCCCCCCCCCCCCCATTTTTCCACACATCTGTAATATGGAAACCTGGTTTGGCTCCCATAGCTGGAAATGGGGCAACTGTGTTTTTTTGTTGATGGATATTTAAAATGTCTCTGTCATAATCTAAAAATGCCTTGGAATATCAGCGTTCTAGTGTCCTTCATTACTTTGAGCGAGAAGTCAAACATCTGGAGTTTTCTGAAAAGCGGCGAGAATTCAGAGAGGAAGAAAGAGAGAATATGGAGCGTGAGAATATGATGAAGAAAACGGTAAGATTCTCTTAAAGTGACAAAAAAAGCTAGGAGTGCTAAGGTTTTGAAAAATGTGCCTATTTTTCATGTATTCTATTTATTTTCCATTCCTTTAGTTTATAAGCAGTCCAACCCTGTGCAGTGTAGGGCAGCTAAATTTAACCAAAATTATAATTTAAGGAAGGTTTGGTCTTCCTCTTCCTTCATTTGGACGTTACACAAAACCATGGTTTGTGATAGCCACAGTTAGTACTAACAGTGCTTTGTAAACTGGCTTCAATTAATGGTTGGCTCCAGTGCTATTTTTCTATAAAAGGAGGTGCTGGAACTCACCATGAACACCTCCCTTGTTCTCTTACAGTGGCGATGATGCTTACTTGAGGTGCCGGAACTGAGTTCTGGCTGGGGGGAAAAGACCCTCCACAAAACATGGTTTCAGCATTAAAATAAGCAATGGTTTTGCATTGTGTCTGAACCCAGCCTCTGTGGGAAATGCTTTTGGAAGGGCATGTATTGTATGCCTTTGCCAAAATGTAATAACTATAATGTAAAACATAATAAACCAGAGAGCGGTGGGGATTTACTGTTATGTAGAGATAGTATTTGAATTTGTAACTCACAGCCCACAAAGGCACAAACGAATTTGTAACTCACAGCCCACAAAGGCACAAACGATGGCATCTGTACAAGGGCATGTGACACGCCCTCCTCTATGCCCCCCCATCACAGAGAGGTCTGGAGGGTGGCAACAAGAAAACAGGCTGTCTCAGCATGCTTTTCATTATGTTTTTATCATTGATGTTTTGTAATGTATTCTTAATGTTGCACACCATCCTGGGATATTCTGATAAAGGGTGGCGCTGTGGTCTAAACCACTGAGCCTCTTGGGCTTGCCAATTAGAAGATTGGCAGTTTGAATCCCTGCGACGGGGTGAGCTCCCGTTGCTCTGTCCCAGCTCCTGCCAACCTAGCAGTTCAAAAGCACACCAGTGCAAGTAGATAAATAGGTACCGCTGTGGGAGGAAGGTAGATGGCGCTTCTGTGCACTCTGGCACTCGTCACAGTGTTCTGTTGCACCACATGACCCAGAAAGCTGTCTGTGGACAAACACCAGCTCCCTCGGCCTGAAAGCGAGATTAGCGCCGCAACCCCAGAGTCGCCTTTCACTGGACTTAACCGTCCAGGGGTCCTTTATTATTATATCATTGTCTACCTAATAGGCTATATTTTAAGGCTTTGAGAATTAACTTTCTCCCTCCAACTCAGAAAATGTGTTTATAACTTACCCCCTCCTTCCTTGCAGAGAGCGATAGGTGGCCAGCGGTCAAGAGAATTAATGGAAGAACAGACAAATCAAGATTATACAGAGTTTTTGGATCTAGAGAAGACCATTCTGACTCGTCTTGGGGTACTGAAGGTGCCAGACAGATACGCCTCCAGGACCAACTAGCTGCGTAAGACACCACTGTCATATTCAGGACAGCGTAACTTGTTGTAAGCAACATATTTAGAATGACACTGATCCAAAGACATGGGAGCACCTGAGGAGACCCTTGTGTGGCTTTGAAAATTTGCAATGCAGGAGAGCTCCCACAAGCCAAAAGGACCTGCTGCTGTACTGTTCAATTTGCAGCTTAGCTTTTTTTTTTTTTACTGTAGGACTGTTGAAAATGCCCCCCTCCCCAATATGGTTGTAGGTGCTGTTCCTCCATACCTCTAAACTATGTATCATAATAAATATACAGGTAAGCAACATTTTCACACATGGCTAAAGGTGCGTATTGACAATAAAATAATAATTGGTTTTGCATTAATTAGAACCTGTAGCGCCTTAATGCAAATATTAAAAACAACACTATGTTAATATGTATGCCCATTAAGTGCCCTGGATACAGCATAATATGGAAACAGCAGCAATGCGAGGAAGCATCACATGTAATCATTTCAGACATCTGGAAGTGCACACAAACATCAGGCTTCTTTCCAGATCTACTACATATTCAGTCGTTATCACATAACATTCTCTGTGTATGCTAACAGCTGACCTCAGCAACACTTCAGTTTTCAAAGTGACTGAGGTTGATTTAGGCCAGAGCTTTTCCAAACTTTTCACATTGGTAACACACTTTTTAGATCTGCATCATTTCGCAACACAGTAATTCAGTTTTACTAGCAAACTGGAGGTTAAACGAATGCTGAATGAAAAAATGGGTGCCGTAACAGCCATGACTTAACGATTAACAGTAAGCAACCAGCCACACAAAAGTCAGCGGTTGCTACAACCCCTCCACAAATACATCATCTCCCCATGTAGCCAAGCAAGAGGCATAATCACCATTCAAACTCACCTGCAGTCACTGTGCCATCAGCTTGTTTATTTACATAGTTCTTCTGTCCAAGACACATTCTCAACATATGAACATCAGGATACACAAACTGCAATAGTAAAAAGATTTGTGTTGAAGGGAGCACCTTTCCCTTGACACACAAAAGCAGGTCACCGGCTGCTTGTGCTGCAGCAGGAGAGCAGCTTTAACCCCTGGAGAAGTTAAACAACAGCTTGACTATTTACCTGTGCAAAGGAACAGCAGCTGGTTAATATTAATGTCGCTCTCTTATCGGTTGGGGTGACATTTTTCATCATGCAGTGCTATGTTACCAGGTCAGGTGCCATCAGAGACCATTAGGCAGAAATGAAAGGCTTCAGAGAAGGGCAGGTTAGACTCTTAAGAGGGTGAATCCACACTTTCCACAGCCTGCTGTGGTAGCAGAGGCTCCTGTCAGACAAGTATCCATGCGGTCAGGGCAGAAAGTGGAAAGACACATGGAGACGGTTTGCAAAGCGACTCTTACCGGTCTGCAATATTCACTGCTCCTGTCTAGCTTTGATCAGTGAAAATAACAATTACCGTTGGGAATCATAGAGTTGGAGGAGACCTCAAGGGCCAACTAATCCAACCCCCTGCAATGCAGGAATCTCCACTGAAGCATCCATGACAGACGGCCATCCAGCTTCTGTTTAAAAGCCACCAATGAAAGGGAGTCCCCAACTTCCCAAGGGAGACCATTCCACTGCCAAACAGCTCTTCCCCTCAGAAAGTTCTTCCTGGTGTTTAGTCAGAATCTCCTTCCTTGTAACTTGAATCCATTGGTTCGAGTCCTACCTTCCAGAGCAGGAGAAGACAAGCTTGCTCCACCTTCCATGTGAAAGCCCTTTAGATATCTGAAGATGGCCATCGTACCTCCTCTAATTCAACAATCCATAGTAGATGCTAACCTGCTTGGGGCACAGGAAAGTGATAATTAGAAGCTGGGAAGAAAACATTTTTTTAAAAAAAAGTAACAGAAGATCTAACAGTATACAGTGGCCAAAGACTGTTTTAGGTCTCCGTCCTCCTTTTCTCCCCAGTCCAAATGATCTTTCAGTCACCAACTCTTAGATCCTCTCTCTCACACCTGGTAGCAGCATACCTCTGAATGCCAGCGGGGAGAGGGGAGGGCTCTTGAGCTCAGATCCTGCTTACAGGCTTCGTATAGGCATCTGGGTTGGCCACTGTGAGAGCAAGACAAGGTAGCCTGTTGCTCTGATTTACCAGAGCTCTTTTTATGTTCTTACATGACCCAGACTGTATGCCCAAGGCATGCTTCCAGACAGCACATTCAAATATCACGAGATGATGAACAAGTAACCCCTTAAAATATGTTTACCCACCTTTCTCTTACATACGCAGGCAGGCTAAAGAACAGCAAAGGTGGATCCCTGCCACTACCTTTTCAATAAACTCTGAAGTATTTGGGTACAGCCACAATTATATATATATTGTGAGAAACGTGCTTCAAATATCACACATGCATTTTGTGTACTAGACTAGCCCCCCTAAAACATTAGTGGCCTTGAACGACCAGATGTGTCCCCAGCTTATCAGATTTAGAGATTTGTGCTGCAAAAATCCAGAGGATCTATTTTTATACGAGAAGTTACCAGCTATTTTTAGCATACCAATGTAGCTATCTCTGCCGCTTGCCCTCCACCCGCCCCCCCCACGCCAGGGCAGTGAGGAGGGAACTGGCTGGCTCAGCAAACACTAGCTTCCTTAGTGTATTTTGCAAAATAAGCTACCAAGGGCCCCCAAAAAATGAGCTGGAAGGTTCAGCCTAGGTGAACAAACTTGGGGCCTCCATCTGAACCATATGGTGGAGGCAGGGTTAGATCAATAAACTTGTACTTGACAATGTTCCATCTGTCAGCATTCAAATATGAAAGGTGGACAGAGACAGATGGAGGCAGATAACAAGAGGCCACAGTTCAGTAGTCTCTGTCAAATGCACCTCTCTTTATTCACGAGTAAGGAATATGGGGTGGCTGCACTTAAGGACTGAAGAACAAAAATGCCTGCAAACAAAAACTTCACTATTGTTGGAATTATTGCACTGCAAAATGCTTCCACACCAAAAAAAGAGCATTTTTAAAAAAGTTTATAAAAAGCACATGCACCCCTTAAACTGCAACTTTAAGAATGATCACATGAACCATTCATTTGCACTGTTGCATAAACCCAGACAAACCTGCCGAAGATGCCAAACACAGATTAGCTCTGCTGGCCTGTTTGCACCATGCTGACCTCAAACCCCCACCCCACCACCTCCCGCACTCTATGCCTGCCTGCCGCAGTAGTAAATCAGCCGGATGGAAGGCAGGTAAACAATATGCGTTCACCAAGATATCCGCTACTGGCTGACCGAGAATCTTCTCTTGAAAAACTGAAAATCCTAGACACGTCTGTTAGAAGATGATGTTCATCTTCTTTCCTAAAGCAAGCAAGCAAGCTGTAATCCTTGCATTTATTGTTGTTTGTCTGCAATCTGAATCCTAATCCTATTCTTTATGGGGGGTACGACTATGCCTGATTGCAATATGTACATAGAGTGTATCCTATTATATAAACTGTTACATAATATAACAAGGAACAGCTTACACAAACATATATCACCAGTTTAGGTGGCTTGAACAACAGACAGAAAGCTGACATTTGGTACAGGTTTGGGGCTCTTTTGCATTCACACACTTAACCAGCTACGGACTGGGGGTGGGGTGGGGGACTGCAATACCAGTCAGCAATATATTTATGCTGGTAAAATGTAAGCTGTATTAACCAGGGTAGAATCCAGGCATTCCTCTGTTCTTAATAAGAGCAGGAAACATTTACATGCATGTCACAGAAGGTTCTAATAAAGTGAGCAAAAACCACCAAGTGGGTCATCATCACAGTTCTTAATTTCCACACATCTAATTTGTAAATCATGCAGGCACACAATCTACCTCTAAGCAGGGATGTGCTGAAGCCATTAATTTAAAACAGATTTGAAGCCATTGAATACATGCTCTCAGATTGCATTTCAATTTAACAAATGCATCATTAAATTGTTTCCTGACAGATGATGAATTCCCATTTGGGAGACACAAGTTTTCACATAAATCTTTTATCATTTGTGCTTTCTTTCAGTTCTAAAATAATGTGTATGGAAAACGTGCATCTCTCCCAAATGGCCACAAACAATTGCTACAAAGAAAACAGATATAAATACCTCTGACGTGGTGGACTTAATATTAGGCTTTCTTAAAACTAAAGTTTTTTGTTTACTTGTAGTATAACAGAAACTACTGGCCAAAATGCCAAGACGACATGAAATCTTGAAATTTGCTAACAGAATTAAATTCAGTCACTGCTCATACATTACTGAGTTCCACAGCCTGTTCTATGGATGGGAGAACAACCATGAACTTCCTGTCATGCAAGGCAAAGGCCAGGGGTAGTGGCAAACAGTGGTGTAGCGTGGGTTGTCAGCACCCGGGGCAAGGCAAGTAATTTGCGCCCCCTAACCCGTGGATTTGCGCCCCCTAACCCTAACCCCCAGAAGTTGCGGCCGGCCCCCCCTGCACCCCCCACGCTACGCCACTGGTGGCAAAGCAGCCATTTGGGCACCTGCCAAGCCTTGCTCTCCTGAAGAGGGTCCGTTTCCAATCCCTAGAGCTATCCCCCTTCCATGCTTGCCCTGAGCATGGTAGCAACAGCAAAGGTGAGTTGCCTTGAACTCTCCCTGTAGGCCAGTGGTGAAGAACCTGTGTCCATCTAGATGTTGTCAAGACTACAATTCCCATCATCCACAGCCAGCTTCATCAGAAGGGATGGTTGGAGCTGGAGTCCAGCAACATCTGGAAGACTACAGGTTCTGCACCCCTGCTTATAGGCAGATGTACAGGTTAGGCCCAATGGAAAAGTGAAAGTGAAAGGCAGGTGGGCACAGAAGTTCAAGGGGGTGCAGTGAGTGCATCCCCCACCACCCTTGGAAATGGTCTGGATGAGAAGCATTTGCATGTACAGTCATATGCACAATGGCCTAATTTGTGTGATTATTCCCCCTCTAACAGATATGTTGCAGCAGGAAGCAGACGATGACGATGACAATAGAGTCCTTGTGTGCTTGTAGCTCATTAGGCCTCTGGGAAATTGATCAAATTACTCAACAACATGATGTTCTGGCTCAAGATACAATGTGGATAGAGTAGAATTTTACTCATTTTCTGTTGGGAATTTGTATGTTCAAAAGCTGTTGGAAAGCTAAACATTCTGATAGCATGTCTGTGTGTGCTAAAAGGGCACTGTGATTTTCACAACGCGACAAAGTAGGCTACTTCCATTCTCATTATGCAAAGGGCAAGCATGAAAAACGCAAAGCCCATTATTGAGCTAGGCTCTCTCTCTGCCCCAATTCCAATCATCTATCCACTGAGACATGAAGGCTTAGTTTGTACATCCATGTTCATTGCTAGACAACTGCAACATCAGTGGCTTTCCTGTGTGAATGAGACACCACAGGCCCAAAACTACAAAACAAGGTTTTGCTACTTATTCTGACGTACAAAAACTAAAGAGTTTTCCAGTGTTGAAGTTCTCATTTATCTAAAACTAGTCAGCGGAACAACACAAATGCAGAAGATCAGAAGCAAGCAGATCAGACAGGCAATGAGTTTTCAAAGGTAGAAATGGTAAGTTGCCTCTGGGAAGATGTTTGGAAGGAGACAATACTGTACTCCATCTCTAGCAGGGTATCCCAGAGGATCAAGATGGTAACAGAGAAGAAGGCCATAACATTAGGAGCACTTTCACACTGTAAACTTCAGTGACCAGGCAGGTCTATTATAGGAGACACATCTTCAGCTGAACTCATTCCATAACAGCAAAACATTAAACCTGGCTTGGTAGCAAATGGCAAAACACGTGCTATAACAATGCAACAATTCACACAGTGAGCTGGAAAGAAATCTGTTTCTGATAAACTACCTCTGGCTGGGAAGAAATAGCACTGAAATCGCCACTCAAATTCCTGCATGAGATTAGGCCTTCATCCTCCCTCTCAGTTGCTGAGCGCATTGAACGACTAGCCCTGAAAAATATGAAGGAAAACTTATATTCACAACCACAGCAGATTCTGTGTGGGCAAATACATTTTCAAGGTATTATGTGGAATCAGAAATGCATCCAACTTATCTTCAAATAATGGCAACCAGGGGTTTTTCCAGCTGGAACTTGCTGGAATTCTGTTGCGGCACCTCTCAGGTGAGCACCATTGTCACTCTAAGAGAACGAGGAAGTTGTTCATGGTGAGTTCCTGCACCTCTTTTCCTAGAAAAATTGCACTGATGGCAACCTTTTACAAAATGCAACCCATTTTTATTCTTAATCCAGATTTTATTCAGAATTAACATTTATATTTTTAAAAATAATCCACTTCCTGTACATATATACTTTTAAAAAAATACATCAGCTTATCAATAAATGCTTCAGGTTAAAATTTCCAAACAGTACCTTTGTTATTTAATTGCAATGACTGTATTGTGTACTGAGACACTAACGATAATAAATTAATAAAAAGGACACTGGATAAAAAGTGGAGATATTTAGGAAAAAATGTGGCAAAAAATTCATGCACCAAATTTGTGCATCCTATTGTAAATAAATAATAACAATAACAACAACAGTAGCCAGACAAAATATAGGAGGGAAACAAACAAGTTAAAATAGCATTTACATAAGGTCCATAGGCCAAGAGAGCGGCCGCTAACATAATACAGGAGAAAATGAAATCTTACAGTGTGTCAAGATCCAAAGCACTATTTAAGAAACCTTTGCTGACTTATATTTTTAAAAGCATTTCCATTTAAAAACTTACTCATCTGCATTATTAATAATGCAGCCTTTTTTAATGAGGCAATTGGTTGTATAATTTTTATTGCTTGGGTTTTATTGCTAGACAGTGGACAGAAGTTGAGTTTTCATTTATATATTTGCATAAGACTTGCAATTGCTTTGGTTAACTACTAAGATAGCCAACATCCGAGGACAAGCTTAATAAACGTTTTGTCACATTTATCCTTCTAAGGGAAGGGCTGAGGAGCTGTCAATAACACTCATTTAAGACAACTGGCAAGATAAACAGTAAATTGATAGTCTCATTTAATACTTATTTAATATTTCTGGTATGAGAGCAAATATTAAGAACTTCAAAATGCATTCAGGACCTAGATACATTATTTTTAAAAGGCACTTTCTCAATTCACATGTCAACCTTTAAAAATAGGATGGACTTTTTTGGGGAGGGGACTACAGCCATTTTAGCATCTACTAAGCTTTCAGAACATCTAAAATATCCCGCTCAAACCAATATGACTACTCTCCTCCTTTTTTTAAAAAAAAAAAAACAGGCTCTCTCTGTTCGTATACCTTTGCATCAGATACCCAAGAGCTATAGTGTTTACTACACGAGTAGACCCAGGAGGCTACATTCTGGAGTCCTATGTGCTCTCTTTCCAACAATTTGTGTGCAAATGAAGAGCCCGTTGACACCAGTCTGGCACACACAATTTATATGCAGTTGGGTGTGGGAGCGTTGGGATTGTGAATACTTATTATGCAGACATGTATAACATGTGCTGCAATTGGATTTGTACCCCCTATAAACATATCTCCTACCGTACAACCTGTGCCCAGATTTTCAAGTGGTATGGACTACTTGGTAGCAGCTATATATATTGTCCTAAGGCCCATTCTACATGCCTATTATAGGGCTGCCATACGTCTGGATTTTCTCGGACATCACTGGGATTTCAAAGGCAGAAATGACGTCTGTCCAAAAACGCATCTTTGTAAAAAGCTCAACAACTTTGGGGTTTGTCTAAAAAAAGCTCAGCAAGGGTGTATGTGCCCTTCTCCTAATAGTAGGCAACCCTACTATTAAGAGAAGGGCACATACACCATTGTAAGACAGTCCTCCCACAGAACCTCTACTTAACGAGTTCGCATCAGACAAGAAGATAGACCTGCATTAGCTTCAACACTATGGCTGAAATCCTAAACATTCACCACTGAACTCGGCAAGATGTAATGTCAGAATAAGAATGCCGGGGGTGCTGCCACTGGTAAGCTATGGAATACAATCACAGTTCAGCGGGAGTCCCCCTACAGTAGTATCGCTCTCTACTTTTGTGGTGATGGCAGGGTGAGACACAGAGATTTTTCCTGACCTGATCCATGCCAAGGTCTCCTTTAAAATCCTATGCAAGCTCTACTCACAGTGGATGGTTTTCACCACTATGTGGGGAGCAGTGGCCACATCCCGTACTTCTGAGTTCTAGCAGCCAGTCTGGCTAGCATGAGACACTGGCAAAACTCTAGACAGGGGAGAAAAAACCCAAAACATTTAGAGTACCTTCCTCAACTTGATGCCCACCCAATGTTGTTGGAGTCTGACTCCCGACAGATGTAACTAGCATGGCCAATGGTTGGGGATGATACAAGTTATAGACCAAAACATCTGGACTACAGATGCTGAGGATGGTTGATTTAGAGCAGGGTTTGGGGAGCCTGCAGTCCTCTGGTTTGTTCTGGACTACAGTTCCCATAATCCCTGATCACTGCATTTGTAGTCACAAGGACTACAGCTTCATAAACATGGTTCAGCATAGGGATCTGCACTCTTGAATTATGTTTGCTACTTGAGGCTGAACCAGAAAACATGTTCAGTCTTTAAATCCATCCCAATTTAAGTCTCATGCAGTTTTTTTGTGTTTGTGTGCATCTAACTTATTCTGAACGTTTGCCATTAACAGAGCCTTTGATCATGCATGTGATACTGCTCTGTCCATTGTTTGCATCTGGCTGAACTTTGGAAAGGGTTACAGGGATGTATATTTGGGGGGAAATTTGCATTTTAAACAATATGCATATTTGTGAGCCACCACAGTGTGAAATTTGGACTCTGGGAAACAATCGTTCCCATTGCCAAAGCCTCTCTAGAAATTCTCAAAAACGTGGAAATTGCACGATGAGACAAGGACACATTATCTAGGAAAGTTACGCACTTGTACATCTGAGAGATATCAATGTCGACTTCCGGGGTGGCGCCACCGGCAATGGCGGACTCCCTCTGAACTGGAGGGACTAGCTCCGCGGGAAATGGGTCTTCTCCGCTACGGCGAAGCGGGGACCCTTTTAAAAATCACAGGCGGATGAAGCCTGTGACCATGGGACTCGGTGGGCACCATTAGCGCCCCCACAACCCGCTAAGGAACCCACTAACGGGCACCGAAGTGAAGAGGGGGAAGTGGCGCGGTGCTGTGAGTCAACTGCTATTTCCGTGGAGCGAAGCCGCATAGCCGTTGCCGGAGAGCGCTGCCTTTTTCCTGGGACAATTTGGACTTTAAAATAAGCACCCGTGAGTACTTAGACTTTGAACAATTGGACATCAAATAAGGACTAACGAGCAGAAAAGAATTGGATTTTAAAAACTTACTCTAATTTGGTACGGAACGGGAAGGTCTAAACAGGAAGTCAGCCTTCCGTTCCTTTGTAAACAGAATAAAGCAAAGACAATTTAAACTAGAGCTCAGAAAATCGTCTTTAAAGGATTGGATTTCACCATTTAAAATTGTGGAACCCCCCTTCGACAGCAGGAGAAGGGGGGGGATCTTTTTGGACCGTTTAAAGTGACTTTAAAGTAAAGTAACTTTCCTCCGTCCTGATCCTGGAGTGGGGTGTCAGGACTGACGTTTGAAGTTCATTGACCAAAGACAAGTGTTTTTGACAGATAGCTAAAAGAAGAGAAACATAGTGATTTCACTGTTCCCCTTCGCATTTTAAAGGAATATATATTGACAAAATATCTCAAAAAGGGAAACTTTGTTGCAAGAACAAATAGAAGTTTTCCCCCCTAGAGGAGGTCTGTGAAACTGTAACTAACTCCAGGGAGCCGGCAGCTGTTACAGATTACAACCGTGGGAACAGGCATCTGACCTTGCAGGACAATGTATTCAGAAGCTTTGTTGTGTGCTCTCTATAAAACAAATGCCCTACTGGAACAATTACACGAGAAGGTGAATTGGATGGCGACTTCGACTAGAAATTTTGAACAGGCAGTGGGAAATTTTGAACAGACAGTGGGAAAATATGTGGAGCCCACTCAGGAATTAAATCAGGAGTGTGTCTTGACAGAACAGGCCCAACAGGAATATGAGTTTTCGGATTTGACAAATGAACTTGGAAAAAGCCAGATTTGGAAAGGAAAAGTTTGGTTTGGCTTGGAAATGGGGGGCTGGATTGACCCCCCTATGCCGGGACGTTTGGACTTTTCAAATATGGCAATGGGCCGTGAGATGTTTGGGTTTGTGGGGGCTCTTAATTTTGGAGGGTCTTTGAAACATGCTTTTAAATACTACATGGAATTCAGTGTTGAATATGGAAAAGGGGCTGATCTGTCGAGAAGGGTTAAGAACATTGTCAAGCTGGAGTTACCACGAGCAGGAGACAAGGGAAAATACAGTTACAAATATGAAAAAGAGCTGCGGAAGGGACATGGAAGAGACTTGAGGGCCTCGGATATAAGGTTGCCAGGTTAATGGGCTAGATCGACGGGATAATAAGGACTGACAAAACCCGGAACCAGGAGGAAGGGACGTTGGATGAAGATTGGATTTGTTTGTATCTCTTTTCTCTACCATTGGAACTGTTTTATAAAATTGATGAATGTTAGAAAAATGTTGGAATGAAATTACTTGGCTTTAGCAAAGATGTTTAAAGAATTATGAAAGAATATTATGGTTATGAGAAGTTGGTAAGGATAAGATTTAAGTTTTAAGCTTTAAGGTTTATTTTATAGAAAGATAAGATTAAAACAGTTTAGGGTAATGTAATGACAGAATATTATGAAACATGGAAAGGATTTGCTGGGATAATTAATAACTAGGATACAAAGAAAGGGAGGAGGAGGAGGTCTAAGAAAGAAGGCAATGACAGTTAAGGATTTGAAAATAACGAATTTGTTTTTAAATGTTTTTAACGGTTTGTGATGTATTTTTGTATTTTTCTTTTTTTGGTGCCTTTTTGTGTGTGAATTTTTACTCATATGGTGGGAAGGGGGTTGGTGTTTTTTTCCCCCCTCTCTTTTTCTACTTTGTCAACTATTTTTATTTGTACTTTCTTCTGCTTCTATTTTATTTTTCCTTTTTTGTAACACTTTGAAAATTTCAATAAATATCTTTTTTTTAAAAAAAAAGAGAAAGATATCAATGTCATCTGTGGCCTTCAAACTCCTCGCAGGTATTCAGCAAGTCCCTTCTGGTCCGACCCATATCCACTGCTGCTTAGCTGGCCATTTATTTTGGCATTACGCGACACACATTCCTTTTAGAAGTTGTGTTCATATTCAAATCTAAAACGGCCCTTTCCTGAAGTACCGATGATTACAAAGGGTTTGAGGCAGGCAGCAATTGCTCTTCACAATGTCTCATAGAACTTGCCCTGCAAGGCTCTCGTTTCTTGACTTGCGGCGAGGGAAAGGGAAGGCTGGAAAGGAAGGGGAGGAATGCAGTGTCCTCCTATTTCTGACAAGCCAAGTATGCTGCCTGTAGATGCATAATGCATGTGTCTTGCAGGAGAAGGCATGATCTCCTATGCTATGTTCTATAGGAGGGATGGGGAACCTTCCGCCTGCAACTGAACTTAATCCGGCTCCTTCCTGCTTATCAGCTGGAACAGTTTAGCAGGGGGGAAGAGAGGGAAGACAGGGAGGGCTATGGTGAACTCCCCATGCACAAGCATTGTACCCCAAATGGAGTAGATCAAGCCCAATGCTTTTTAATATATGTATATAAATATGTACAAAACAAAACAAAAAAGTTAGAAAAATATTTAATTTCTTTTCACTTTTAAATAATTGCTGGAAAGTGTTAATGCAGGAATACATTAATATTTGTACATTTAAACGTTTTCATATATAGCTATATAGGTATATATAAAAAGCTTTTTCTTTTCATAGCAGCCTTTGCATTGCAAGTGAATAAGGTGTCAAAATATGGTAGGAAAAAATGATCTACCTACAGTTTGCGCTGCAAATTATCAGGTAAGCAGCAATGTTAATCCTCCCTTTCTGGGAAAACATCTGTACCAGGGCTAAAGTTTCAGGAACAAATGAGTGCTGTTCCTGCTGTAACGTAGACAGAGATGGTGCCTTGCATAAATTGTCCAAACTTCCTAAGTGCATAGTACCGTGAAAGGGAAACGGAAATTCTGCAATCATCTCACGAAAAGTAACGTACCATTTTAAACCCAGAAGGGTCAACCCGAAACCATCCTCAACAGAGAAGAAGGAAGGGGGAGGAAAATTACAACAAAGCAATAAACAGATTGTGTAATACGAATGCACTAAGCCCACGGTGGATCAAAATCACTGCACGATGCAATGGAAATAACAGCACTGTACCCGTCTCTCTTTTGGGGAAGAAACAGGGTGGGGGGGAAGAGACAGCAAAAAAAGAGAGAGGAGGTATTGCAGAGGGAAATTACTTATCAGTAACTGATGTTGAGCTTGTTTTTATTGAGTTCCCGTTCCAGGTTTCCTATCAGAGTATCAATGCTTTCCTGCAGATCTTTGAGGTTTACTCTGTGGTTCCCTGCAGAATCCATGGCTTGCACCGTCAAATAGGCCTGAAAAGTGTGTTCTTTGGACATGCAATGGGGCCGTTCAGTGAGCTTCTCCGAGCCATCCACTCTGCCACCGTCATCGCCACTTTCGGCATCTTCCGAAGGAACATCATCATAGTCTGCTTCGTTCAGGGCCTCCTTGGGGCTGACGAAGTAGCTCTCCCCACAGCCACTCCAGTCTCCGGCATAGCGGTTGCTTGAAGGGCTATCCAGTCTGGCTGGCCGGGACCTGAGGATGCCTGACATCTCAGTACTGCTCAAGTTCAACATCTGAGGCCGCTGCTTCTTAGGTCTCAAGTAATTCACAGACGACTGCTGCTCAGACAATGCAGATTGCTTGACGGCTGAATGTTGCACTAAGACAAACAGCAGTTTTAAGACATGTTAGCTGAACGGTGTATATTACAAGAAACCAACAGTGTTAACATTTGCATTATTTCTCTCTATTTATCTACAATTGGAACATGCATGTATGCATGCACACTTAACAGCCAAAACATTCTACTACTGGGGTAGTGGAGCTAGCTAGTAATCCTATATTAGGAGGGGGAAGCCTGGGAGAAAACGTTCCATCTCAAAACTATCATGCCTTAGTCCACCTGCAACCGCAGGAGTCTGTTAAATTTTCTAAGCGCCTCAATGAACTCTGCAAGTTAATCACAAACCCGCAAACGCAACACAGTTCAAGTGCGGGCTGGGCTTTCATCTGCCATCCACATTCAGCTGTGTAAGACAAAAGCAAGGCCCGGCAAGTGTTAAAACAGCTTGCAAATATAGCCACCACTCTAGAAAGCTGACCATTTTGGATCCAAGTGTGTGCAAAGCCAGCCGAAGCTTTTCAAAGGTTTCTTTCCCCCCCACCTCTAAGCAGCCATATACTCCAGCTCAGAGACAGTGGTGGGGAATACATGCAGCACACATCTGTCAATTTTTGTTACCTGAACTCATGGATCTACACCCCAAGAAACTAAGTCTCCTCTGGTTACTGGCTCCCTATGGTTAAATAGTACAAATGCTTTATTGACAGCTGACGGTTGAATATTTCAACTGTAAAATATCTTTATCCCATGGTGCTTCTACCATCATGACATTTTTGTTCAATTTTAGCTGTTTGCTGGCTGCAATACGGAACATGAAAGGGGCATAATTCCTCCCCCAAATGCTTAAATACTTGCTAAGGTTAGGGTGGGGTGACATATCGTCCAAAACTGAAGTCCATATCGTGATATTGGTTTCATAATTGGTAATTATAATGTGCGTGTGCGCACACGTGCACTATACAAAAATCACGATGTGGGGAAAACGTGAAGTCAGCCAATGTCTCCACATAGCTCCATCCTTATTTCACGAATCATGGTATGTTGGTATATTGCGAGGTTTAGCTGGCGATATATAACGCAATGTTGAAAACCAGGTATCACCCTGGTGTGGCTAAAGGATGAGGGAGAAGGAAAGGCTATCAACAGAGAACGATGGAAAATATGAAGGTTGTCATGAACAAGAAGAAACTGAGGGGACCTGGTAGCAGTGCTTGAATTTGGGAGTGGGTTGAGGGGGAAAGTGGGCCTGTCGCCACCACATTTTGTGACAGGGGCCGACTTCCCAGCTTCTGTATTTAGAAGTCTACAGGAGTGGGGCACTGTGATTTGGAGAAAACTGATGAAAGTCTGGGGTGGGCCTTGTGGATTTCATGAGAGGCCTCTGCTACCTTTCCCCTCACAGTTCAAGCGCTGAGTAGGGTAGACTAATCCAAGTCTGGGGAAACATCTTATTTAGGCATGAAGATGGAAGATAACTGGGCTAAGAAAAAGGGGAGGATAGGATCATGCATGGCATGGCGGACATATGGAAGGGGAAAGGGAGAGAGTTAGACCTTGTTATGCTTTGACAGTTTGATAGGCAGAAGGGGTTTTCTTGCATTTCATACTTTAAAACTACAGTTTGAGCCTCTCACATGGCATGTGTGTCAGATATGATTCTTGCTAATATGGGAAAGGATGCAGACGTTAACGTGACAGAACATTCTAGCAAGTGTAGGTTTGGCAACTGTATTACAGAAAGCCAGTGTTTTTTGAACTAGTTTTTCCAGCTGTGCAAACTCCCCATCTGACATCCCACACTGAAAAAAGAAGACAAATGAAAACACAGGGGCCATCTCCCCATAGATACAGTACATGGCCAGACAGTCCAAAGGCCTTTGCATCAGCGGCGTGCCATGAATTTTTTTGTACAGGAAGTGTTAGGGCCAGAGGCGCCAGCTTGCCAGGGCAATGGGGTGTCATCACACACATGACGTCTTGATGTCCTGATGTCACACACATGGGCATTGTGGACAGAAGCTTCCTGGGAAGGAGATGCCAGGGCTCTGACAGGATGCTGGAGTCCTCCTGCCTGCTTCCCAAAGCTGAGAATTTAAAAAAAAAAAAAAAAAACCCCACAACAAAGCAGCAATTCTGCAAAAGCTGCTCCTTCGGCCAGATGACTTAGTGGAGTCAAAGCAGAGTGATGTTGGCAGTTGTGTTCATTGTGCTCTGCAAACAGCAGAATGGTCTCTGCCAGAGCATTCCATATTGTCTGCAGAATCAAGTTGCCAACCAAGGAGCCTTTTCAGACGATTTCCAGATGGTCTAATTCAGACACACCTCAGGCCCATAGTTGGTCAATCTGAAGGGCTTGACTAGGAGATGGAGGAGTTTAGTGAGGAAAGCAACAAGGGACTGAAAAATCTGTAGTAGTTTTCTGGATTGGGGTATGGAGAGGATCCCTCCTCCCTTCAAGTTCTCTGAAGATGAATATTCTCTGTGTCTCTCATGTTTTTGAGGGAAATGGTGAGTCTAGCTACCCTTCCAAGAAAAAAAAAAGGGGGGAAATGTTTCCACTGATGAAATATTGATGTTGACTTGTGTTGAAAGTACGCGCTCCTTCGCTTTGCAAGACAAGGTCAGATTCTTTGCAGGGTCACCAGATTACAAGAGCACACTGCTGTGATCCTCAGCCACGTAAGTCACCGAAAACCACCAGAGAAGTCACCACCAAGAGACTTAAAAGTACAACCGTAGAGGTCAAAAGTAAAAAAGCAGGACATGTTACCTGCACAAAAATGGGGAATAGGAGATTCTCTCTTTTTAAAAAAGTAAAAATTGCAGACACAGCATTTGCAGTAGTATGTAAAGAGTCAAATCCTGCCCATAAACAGCACACTACAAGCTGGGAGCCCCCTGCAAAAGCAAGCCTTATTGGTGGGGATATGTCTTGTTATTAGTCTTTAACAATTCGGCTTTTTTTCTTTAAGAAACCGGGAGTGGGGAGAACTCTCTGCAGCAACAAAAGCTCTTCTGTTTAGGCTTTGCTCTCTTAAGGCAAAAGGGTCATGTGTTAAACCTTAAGTGCCAGCGTTGTTGAGCCTTCCTACTGAACAAGGAGCATGTGTTTTCCATTTAAAATTTTAAAAAACCCACGAGGAGCACAAACATGGTTATCTAGTTTTTCAAATCCATCAGAGCCGTAATCTTTGAGAGTCCAAGCTCTGGCTTTTGGCTCCTTCGTTGGAACAGAGCTCACTCCACAATGTTTAATTAAATTCTTGAAGAGCCGAAAGACGCTGTACAGTATCATGCCTCTACAAGGAGTTTTTGCAATCCTCTCGTTTGTGCCATGGTTAGCTTCCTTGACAATAATCACACACAAAAAAAGCATTATATGGCAAAGCAGTCTCCATACATTCTGTATGTTTATAACTCCGACATTCAAATCAGAGATTTATAAATCCTAGGCAACCAGCCATAGCCCTCATTTCCTGGGCAAACATGAGGATTTGTCCAATTACGGAGACTATCTCAGCTTCCACTGACAGCACGGCCACATCATGGTTGCAACGAACAGACCTTGAAAGCAAGGCTGCGAGTTATAGCTAGCATTATACATGTGACCACCAGAAGATGCTGTTGCTTAGGAGCAGACACATTAATCTGAAGGCACTTCCTTCTTTCAGCCTGGCCTGCCACAGCAGTTCGGGGAGTAGCTGCCTTGAGAGGTTTCCGTTGTACCCATTGTGGGAAAGGTGGTGAATGAACTTGTACAGCAACTAGGGCGTTGCAGAAGCTCTCAGTGGTAAGGAAAGACAAAAGCAAGAGCACCAAGAAACAGGGACCCAGTTGGGGGGATGCTCCTTGCGCTTATAGAGCAGCAAACAGGGAACTTGCACTTATAGAGCAGCTCAGGGGACAGCATCAACAATGGTATTTCGTGGCACGTGGACAGCAAGTGAGCGCTTCTAAACGTTTGGGGTCAGTTAAATATTTTTGTCTTCATTGCATTCGTGCAATAGTCTCCTCTACCCCCAATTCAGTGAAATTTAATTGCAGATCTGCACTGCGTCCTGCTTGCTGGACTCATAGAATTATAGAGTTGAAAAGGACCCTGAGGATCATCTAAGTCCAACGCCCCGCAATGCAGGAATATGCAGCTGTCCCTTATGGGGATCAAACCTGCAACCTTGGCATTATCAGCACCACCCTCTAACCAATTGAGAATGTTAGCACACAACTCCAGACAGCTACGTTGCTATGCACTGGGTGGATCAACAGATGGATGAAGAATATTCCACATTACTGCACAGATTGGAAATGGAGATATTGTTGCTACATAATCACTGGGAGGCCATAAATATCCATTTCTAAGAGTGGGCTGGGCTTTCAGTACATTACCAATCGACAACCTGTAGCACAGTGAAGCTAGGGTTCTGCCCTGAATACCCAATCTTTCCTACCATCAGGGATTGATGGTAGAAACTGGTAGAACTGGTAGAAACTGGAATGGTAGGAGATGGAAACAATTTCTACGACTGGAACCAGTGGGTAGCACAGGGGGACCCTCCATCTCCTTAGGGAAGCTTCAGATGACTCATCTGATCTGGCAAGTGATGCCACAAACCTATCGTGAAATGAGTTTCACTTGATCACAGCTGACCTTAACAGTTGTCATTAACCAGTCTTAGGATCAAGCCTTCTTAAGTGTGGCTCATTCAAAACTACAAAAAGGCAGACAATCGAAAACACACTTATGCAGAAAATGAGACAGTCCTCCCAGTACACAGCCTTTCACAGACTTGCCTACTTAATCTGCTGCGATCGTCAGCTTTATTCCTGACTACTGAAGCAGTTCTGCTTGAAATGGGATTAAGAGCTTGATATCAAATATTTCTGGCTCCGGAAAGCATTCTGGAAATATTCCTAAGGCATAAGTTATTTGCTGAGGCACCAGTAATCGGCGATGGAGAAAAATACTGAGAGAGTGTGTCTTTTGCTGCAACCACTAGAACTATATGGTGATGATGAGCATTCTGAAATATCACAAGCAAACTCTGGCTTCATACCTAAAATGGCATTTTTTTGCTATGCTATACATTGGGGGTGGGCGGGGGAAAGGAACACTTCAACATTCATATTCTATTTATCCACTTCCTTTCCTCTAGTTGGCATGCCAAAAAATAAAATAACCACCACCAATTTTTATTTAAACCCTTTTGCATCACCTTTCTCAAATAAACTCAAGAATAATATACAATAAATAAGTGAATACATAAAAATAAAGGTTAGAACATTTCAACTTCCCCATAACACAGTTACTGACCTTAAGGTGGCCATTCTCAAGCAAAGGAACTTCAGGTGGGAAACTCCAGCTTGATGCCTGCTGAATTACAACTTATGAAGAAGTTCGGTTCTATCACCAGCAGCCTGAATCAAGGTAACTCTGCTATAGGTGTGATTAGCTTACTCATGCCTGGATTGTGTATTTGTGTTACCATCAACACTGCTTTGTGAATGGTCCTTGTTATGACATTACATACATTTCAACTTTAATGTAATTGTCACACTATGTAATTTGTGATTTTCATTTGCCCCTGACCTCATTGCTTATAATACTGTTTCCTTCTCTACAACAGGTGTGTGTGTGTGTGTGTATGTGTGTACATACATATATACACATATATATGTACCTATACTTTCCCGTTTAGGGTAATGCTTCATGCATCAGATGAAGTGGTCCCTACTCTGCAAAAGCTACCGTAGTTTTCGCTCCATTACACGCATTTTTTTCCTCCTAGAAAGTAAGGGGAAATGTCTGTGCGTGTTACGGAGCGAATGCTTCCCTCCTCCGTGGTTTCCAGCGGGAGAAGAGCCGCTGAATGGGGAGGAGAGAGGGACAGAGTGCCTGCTTCTTTAAAGGAGCAAAGCGGGAGGGGAGAGGAGCCACTTACACGAGTGTAAGCGGCTCCTGTCCAGTTGGCTCCTTTAAAGCAAGCAGGCACTCTGTATCTCTCTCCTCCCGCTTTGCTGGAAATAGCAGGAAAGATTTTCAACTCGCTAAGCGGGGATTTTCAGCTCGCTAAGGGCGGGGGGGGGGGGGTGGAGGGAGAGAAGCAGAACCTGCTTGCTTTAAAGGAGCCTACACTCGTGTAAGCGGCTCCTGTCCGGTAGGCTCCTTTAAAGCAAGCAGACTCTCTGTCCCTCCAGCAAAGTTTTTCAGCTCGCTGGGGGGGGGGAGGAGGGAGAGAAGCAGAGCTGCTCCACGCATGCTCCTTGTCCCTTGAGTGCTTTTCCTTCCCTCCCCACTTAAAACGTGGTTACAAAGCACAGATCCACATGGATCCTCAGGATTTTTGCACTGGGTCACCCCAAATTCACCATCAGATCACATAGCATGTCCATGGCTACAGTTTGCACCAAAAAAATCATGCACCCACTGTTGCCTGGGGCCGCAGTGGTGCAAAAACGTGGTTACAAACATGGATCCACATGGATCCTCAGGATTTTTGCATTGGGCTACCCCAAACTCACCATCAGATCACATGTCTGTGGCCACAGCATGAACCACAAAAATTATACATCCACTGTTTCATGTAGAATATTTTTTTTCTTGTTTTCCTCCTCTAAAAACTACATGCGTGTTATGGTTGGGTGCGTGTTATCGAGCGAAAAATACGGTAAGTCGTAATAAATGTGCTAAGACACTCTGGTTTGTTTGGTTTTTTGCAGCAACAGACTAAGACTGCAATCCAAATCTGTCCCGGCTGCTGCTACTGAGGCCCTGCAGGCTGCTTCAGGCTTTTCGCTGGCCAGTGTCGGCCCTGAGAACAGCCTGGGCTCTAGTGGGGTTGGCTCAACACTGCCCTGCCCTTGGAATGCCTCATTTGAGGGCAATCCACTGGGCAAACCGGTGGGGAACCAGCTGAGCTGGCAGAAGTGAGCCTAGGGATGCCTCCCTCCTCAGCCCAGCTTTGGGGTTTGGATTACAGCCCAACGCAGCTCCCCCTCTGCAAATAAAGAGTTAAATTATTTCCAGATATGCTCCTCTAAGACTTTTACCTGGCCACAGCTGGAGGAGGTAATGCAAAACCTCTATGTGTTTTTTGAAATCCAAGGCACTGGCAAGCTCTTCCGAATCTGTGAAAACTCTGTTGTTGTGATTGGTGGTTTCCTGCCGCTGGCTCAGTAGCACAGGCCCAAAACACACAGCTAAGTTCTGGCACGTCATTCTGTTTACTTCATGGTACGAAGCCACCAATTTCAGATGGTCCAACAGCATCCTTAGAGTAGCCTAAAAATAAAATAAAAATGGGGTGGGGAATAATTTGAGTTAGTTAGCTTCAGGGTGGTGGTGGGGGGAGAGGGTTTTTGTTTTGTTTCTAATCCTCTTGAAGAATCGGGCCTTTTCACATAGCCACAATATCGTCATTTATGCACGATGCCAACAGTCAACAGAAGATAACCTTTCGATAGTACCTTTTTGTGTGCCACGTAGAAGGGCGCAGATAACTGGTGTTTTTGCAGCTGTTCTGTAATTCCTTCTCCAGGAAAAATTTGCCAAAGAGCCCTAAGCTGCAGTCCTAAGCACACTTGCTTGGAAATAAGCCTAGTTGAAAACAGTGGGATTTTCTTCCACATAAACATAGAATTGTGCTTCATCACATACTTGGGTGCATAATCAGTCACAGATGGGCCATTTTAGTTACAGTTTAAAAAATCTTTAGTATGTTTTATGCTCACACTGGGTCCTCCCCCTGCTCTTTGGAAGAATTATAAAACACATTTGGTCTCAAAGTGAAGCTTTAGCTGTCAAGGAACTGTTTTATTGGCACAGCAGCCCATAGGGTTAAGGGCAGAATTATAACCATAATGCCAGCACAGAAATTCCACATTCCTCCCATAAACAGCCCTGCAGGTAGACTGCAGGGGGCTCTTTGCCTCAGCACTTGGCTCTTCAGCAGTGGGCATCGCGATAGCAAAAAGCAGAGCAATGAATCTACCACAGCATGCATGGTTTCCTTTTGCAGGTGTGTCCTTTTCTCCAACTGGTACCATCACATAATTTTCCCTTATGCCAACAACAGCAACATATGAGAGTTCCACCACGGAACACACCTGGCCTGGTATCCCTCCAGGATGTTGTGGGACTACAACTCCCATCATCCTTTCTGTCAGGGTGGGTGTCAAGTACAGGTCAGCGATAACTCACACGGTGGCAGTAAATTTAACTCTCTTCATTCAAGGAAACAAGCTCAAGAGGCCAAGCCTAGTGAGCACAGCAACACTTCCTGGTAGATCTTGCCCCAATGTGGCAGTTGCAAGGACTGAAGGTCCACGTCTTCCCCCAGCTCCCAAAGTCGCCTCCTCCCCCAGTTCTTTCCCAGACAATCTGAGGCTTTGTCACCTTGCGTGTCTTTGCTCCACCCTCTTCATACCTCTTTGGGTCTTCATACCTCTTTGGGAGACCAGAAGGGAGGTGAGGTGATTGCAGCAAAAGGGTGGGCTTCAGCACCAGCCTGCCTCATCTCTGCCTCTTGGCCCCCTCCTCTTGGATAAGGAAAGGGTAAGAGGCCAGAGGAAAACATAAATATTATTTTTAAAAATAAAGCTTTGGGATTAAGTAACTCAACGTAGGGGGAAAAAGTTGCCCCTGTCTAGCTGCCCGAGTATAAAATGGTGCAGCTGGTTCCCTTCACTGGGAAGGTTAGAATGCCCACATGTGTTGGCTGTGTGTGAAATTAATTAAGCAGCAGTCTTTCGTTAGAGGTGCTTGAAAATTACAGTGGTCCGGGGATAAATAGTCAACACATGGCAGCTTAGCAAATCAATAAAATCATTGTCTCCTGATATATTCAGAACAGGCACACGCATTATTGTTGACTGTCGGTTAAACATTCACAGTGTTCGGCTTTGCTCAAAATCAATGGGCCTTTCCATCAGCATTGCTGAACGATCTCGCCTTTCGTTTATTTTCAGTCACTCACAGACGTTGCACCATCTCATTCATAAACAAAATGCAGCACTTTACCATTTTTAAATTACTATTTGAAAGCAACCACACAGCGCTTGCCAAAGCTGCTTTTGCCGGCATGGGGATCTAAAAGGGGACATGCATGCCTAAGAGAGAACTGTTGGGAGATTTGCTTTTTTATTTTCCACTGTGGAAGACAAAGCCACTGTTCAGTTCTTTTTTAAAAAACAACAACACCTAGTTTCTTTCTTTGGTAGTGGGAACTGTAGAAAATAAACAAATAATTAAAAGCAGAGCTGTAGCTGCAGGTGTTGTTTGCTGCCATGTATATGTTCTTTCTTTGGCTCCCAGGCCATCTGTTTACATGGGAATGATCTGCTAAGATAGAGCATTAAGTTGCTGTGCTTAGCAGATGATTTTAAACATCTGCGGTCGAAAGTTCGCTTTGCTCACTACCGGGGGCATGGCGACAGTAGCAGAACACAAGCCTTCTTGCAGGACACTTGCAATCTATATTATCTAGATGCCAAGTCTGCAGGTTAGTTTCCTAACACACTCACACATCCATCTCTAGCGCGCGCACACACACACACACACACACACACACACACACACACACACCAGGCAAGCAAGGAGCATTATCAGAGTTCATGGATCTATTTGAGAAGGATTTCCACACTGGAAATGGAAGGTCTGTGAGAATAGTGGTCTCTTTAACACTCTTAACCCAGCACCCTTAAAAAACTAAGGTTCTGATCATTCTATTCACTGCGGTGGAATTAAATTTCACACAGTTTAATTTCAGATTTACAGGCATCTCTCCCCATGCAGTCTAGAGAAATATGGTTGTCATGATTTCAGACTGGATGCCATTATTTAATATTGTTGAGGTTCTGTATGCCCTGGTCCTTAGGGTGGATATATTATTGAATTTTTTGTTATAGTTTAGCAATCTCTGTGGTTCCATAATAATTTGAAAGCTAATAAAAATATTTCAAAAACAAAAACCCTAAGTTTCCTATAATTCTTTGGAAGACGTCCTGACTGTTTAAAGTAGCACATTTAACTGCTTTAAATTTATAGTACAGAGGGAGCCACACAGAGAAAAATGACTTCAGAACTACATAGTCAACTGGACCACATTCTACCTCAGCAAACCTCACGCCACTCTCAGCCTGGTTGCTAAGCAACAGCTCCACCTATCCCCTCGACTAGTTGACTTTAATACCAATAAAATTAAACCTTTAATTTGCACATAGAATGATCTCTGCTGTTGCACCTCCAGCAATGCCAACATAAATCTGGACAGAATGTCAGCTAACACTATTTAGCATCATGGAAACCCAGCAATGCAAAGACAAAAACAGCTTAATATTGCCATGAATAAGAATGGGTTCACTAGACTGATCTAACTACCCACTTAGCAATATTTTCAGACGCCCCTGTTGTATGATTCATGTAGTCCAACATCTTATGGAAGAGCCCATTTGTCTCAGGTCATGACGCAATCCGTTTTCTTTAAAAAGGATTTGGAATTTACTATGCCATCTACAACAGATCAGTAAACGATACTTACCTTCTCAACTTCTGGAAGGCAATCCAAGAGAGCCATGGTGTGCTCAGAATCACCAGGGTTATTATCACATCCATTCGCTGTCATTTTCAAGGGCTTTTTCACCATGGCATCTAACACAGCTTCGTAGAGTTGTTTGGTTATCAAGGGGGAAGGCAGCTCTCTTAAATAGTCCTTGAGAACACCTTCAAAAGAGATGCAGACAAGGTGCAATGAACAAACTGCAATGACAGACACCAGCAGGCACCTCCCTGCATACACTGTGAGCATATGTACAAAGCACAAGGGTACCACTCCCAGAGCATCCCAGGACCTCAAGACATGTATGTATGAGCATATATCCCAAGGCATGTATGCATAAGCACATGTGTTACAAATGGCCCATTTTGCATATTACAAAATCCTGCTAATAATTCCAGTTCTCGGATCTCGCAACAATTTCTAATTCCGATTTTTAAACCTTCCCTCACAAATTCGGTATTCAATGTTTGCTAATGGATGGATGGCCAAAAAGAAAATAGTATCTAATAATTAAATAATACGGGGAAGCTGTCACAACACTATAACACTTTCCATTTCAACGTCCGATGAGTTATGCCAAAAAGAATTCCAATAATCTTAGAACTGGACATTCAGGGTAGAATGCAATGACTGGGACATTTTCCTTTTCTGCATATTCTGTTTTCCCATTTTGCTTTATCCTCTTTGATAGTGCAATACTCTTATGGAGCATGGGAGATACCTTATGCTGAGTCCATATCCTTAGTGTTGTCTACAATGATTGGCAGTGGCTCCCTAGAGGGCATTCCTAGCCCTAGTGAGGGATGCCACTGACTGAACTCAGGGACTTCTCCATGCAAAACCAATGTTCTATCCCCTGAGCTATGGCCCTTTCAAGACTACCATTCACCATATCAGGAAATCTTGTAGTACCAGTTCTTGAATAGCGGCAGAAGAAAAAGTTCTGTGTTAACTTTACCATTGTGGTGCTATTCAAAGCCCAGAACTGGCGCTCACACAAAAAACCACACCCTAGGGAGAGAAATCTTTACAGCCTGAAGCAGCTGCTCAAACCTAAAGCAGCAAAATGAGGATCAGCCAGGCTGGAGGGAAGAAAATGAAGCTTGCGTTTAGAACTTTTTACACTGTGGTTGGGTCTATACCCACAGAAGAACAAGGTGGCAGAATGGATTATATCATGCTTCAAGCTAGAAGTGGAGCATGCTGCTTTTAACCACTCCTCTACCGAACTCCACCACCCCCTAGAAAAACCCAAACACATACCTCCATGGAAATATGAAAGTAAATCATTGAGGAGAAGAGTTCTACCCTACCTTTTCGCCTACTGTGCTGATCAACTTGAAGCAAGCTCTCAACACATTGGAGAATTCAAAAATTTAATCCCCCCGTTTCTAGCAACCTCTAGTCTGAAATGATATCATCGATTCTACTGCCTCGTCCTGTTGCATCTGTAGACTGGACCTATGATGCCATGTTCCACAGGAGTGTGGAATATGTTGTGGAAGAGAAACTGCATCAAGGAGCCAGCAGACATTTCACCCGCAAACCCAAAACAGAGGGTTTTGGGGGTTTGTGTTTTTTTAGCAACTTCTGAATTCCTCTGCTACAATTTAGGACGGTTTGTTGTCTATAGGTCTCTTTACTCTTGTTAGTCAAGTGTACAGAGTTTTAAATGTGGTGATGGGTGCTGCAGGGCTGTGCACTGTGGTTGCCATAGCTTCTGTAACAGGGACCTTTCACTATGTACATCACACAGCTTCCACATATTCGACTGTTCCCCACTGAGTAAGCTTTGGCAGACACGGTGGAGGCAGGAAAAGCCATGCAATACTGGAAACAGAGCTAAGCAATCAACCCTACCCTTGCCCTCTCTTCACATAAGTAACATGCCAAACACCAGCAATATTTTATCACACTAGGTTTCCCCCCTTCTAATGCACAAGCCACTACAGGAAACATAGAATGATGAGCGCAAATGCTAATTTCAATGTAACAGGTACTTGTGAAAAAATAAATCCTGATGTCAAATACATAGCATCACATCCCTGTGCAAAAGTATTTCATACTAGCAGAAATACCTGGCATTACAAGAGTAATTTCATACTAGGAGAAATACCTGGTGTTATGTACTGAAGTTCTCACCCTGGGCCAGCAGGGGGATACTGTAGATAGTTATGTAAATGAAGGATCGAAAAGTGACGTTCAGTGATTGGATAGTTTTGTATGCAAATGAAGGATCGAAAAGTGACGTTCAGTGATTGGATAGTTTTAGAAAATGGCAACAGTTACATTGTTCTGGAGCTCTATATAAGCAGGCTGACTGAGCCCCTCAGCTTAGTTCTGTTCTGGCATCTGAATAAAGAAGAGCTGTTTGAAGAATCGCTGTGTCGTCTGATATGTTTGCCCACAACTTAACACCTGGCATCACTTGAATTTTTTATTTTATTTTAAAAAAAATCAGTGTAGTTTTAAAATCAGTAGTTAAAATCAGCACACTTTTGAAAGGTTCAGTCTGCCATCTTGCTTGGAAATGGTGTCCAAAGATACAAAAAAATATATATGCTCCTTTAACTCAGGAACCAACCAGCATGCAAAATCTGGTTATGGTATCTTGAGTGGTGTTTAAATGCCAAGTGAACAGAAGAAGACAAACAACTTTCCGAGATAGATAGTGAGATCTCAGACACTTTGTATAGTTTGCTTTGTAGATCATGTAACCTTATTCATTTCAGGCCCCAACATTTTGCTTTGAGAAACTAAAGTCAAGCAGTCAAGTTAAAACAAACTGCATCCCCAACACAAAATTCTGCAACCGTACAAGCTTTAAAACTACTGCCTCCCCTTTTTAGGAATACCCCAAATGGCAACCAAGATATTTGTTTTGTGCTACCAAGTATCTAGGCTCAAAAATCCAAACACCTAACTTTATAAACTCTTAAAATGGCAGCTCAGTTGTTTAAATTGGGGGCGGGGGGCGAATGCAGTGGTGCACGGGACCGTTTTTGTATTGTTCCATAACACATGGCCCAACTAGTTAAGCACAGCCTGCTCTTCAATAAATAGCACCATTTAATGTAGAATGAAAACAAAGAGAACTGAAAATAGGAAGCCGAGATACCAGTTTAAGTATCTGCCAAATAAAGGCCTTGCTAATCCTCGAACCATGACAGAAATACCACTGCTGAGTGTTCCTTAACAAAGCAAGACTTGTTGCAAGCCTCAGTGTGCCTACCACAAATCCTGCCCTATGACCCAACTGTAATGTGAACTGTGTTAATTGAAGACTTTGTTAAGAGCAAAAATCCTTAAGAGTAAAGTGAGGGATTCTATTCTCACTCTTTGTTTGGGGAAGGGGGGCGCGCTGCTGAAAAAGCCCTAAAGACTACATAATTTTGATGTCAAGGAATATTGGAACCAGCCAGAATGTAAAGGCTAATTGTTTAATCACAACATGACACTAAACAGCTCTTTATGAATTCCACAGCTCCTAAGAGGCCCATCTGACGCAAGAGTCTTCAAGCCTTGCTAGTAAGTGAGGAGGGTTTGATGGTTACTTTACAGGCCAAAGGGATGCATTTCACACAATTATTTCAAGTCTAGGTAGGCCTAAATTTACAACCTCGATAAGCAGTGGAACCAAATAGAAACTGGTCTTTGTAAATCATGGTTTGGGAATATAGTGAAACAGGGTGGGGTGGAGATATCAAATTCTGTCCCCAGAATGGTTTAAAAAAAAAAAAGTTTTGCAGACAGCTCCTATGCAAGCTATAGGAAAGGAATCTGTCCTGTATTTTATACACATTCAGTTACAGAGGCACCACTTGCAATGTCTATTCATAGCATCAGCATTGAGCTATGCAACAGAGTAACCTGGCATTTCCTTCTCAAAACACTTTCTCCTGCTTAATTCCTGAACAGAATAACTTGTGAGCCCTCTGACCCACATCCCCTTTCCAAATCCTTTCACTAGCTGAGCTCTGTAAGAGACGGCAGTTATTTTTATGGAGTTGCCTCTCCTGACAGCTGCGTTTTTCTTGATACACCACTGTCCACACAGAACTAATTTAGGCAGCAAGCAGAAAACACATACCTCCCCCAATCCACCTCATTAATTTCCCATTTTTCTGACCCACTGAACTGTTAAGTGTATGACATGCTTTACTCCAAGATGAGAATTCACATGGCTGGAAGCAGAAATGATGCAGCAATGTCAGAAACCAACCAGGTTCCAAATCCAGCAGAACACATTATTCTAAATCACATGTGCATTTAATTGCTTGCCAGCCAGAGGAGCATTCCTCAGTTGAGGTTTAATAATTAAATGCACATTCCTTGACCAACTGGAGTTTTCAAAGTAAAAGAGTGCCTTTTAGAGTCTTAGGGACACCCCACAGTTAATTAAAAAGTGGGAATGGGGGGGAACAGCATCAAATACGAATCAGCTTTTAAAAGAACTACGATTTATGCTGAGGTTTCAACAAAATACTTTTAACAAGAACAATGTGTTTTATCATACACATGTACACATCAGCCTCAAAATAATAAATGTTAAGAACTAAAACCATCCTCAATCCCAGCCGTGAAATTGCACCCATTTCACTGATACACCATCTGCACCATCCAAATCAGTAAATACGTATCTTCTAAAAACAGAATTTGCTGTTTGGAGTTAGCACCCAAATAGTCATACCCTTCAAAGCTGTAGGACAGGTTTCTAGCCCTCACGGTTGCAAATGCCTACAAAGTGCCTGCTGAAAGCTAATACAGTGGTACCTTGGGTTAAGAACTTAATTCGTTCTGGAGGTCCGTTCTTAACCTGAAACTGTTCTTAACCTGAAGCACCACTTTAGCTAATGTGGCCTCCCTCTGCCGCCGTGCTGCTGCTGCTGCGCGACTTCTGTTCTCATCCTGAAGCAAAGTTCTTAACCTGAGGTAATATTTCTGGGCTAGTGGAGTCTGTAACCTGAAGCGTATGTAACCCAAGGTACCACTGTAACTCAATGGAGAGTTGAATTCTCCTGACCTTTAAAGGAGTCACAAGATGAGCTTTAACGAAAAGTATGAGCCTCTGTTGCGTTTCCCTGGTTACCACTAGCCCTTTTGGTTCCTACTACCCTTCTAACACAATGAACACCTCCCATTTTTATGTTTCTCCTTCCCTTTCTCTTTATCACAGTGGTCAACAACTTCTGGTTGGCCAAGCCCGAAATGGTAGTCGCGAGTCCACCATCTGCCAACCCTCCCACCAGCGTTGGCAGGGAGAGTATGCTGCTGGCAAAAGCACTACACGGGCGACTTTGTGCCCAAGTGCTTCTCCCCTGTGCAGGGCAGCCTCAACGCTGGGAGGAATCCGGTTCCTCACCAGAGGGCAGTGCCGCGCTTGCTGTGGCAAAGCAAAAACTGCTGAAACCTGCTTCACTGTATCTGATCTTGTCCGAAAACAAACAAACCTTTCAAAAACCAGAGTCCACCAGCACTCTTTTTCTGAGAAGGGGATTCTGATTTTGCTTAAGAAGCATCCGGTTTGGATTTCTGTTACAGCGTATACAGACAGCCATTATTGCTCTCATCTATTGAAACAAATAGCACGGCCTTATCTGAAGTGTTGCAGGGCTTACGAGTTAAAACACATGCTGGCAAGCAGCACTGTGCGTACTGTCAGGCTGGCGGCCTGGCTAGCCCACAGTGCTGTCTGCTTTGGCTGGCAACGCTCTCTAAGGTCTCAGGGAGCATATTTCCCCAGCCTTGCTCCTTTTAACTGGAGGTGCCAGGTCCCCTGAACCTGTGGACATCTGCATGCGGACAGCATTCTCTTTACCCATTGAGTTATTATTCCTCTTTGTTTTTGCTGAGCCCCCAGCCGATTTCAACAGGTGCTGCTGAGGCTCGTTTAGGCTTTTGACTAACGACAACGAGAGCTAGAAAAATGTCCTTTTTTTAAAAAAAGGGAAAGCTCATATTCTTATGAACTCAATAACAACACACACATCTTACCATCCTTGCATTGGGATTTAAAGACTAACCATTCAGCAGTCACACACTCAACTTGATCCAGGCATTATTGGAATTTGTCATTAGCTGGGGAACAGTGTTTTTTTGTTTTGTTTTTTAAAAAAGGGCTGCCACGAAAATGAAGGATGCAGGCACTGCAATGTTTGCTGGAGAGTTGAAGTACAATCGTACCTTAGTTCTTGAACAGAATAACCATTTGAAAACCAAGGCACGGCTTCCGATTAGCTGCAGGAGCGTCCTGCAGCCAATTGGAAGCCACAGCAGACGTTCGGCTTCTGAAAATGGTTCAAAACTGGAACACTCACTTCCGGGTTTCTTTTTTTTAAGAATAATTTTTTATTAACCGACCAATCACATCAAATCAAACCAAATTACATAAATTCCAAATTACACAGCCGAATTTTAAATTTTTGTTGGGGGTACCCATATTTCAAGTTCCGAAGGGATCCAATCAACTTCTTGCTTCTTACTGCTGTTTTAATGTCCACAAATCTAACCTTATGATGTTCACAGTACTATCCAGTCCTTTCTTATTATTTTTCCACATCTCTTGTTGTTATTTTCATATATTTTTCCTTTCTCTTTGTGACCTCTGATAGTCTCCGCAAGCTGGTTAGAACAGTTTGTAATCCTGCGTGGATATTATTTTTTTATCCAGTAGCCATATCCAGACGTTTTCCATATAACATCACTTCCATACATCAAAACAGTCTTAGCGTCATTAATCTTCACCAATCTGCCTCCTTTCTCAAAACCTCTGAGGAGATTCACTAGGAATGCAGTCTGAAACCAAGTCCGTTCTTCCTCCCGGCTATAAATCCTTTGGCAAGATGGCGACTCCGAATTAATTGCTGCGCCATTCCCAAAAGCTCTTATTGCTTCTCGGTCTCCATAAAGCATACTTTTGGTTAAAGTTTATCTCCACACAGACCTTAATCATCCTGCTTGGGTCAGTTCAACCAACAGTTCTAATGAGGAGGGGTTCTTGTAAATCACATAGAAGGAAAGTAAAAAGGTTCCCCCCCCCCTTCAGCCCCGTTGTCAACATACCCCGCCTTTGGTGTATCTTCATCATAAAATATTCCTGTTTCTCCAGCCCGTCGTCTTCTTTCACAGAGGTCACTTAAATTAGCAGACTTCACTCCCATTCTTCACTTGAAATACGTGCATTTGCTTCTTTTGTAATTAATTATTCCAAATTGCTGCAACTAGTGTGTGATCAGAGACAGCGTCCAGGAGAGCCGATGTCCACACGGGGGCATTCTGCCTAGGGCCCTCACCCCTTTCTTTCGAATTAGGGGGTGATTTATGGGCACAGCAGGCAAGGGCAGTGTTCCCCATTTCCTTGGGGCAACAAGGGAGGCTGCCTACTCCCATAACAGCCTCTTAATTACCCCGTGTGGGTCGGAGAGATGGTATTGTCGGCCATCTTCCAATGCGCCCCCTAGTGGCCCCCCTCACTTCCGGGTTTCGATCGTTTGGGAGCCGATTTGTTCGGGAGACAAGGCATTTGAGATCTAAAGTATGTCTGTAACTGGAATGTTCACCAATGCTCAAAAACAAAACCGCATTTAAATGTAATATATAATCATGCTATGGATGCTAGCCTAGATGGCTATTTTAAAAGAAGCATTATACCAGGGGTGGGGAACCTGTGAACCCCACCCCAGATGTTGTTGGACTACAACTTCCATCATCTCCAACCACTGTTCATGCATTCCACGTTTTACACAGATTAATGCAGGATAGGTCTATGAGCAGCTGTTTGCCATGATTGCTAAAGGAAACCTCCACGTTACAAGGTAGTGTACCTCTGTATACTAGATACTGGGGAAACGCAACAGGCAAGACCTACTGATTTCTTGCCCTCCTTGCAAGCTTCCGAGAGACCTCTGCCTGACTTATGTTAGAAACAGAATGCTAGACTAGATGGGACTATTGACCTGAGTCTTCTATGTTCTCATTACTGCGCAGTGCTACAAAGCCTAGCCTGTGCACACAAATGAAAGCAGAGCAGCCGCAGCAGCTCAAATCAAGAGAGACAAGATTGAAAGAGACAGTCTATTCTCAAAACGGCTGTAATTCAGATGGCGTTCCTTGAAACTGTCCATCCCACAGGAAATTCCACACTTGAGGTGCGCTGTCATCCAAGATGGAAAAGGAGCACAAAGAGGAATTTTCCATAAAAAGGAATCCATGAGCATTTCTATTCAGCTGAGGGGAAAGTTTAATCGGAGATTTCAAGAGATGAATCAAGACAGTCCAAGCAAGGTATTCAGATTCATCTACACCAGAGAAGACGCTCAGAACTGCTATATTTTATTTCAGCAATTTTTGCTGAACTTATAATAGACAGGTGCAGCACTGCCTAGACTCAGAACACAATTTAGTCAAACAGGCCTAGTAAACACACACTTTGAACCTTGTGGGGCTAACACTTGGAGGTTGAACTGAAGTAGCAAGATGATGTGTGAGGAAAGGGTTAAGGGCTCATTCCCTCCCCCTCACTTCTCTGACCTAAATTCCCCTGTTTGCTCTTTTAAACAAGACTGTTAACAGGCACCAGCATGAAGTGTGCAGTTAGACCCCCAAGATAAGCAATTCCGATGTCATAAAAGTTGTCCCTGTTGCTAAATCCTAAAGCAGCTCTAAAATCTCCTCCAGTATTCCCATGGCTTCGTGACCCCTGAAAACTACCTGGGGAGGACAATTTCAGCAGCAAAGTTAGTCAAAATATATTAATTTTGTTCCACACTAAGCCAAACTTGCAATCTGAGCAATTCTCTGTTTGATACTACATTCTCCAAGCCATGTCCATTTTGGATCCTGGGTGGGAGTAGGCCTTGGCAAATAACAAGATGAAATAGCTGTAAGATATAACCTTCATGCCCCCAAACCCAGCCAAAAAATAACACCCAGGATTGTTCCGATGGCATAATCCTGCCCTATGCATTGCAGAGGTCAGCATAAAATGGAGCTCTCTTCCTCCCCTTTCTCAGCTGGCTCTTACTGGTCAGGGAAGTTAGAGCGTTCTGTTGATCATGTCCTGAGCATTTCTGCTTTCTTGAAAAAACAAAACAAAAAGCATACTCTTTAAAATGTCAGCTTCATCCCTGCCTTACATAGCCAATGCAACTAGCCAATGGCATTTTCCCATTTCTGTTGTAAAGCATACATACACAGAATGTTGTGACAAAAGCTCATTCTCATCAGATAAATGGGAACCAGCCCTGAGCAGGAATCCCTAAGCAGATGAGCACTGAGGAACTGTCCAAGCTGAAGACCCAAAATTCCACGAAAGCTCAACACTTACTTTCAGGTCTGCGCATGTTTTTTGGAAGCCGAACGTCCAACACAGCTTCCGCGGCTTCCGATTGAGCACAGAAAGCACCTGCAGCCAATCAGAAGCCACGCCTTGCTTTCCGAATGGTTTCGGGAGTTGAACAAACTTCCGGAATGGATTAAGTTTGACAACCAAGGTACCACTGTAAGGATATCTATGGCTCCACTTGTAGACTACCAAAATGAAAATAATTTTCACACTGACATTGACAGACATTTTAAGCATATTCTTCCTTTTTAAAAAAATCATCAAGGTTTTTAATTTTCTTTACCTGTTATCACATTTATATCTGGGTACTGGGTTTCACAGAGGGTAACTGCTTTGCTATCCTTCTCAAATGCCTCACGAAGCTCTTTCTTGACAGCTGCTGAGCCACATAAACGGTACAGGCCTACAACCTAGAAGCAAAATCATAACCTTACAACATGGCACAGGTTTGCCACCTAAGGAATACGAAGGTTGTAAGTTAAATACCAAGCACAAACACAGTTTTCATTAAGCCCAGTAGAAGCATCAAGATATTCATGCAAGATCCCCAAAGATGCTGAGAGACGTGCAGATTGCATCATTGGCACGCAGTACGAGTTTTTCGCTTGAAAAAGACATAATGGTTATCAATATTCTACGGAGTACTCTGCCAGAGATATAACAAAGTAAGTTAATATTGTTGGCATCCATCTGTCTCGGGAGACAATGGAGGAGTGTGCCTTTGGGGGTGGAGTCAAACTGTTGGAAGCCTGGAAATTAGTATCAGGTGATAAAATAAGCTGAAATTACAAAGGACATCAGTTTGCTTCTTTGGAGGCAATGAATGCTTTCTACATAGAGAGATAGTCAGCCAGTAGGCAAAATCGTCTTTAGGCTATATGTAGCAAAGTTGTTTAGAAAATTTCCCCAAAGGCTCCTTTATTAGGAACCCATAAAAGGCTTAATAAATAAGCCACAGGGAGAGAAATCTCTCTCTCTCTCTCTCTCCACTCTTGGAAATTCAATAATCCCATTATGACCAGAGGACGCAATAACCTCTGATAGCAATTACATGCTCTCAGCTTATCATGTGATGACTGTAATTCCCATAAAAGCAATAAAACATTTAAACTTGCCCTGTGAGGAATCTATCCATCAAAACTGCTTACTACAACTTCATCTTCCACACTGGGACAGTAAAAACTAGCTGTTTTGTTTGTTCAGTTTTGTTTAGATTAGCACAAAAAAAACCCCAATTTATTTCACTACCACCATATTCCAGGTTTGGAAGTTCCTGAGGCCAGAGGAAACTTAGACCCACAATAGATTTGTTGGCGTTCCAGAAGGCACAGACTGCTTTTACCCCTCCACTTCTTGTATCATAAAAACACATCATGTCTCCATGACTGCAAAGAGCAGGAGAGAGCAGCCTTCATCCCTCTGCAATGCAGGTGTACTACCCCAAACTAAAGAAGTGAAGGATATGGTGCATCCAACAAAGACAACATTATTTATAGCAAAAGTAAATAAATAAGGGTAAAGCTCTAAGCAGCAAAAATTAAATGCAGAAGAATGCAGTGGTTGTTATTTTTAATTAACTCTACCTGGCAGCCTCTTTTTTCAATCTCTATAATGCACTTCTTCATCAACAGGGGCACCATCAAGCCTACGTTTTCCTTCTCCACAACCTTCCGAGCATCTACTCCAAACATTACCGGTTCTCTTTCTCCATCTAGTCCATTGAGAGAATTCTCCCACTGCTCCAGGAGGGTCAGCTTGACATAAATAATACCTCGGGGCTCCAGCTTTACTGCCAACTGATGAGTCTTTGTCACCCGAAAAAGAGCAGGGAGGACCACCGTCCCATGGCAGCAGACCCGGTTTTTCCTCGGTGTGGGCTCCCAGCTGAAGACCACCAATTTCAAATGCTGGGCGTTCTCTATCTCTATGTTGAAAGTGTGATCCATGTCCAAAAAGGTCGTCCTGCACGTCAGCAAGGCAGTCCTCGCTTTGTTTACCGAATCTACCTGAATGGCGCAGAAGACGTCTCTGGAGTCCATCCTTGGCGGTTTCAGGTCCTCCGCGCCATAGAAATGGATGCTCATGAGTCCAGATATGTACTGGGAACATTTAGGTTGGTCAGAGAAACTGTAGTGCCTGAAAGCGTCAATGTCTATTTCCGCCTTACTACCGTTGCTGCTTGGGAATGCTTCCTTTCCTCCTTTCCCAGCCCGGCTTTCGAGGCCGTGCTTCCCTGATTTTGTTATAAGCTCAGGAGAGTCTCCGTCGCTGAGGTAGCCCCCTTTGCTGGAGGATTTCAAATTGCCACTGCTTTTCTTTTTGTAGTTGTGCTGAGAGGACACACTGCTGTCAAGATGGTACCGGCTTATGACGTTCCTGCTAGCTGCTGCCGTGATGTTCCCGGAAGAAGGTAGCGACCCGTGACCTATGACCTGGCAGTTATTCTTAAGCAACGAAGAATTGTCCGTGCTACTATGGCTTGAATTTCCCTTGACACTCAGCTTCCTGCTCAGCTCTGGCAATTTTTTCATTTTCATGGAAAGTTTCCTCACCGTTCTTGGGGATTTTATTTTGTCAGGGAAGGACCAGTTTATCGAACCACCTTTCTTCAAAGGGTTAGGACTCGGAGGAGAACCTTCTGCCGCTCCCATCTCGGACTTGCTTGCAGACAAGATCCCAGGACCTTTGCAGGGGTGGGGAAAAGAAGAAAGGGACATATTAAAAATGAAGGGAAAGGATACTTTAATTTAAGAAGCTACTAATTTGCCAGGACCTGAAAAAGGTATATGTGGTATTATTCAGGACAACGCAGAGCATCAGATGCTCCTACAACATGCTCTGACCTATGGGCTGTACTTTTCTGCCTTGTTCTGCCAAAAGCAGAACCACACAAGGAACCTGCCCCATCCTTCCCTTAAGAATCTGCCTCGGAACAATTAACCGATCCCTGCCCGTTATGTACTGTTTTGTCCCTCTGCATTGCCTTCTCAGACTTGTTAATTTAGCTTCTTTCAGAAGAAGAGACTCCTGGATGCAACTGCTCTGTGCAAGCAAGTCATTTGGGGAAAAAAGACTCCTGTGCCTTGTCTGCCAGGTCGAGCCACTGGAAAAGAATGGAAAATTAAAGGGGACCTAACTTTGCTCTGGGACGTGGGTGGCGCTGTGGGTTAAACCACGGAGCCTAAGACTTGCCGATCAGAAGGTCAGCGGTTCAAATCCCTGCGACAGGGTGAGCTCTGTTGCTCGGTCCCTGCTCCTGCCAACCTAGCAGTTCAAAAGCACGAAGTGCAAATAGATAAATAGGTACCGCTCCAGTGGGAAGGTAAACGGTGTTTCTGTGCGCTGCTCTGGTTCGCCAGAAGCGGCTTAGACATGCTGGCCACATGACCCGGAAGCTGTACGCCGGCTCCCTCGGCCAGTAAAGCGAGATGAGCGCCGCAACCCCAGAGTCGGCCACAACTGGACCTAATGGTCAGGGGTCCCTTTACCTTTTTTTAACTTTGCTCTAGAACTTGCATCTTTTAAACAGCTGCATCCCATTTTAGCGTAATTTGTCCCCTCTTATCAAACAACCATGTCCCCCTCTGCTTCTGATGGGCATGGTGGAGATGGAATGCTTTTGGAAGTCTTTTAACAGTTCTAACTTGCCTTGCTTCTTCAAGCCCCAAAGTGCCCTCTTCCTTTCTTGCACAATGCCCCTTTCTGTGTGTCATGGAAAGTTGCTGGATCCCAGGTGATAGCCACCTAGGAATTAAGAAAGCATCCAGTGGATTCAGCAAAGGATTACCAGCTTGCGTGCTGATCCAGGATGACTGTTCTTTTTTAAAAAAAAAATTTTTATCATAGCCAGGAGAAGAAAAACTGAGCATTAATCAGAAGCCCTGCATCCTGTGGTTGCATGAGGGCATCATAACAAATTAAGCTTTATTACGGTAAGCCTAGGTGAGTCTCGAGGAGGAGATCGGAAGCTCTGGCTTCTGTTTTGACTAACTACAGGGTTTGGAGTAATGTGACCTCTAAACCGTGGTTAATCTTAACTATGGTTTGCTGAAATAAGCCAGCTTCCTAACACCTAATTTCTCCAGTAAAACTATTTTTATCTGCCTTGGCTTTTCCAGATGACCTGTTTATTGAGGGTTCATCCCGATTTGTTTGCAGAAAGATTAAATGATCAGCATTTAGATTTTTTTCCCAGCGAGCCTGGAAAACGTTGCAATGAAGCAAAAGTTATACCACACTTTCCATTGCATTTTCCTTCACTTTCCATATCAGAAAGAGTCTGACCTTTTGAGGAAGCAGTTTCGTTGCACAAGAAGCTTCCAAATCAGCTTTAATTTCACAAGCTGAATTTGCCAGTATATGATTGAATCCAATAAGAAAATAGCAAAGAGCCTTCAAGTTCTCTTATTTACTATTGTACATCACTATGATATCTGCTCATGTTTAGCAGTTTGTAAGTTTTCCAAATAAATAAGATAAACGGTGCATGGTTTTTGTTGGGTTCTGACAAAACAAGCTGTAGTTAACGAAAAACAAAAGCACCTGCTCTCCTTGTGAGTTACAGTTTAGTGCAAAGTCTCAATTGGCAAAGCATGGTTTGAGATCAGCCAGCAAACTAGAATCCGAAACCATAGAATATGTTTCAGCTAACCGTTCTGATGTGAATTTTTTGAACTGACCATAGTTGTTATGCTACCTTTGGAAGCTCTTGCACCAAGAAACAAGACTGCCGACGAGATGAAAAGTAAAGCAGGCATGTATCTCTAAAAAAGTTGGCCCATATTCTGGGAACTCAAACAACAATCTGGAAACTAAACTATGGTTAGTGCGAACCACTCTCTCTAAACTGAGAGAGAGAAACAGTGGCTTTATTTCGATTTTCTCTCTTTGGATTTACAGAGCTATATCAAAAACGTAATTCACATTTTCATAATTCACAACAACTGGCGAATTCACAGAACTGGTCATAATTCATAGGAACTGGTCAGGTGAGATTCTAGAATATATTACTGTCTTTCTGACAGTTTCTCTTTAGCAGCATCTGCTACCAACCGCTTCCTAATTTTTGTTATCAGAGCAGACTCTACTGAGGCTGCGACTTCACAAGAAGCTGTTAACAAGACAGGTGCTCCACTACAAAGTTATTTCATCTGGATATTTTGGACCAGCAGCTATTGAGTGTACATGTGATTACGTTACAAAGAACCCTTCCACCACCACTGCCCCAATCCAAAAATCCCATACGCCTCAGAAGTCAGCATACTTCCAAAACTAACAAAATTCTCTCATGAGCCTTTCATAGACCAACAGGTTAACAAATGCCTATTTGTCTAATTTTAGCAATGACCATATTTTGGACAGAATAAGAATTGAAGATTCAATAACATTAGCATTGCCCAAGAACCTACTCTCATGCCAACAGAGACTCAGGTGAAATATTATTCAGTTTATCCTTTTGCTTATGATGTATAGCTGCTGCTCACTCCAGGACACATGCAAAGGTCATTAGAAAGCAGTTAAGTTAGGATTCATAACAAGAAGAGTTTCCTTAGTTTCGAAGGCTATGCAAAAGGGACCAGACTGAGCCACTAGGCCATCACTTCCTAACCTACAATGAGCAGAGGGGCTGTGGAAGTACTTCCATCAGTCACAACAACAAAAAGTTCAAATAGTCACACTGCATTCTCACTTCCGGTGATAAAAATTCCTGCTTGAAGGAAAAATAAAATGAGTTCTTAAACAACACTGTAATACAAAATGACTTCCTCCCTCCCTTTTTTATTAAAAAAAATATGCATCAAGTATTTCTACTAGTAACTATGTACTGTACATCTTTAATGTACTTTGCCTAGAAATACCAAACCTGTTGACTAATCACACAGGACAAAGCAGGCATGATTCTTCAATACCCATTCCATGTTTCATGTTAGAAAACGAAGCTCAACAAGTTAAAGTTCATCAAAATCCTTCAGGAAGATGAATAACTCTCTTCCCAGATACAAATTCACAAGGAGCTTCATTTTTTAAAAAAAGACCCAAAAAAAAAAGTTGAAAGAATACAATGCTGCACAAAGTCTGTTTTCCAAATGCCTCAATGAATCTTCTTGTTACACCCAGTTGCTACGCTTCTGTTGAAGCTGTTTCCTTGCAGGGAACAGACTATTTCTAGCACGCCTGCTGTGCTTTTCTGGCAAGCAGCTCGCAAGAAATGCGGGTGTTTGATAAAACTGGACAAAGGCTTCCCTTGTACTGCAAATCACAGCGTAGTCCCACTGGTGGCCTGCTCTGGAGCCTTCTATAGTAATCAGTGCCATGCTTTCGCCTGCTAACATCAATCTTCCCTTTCTGTCAGAAGCCTCTGGCAAAGGCTTAGGAAAGCCAGCCAAGATATTAGAAAACTTTCCTCGGCTTCATTACAGCTGAGAAGTCAATCTTAACATTCTTGACGTTTTCCCGTCTAACTTCCGGTGGCTTCAGTCCTTTTCTCTCCCCTCACCCAAATTTGTTAGACAAATGACGTTGATAGGGCAGCACTGGAATTCTTCCTGGCAGCGTGGCATCCGTTTATTACAGATGTAGATGTCAGAGACATCTCTGTTGCTAAACCGTCTAAGTTGGTTATACCTTTTCCATATGGTATCCATGAGGAGGTTCAGGCCTTCTTCTCATGGCCCTACATGCATGTTCAAGCTATTTTAAAAATCAATGCTACCGTATTTTTCGCTCCATAGGACGCACCCAACCATAGGACGCACCTTGTTTTAGACGGGGAGAACAAGAAAAAAAATCTCCCCCTCTCTGCTCCGCGCCCCTTCAGCGAAGCGGCAGGAGAAACGGAGCCCCTTCCTTTGGTGCGCACCAACCCCTCTCGTTCTCCAGGCTTCAGTAAAAGCAACGCGAAGCCTCCGGAGCGCGGAGGGAGCGCTCCCTCTGCGCTTCAGGGGCTTCACGTTGCTATCGCTGAAGCCAAGGAGCCTGCATTCGCTCCATAGGACGCACACACATTTCCCCTTAATTTTTGGAGGGGAAAAAGTGCGTCCTATAGAGCGAAAAATACAGTATATCTATTGTTACAGGCACTGGGTGCCTGGCATGCGTGTATGACATCACACAGTGGGAGGAGACCGCAAGGCCCGCCACAGCCACAGGGATGCTCTGCAGAGCCTATCACAGGCTGTGGAATATTAAGGGGGCCCAGCCCACTCCTTGAAAATTTAAGGGGTGCCCTCAGCCTCTCCCAAGATGGCGCCCCTGTCTATCTTACTGCACACACAGTGTGTAGAGCAGAGCTTTCCAATCTTTTTATGTTGGTGACACACTTTTTAGACATGCATCATTTCATGACACAGTAATTAAGTTCTACTAGCAAACACGGAGGTTAAACTTATCCCTTTCCAAACCTTGGGAGGAGCAAGGGGAACATTTGTGTGACACACTGCAGCCAAAACATCAACATGTCACGCCACACAGTTTGGAAAGCTCCAGTCTAGAGCGTTTGGTATTTTGTTTTACATTGCTAAACTTTACTTTCATTACTGGCATTTAGCCAGTGACCCTCTGCCTCTGAACTGCACCTTCCCCATTTTATGGTAAAACGTTGCTAAATTATTGCGTAACCTCGCTAAAAGTTGAACGTGTGCACAGGTGAAGTGGAACAGAACAGTGATCAGATGATATGTGAATGTGCAAAAGTCTGAACAGAAACACACGAAGGTATTTCTCGCATTAGTTGTAAACTACTGTCTATGACCGTTCCAAAGTCAATCTAATTCCGCTTTGAAGGCATGACTGCTGTTTTGCTTGAAACAAATGCAGAATGTAGCTTCAGTACAGGCTGGAATAGCACTCCCTCAATGGAAACTCTACTCATGTGCCTCAAGCCACTAGTCTCCCATCCTCCTGAAGTAGCAGCTATTTTAAAATGGCTATCACCTCACAAGGATGACTGTCTCCAGCTGCTCAGGAAAGAATGAGGTTAAGGAGGGACACCTGCTTTCAGCCAAGGAAAATGGGGAAGGAAAGGATGGATGCAGGAAAATATCTGGGGGGAGGGAAGCCCATCCCCTTCAAGAAGCCTTGGTTGGCACAATCCAGTCCCCCAGTCCTTCAGAGCACGAGTTCTGCTCCCAGAGTCTCTCAACCAACACCCCCTCTATTGTAGAACAAACAAATATTTTGCTTTTGCTGTATATTGTCCTTTATGCACACTGCTCTCTGAAAGTGAGGGTGGAATTATCAAGGAGTATTATATAATGGAGAATTCACCTATGCAGTTCCCATTGGGACAAACAGAAACACTGCTGTGATTTTTGCCACATCCCATTTTCTTTCCAAGTGCATTATCAGATATTTGCAATGAAAAGCAAGCACTTGGGGAAAAACAAAGCCTTACAATAAGGCGGCTTTGGTGGTTTTTTGCCATCATAAATATGTGTGCAGACACTCACACACAAGTAACAGAGAAAGAAAAGGCAGCTTTTGCGGTCAGTTTAAATTCATCATCTTGGCACAGAGGTGTCTGCAAGCTTTTCTATATGGCACCTGGGGTGGAGGTGGGGAACTACACAAGATTATAAACTGCCTTCTGCAGATAACACAAAAAGTGAAGATAGCCACGTTGGGCCGTGAGCTTGTGTTACCTAGTTTTTAAAAAGTTATAGAGCTTCTGCAATAAAGCAATTAAATGCACAGCCGCACACCAACAAGCATCACATGGGAATCACTGTACTTCATAAAGTCAGATCTCATCTCATCTACTCAATCGAAGTCTATTTAATCCATCAAGTCAATCCTAATTAAATCAACATGTACACAACTCTGCTCAGACGCAGAAAGGCTGACTCAAATTAACCCCAGAAGTCAATACTCAAGAGTCTTCAACGTGCTCCCCCGCCACCGGTTATACTAAACGGATACAGCTATTGTCTTGGACCGAACACTGTCATTTGGTCTAATGCAAACTGGCTATATAAAATTGTGATCAAAAGCACCAGCCTTCTGTTTTCGAAGGAAGTCTGCAGGGATATTTATCTTTCTCCTCCCACAGCTACACATTCATACAGAAATCCTTACAAACTCTGAAGCTGTAGTTCTTATATAAAAGGCAACGCGTTATGGTAAAAACAGAAAGCTTTTTTATCTAAATATGGACTACTCGGCTGCAGGATGGAATGCAAATAATGTTCCTTTCAGTACCCCTGAACTAAAAATACTGTTCTCCCTTTTTTATGATTTGAGGAAGTCTTAAGGATGCTAGGTATAATTCAGTAAACATTATCTCGGAAAACCTCAGCAGCAAACACTATAGTTAAGATGGAAATAGCAATAGAGAGACACTTATTTTCAGAAAGCTTGCAATTGTCTAAAAAAGAGATTTCCTCTACGGCAGGCAGGCAGGCAGTTAAGGATTGCTGTTTTTTCTTATGAGAGGCCTGCTGCTTAATTCTGGAATGGTTAAAAAAAATACGGCATAGCACATACAGGAGAATTCTGTACCAAGAAAATAAGACAGTAAAATGCGAGTGCCTTAGAAAGCATGATGAGTATTAAACAATGTGATGCTTACTGAGAAGCCAACTCATGCAGCCTTTCTGCGGTCACGCAGTTCAAGACTTCTGTTTCAGCAGCCCTTCAGGAGGGATGGTTCTGTTGCCAGGTTTAGATATATACATGCAGAGTTGGAAGAGAAAGTTGCTTTCTTTGTAAAGGGGCGGCAGTATATCATCTGCCTCTCGCTGGTTTTAAAAGTCAGGGAGAAGAGTTGAATGAAAAATGGACAAAGCACAACTGTCGCTGTGAACAGCACAACCATGCCAAGTTCACCCTTCTGCACTGGCTAGTAAAAGTTATCCCGTGTCCTGACAACATCACGCTTTGTGTTTTTTCCCATCGGCAACAGTCAGATGTAGAGCAATGGCAGGAAAGGTAAGTTTCCCTACGTTGTTGCAAAGCTTGATATTGAATGGCGTGTTTGATGGCAGCCCTATCTTGATTTGCAGGAAAGTAACAATAAAAATCATACTTAGTGCAAATCAGAACCTGGAAAGATATTAAAGACATTTATTAGTAAGTCCCCTTGAAGAAGCGCTACACAAAATCCCGTTTGCATGCAACGGTTAAGCTGTTTAGTCCCCATTACGGGCAACAAGGATGATTAGATGATATTCCAGATCTGCCAAAAGGTATTCTGGGAAATATAGCAATCATATCCGTTGTGCTGTTATGGAAACAGGTCAATTATGGACTAGGAAATTATTTCAAAATCAACACTCAGCATAAAAACTATACATAAGCTGGCATCTGCCCCACCTCAAAGGATATCCCTTTTGGGGGTGGGGTAAATATTTAGAAAATCACTAGGCAGAAGACAGTAACAACCAGCTATGATTGAAAGGCATGAAGACAGTTACATCCCACTTCAGAGTAACTGCATGTGCTACTCAGTACTACACATTCATACAAACAAATTGATTTGCCCTGCTGCCCTTTATGTGACAATTTTGTCTGGAGGAGCTGTCATTTCAGCTTTGACTGAAATTAACTGTAGACACCTTAACAGGATTAAAAGAATCACTAAGTACTCCTTAGCAATAAAGCCAATTACGTAACAGCAGGGACTCTCTTCATCAATTATTGCATTCAATGTGATTACTATTCAATGTACACAGAGGCAAGGCTGCATTCATTAACTCAATACACAAGGAACAGTATAGGATAAATTTGCAATCAATTTCACCAGGGTTCATTATAGGCACCACAATCATGAACCAATCTTGATTTAGTTAAGCAACAAATTTTCCCCACTGAGTTGAAAGCCTCTATATAATTTCCCTTAATTCAAAAACAAACTTTAATCTATCAGAAGTCCTCTGCCAATACTTGTGGGAGCTATGTATGTATTAAGAAATTGATCCATGAAACATGGCATAAAATGCATGTAGATTTCCTACAGTGGTCATATTTACACCTTCCCAGCTTGCAAATAAAGTATATATTATGATGACCTCATAGCTAGTATGTCTCAAGAAAAGCATAACTGTGCTGTTGTAGAAATTAAAAGCACACACAAAATGGAATCCCCCCCCCCTTGATCCATGTCCATGTTTTCCGTTTCTGGTTTTTAAAAACAACCATGAGAAGCAAAGCCAATTCAGAAACAATGTTAGGCATATCCCTATAGACAGCACCATTAAGACAAATGTTCATTAAGTTGTAATGGGCTATATGTGTTATATAGTTTGTTCTAAGAACTGAACAAAAATTAAAATGTTGTCAGTTCTACGCAAACAAAAATCAACGGCAGATCTCATATTGTAGGATATAACCAATTCCCAATCGTGGCTGAAAATAGTGTTTCCGCAAACCTAGTAGAAGAACGATTGGGAGAGATGTTTCTACATGAGCAAATGAAAGTTTCAGAATTTGTTACAGAAGAAACCCAAAGTAGGCCTAGTGAAAATAAAGCTTTCTAAAAGAGTAAGTCTGATTTAAAAAATCAGTTCATTTCTGAATGAAGATGCATTGATCAAGCTGTATGAGTGAATTAATGCTTATGTAAGACTTGAACTTCCAGAGAAATGGGACTTTCAGCTTACCCCAAAATGATAGCTAGTACTACCTTATGAAATGTAATATTTAACAACATCGCTGTAGGTTAAATGTTTGCACTCCTCTTACCTCCCAAAGTAACTTTCAATGTAGGACTATCTTCCACTGCAAACCCAGTCTGAATACTGCACGTAGGCTTTTGCTTGTGTACTTGCAAATGTTCCATGGAATGTACACCATCTACTTCATTAATTTCCCTGGGCAGAGTGTTTCCGACACAGTCTAGGACGTGTGCAAGGCCTTCGTTAGGCCTTACGACTTTAACCAAGTCATTCCCAGAAGGCACCTTGCAATTAATGGCTTGAGGGTCCAAATGGTCAGCATTACAACCAGGGAAATTGGGCTCATCGTCTTCAGGGATAGGGTTGTACCATATTTCTCCTTCATCATCTGCATCATTATCATCCCCAAAATCTAAAGTACAGTTTCGCCGTGCCAAAGAGCTTGCCCCGTTCTCAACAGTTCGTACGCAACCAATTCTTCTTTTAGGGCTTTCATGCCCTAGAAGTTTGGGGAAAAGGTGAGGCATCTTCGGCTCAAGCAATGGGCTGGGTGATTTCTGTCTCTGGTGCGTTTCTCTTGAAATTTTCTTATACGAGTTTCCTTTTTCCAAATTGGGCACCCTTGGAGAACTTTGATGTAGCCAGTTACGTTTCTTGGACACGGTGATGCTGGCAATCCGAGGCCTGCACTCAGCGACTTCGGTGGATTTGAAGTTCTTAAGTTCTCTTCTGCTCACCGAAGGTATGTACACTGTTTCAATCAAATCTGTAACGGACGGGGAGGAGGGAAACAGAGAGAGCAAATTGTAATTGCGGAGTGGGATGGTCTACAGCAGCACATTGCAAGTGTCCAGAAAGCCTGAAAAAAACTTCTGTTTCATAGAAGTAAAGCAGCCAACTTGGTGCCCTTCCAAAGAGTTTTGGACTACAAAACCCATCAGCCCATCCAGCATGCTTTACTGGCTGGGGCTGATGGAAATTGCAGCCCAAAACATCTGGACGGCACCAGGTTGGCAAAGGCTGACATAAAGGTAAAGCTCTGGTGGAAACAGAACTCCCTTGATTTTACTTTCCCCCTTTTTTAAATCAAAGAACTACATAAACTCTGTAGCTATACATTATACACACATTATATCCATATACAGGCATAGCTCAGCATACAGGCATTCCACACAGTTTCAATATACAGCAGGGATAGCGGGCAGGGAGGGGGAGGCTGTATATTTTGATGGCTAAATATTCAAATCTGACCAGATGCACAGACCCGACAGCAATAAAAGTCTTGAAGTAACTACAAATGGTAGGACAGTCATGTCTGAACATGCATCACATTCCAAGTGTGCAGACACAGCGAGAAAAGGATCTACCCCACCCCCAACCCAATATCAGACACTGCTTGATAAACATTAAGTTAGGGACCATGCTATAATGTAACTATCATGGCCCACCAAGGGACCAGATTCTTGACTAGTTCAGATTCTTTCATCCTTCTGGGATGAAAGTAAATAACCAGAGAATAGATTTATGTGAGATGCATTTTTGCAAATGTCACTCTTCCTATGTTTCATAAAACAAACGTTTATTCTAAAAGAAAGGGGGGGGTGTTTTTAAAACTTCTGTGCTCCCAGTGAATACTATACTGTACAAGTGGCACGGGGGTGGGGGGAATGATGCAATCATTTAATCATGTATTATTTCAGTGTTTCATGTCTTTTCATTCCTCCAGATGTGGTGAAGGTTCCCTTTTACCCCTTTTCTGGCCGCTTGCAATTATTCGTCAGGATCATCTCTCTCACTGGCATCCTACTCTTCGTCCTAAGACCCCAGAGCAATTTACAATAGTAAATACACAAAACAATAAACAAAACACAGTATCAGCAATACAATAATAAAAAAAGAACAGTCGGCCAGCTTCCTGAGATTCAAGCATCCCACTATATTAAAACCTGGTGGAGAAGTTCTTCAGCAGGTCGTGTCACGGTGGACAATGTTGGCACCAGTTGAACCTCTAGGGGCATCGCCTTCCACAACTGCACTGCTATTACTAAGAAAGCCACCTAATGCTCAAAGACTTGCCTTGGGCTACCATCATGGCCTCCCCAATAGTCCATATGCTAAACAAATAGTCACTAGGAATATCCTGTAATTTTACTAGAACATGGAAGCGGGGTTTAAGAAAAGTTTCGCCGTGTTACTGTCTCCCTATGGAACACATTAATATTTAAGGTTATTGGCAAAAAAATTGTAAAAATAAAGCCATTAGGGAGAACAATTCCCATCAGTCAATCAAACTCGAGGTTACGACCAAGAACAGAACAGAACTTGACTTCATTTAACTTTACCCATGCCTCCATACAACCTATTTAAGCAGACAGAATTCATTCTACCTATTTTTAAAAACGCAAAGGGATAAGTTCTTTGTTAAAATACTACTACTACAAATAATAATCACTCGCTATGTTGGTTTATATACCGTATTTTGTTATTACTCGAAATCTGAAAGACTAAAGTCCGCCCCTGTATGGGGCAAGAAGCATTCTTACATCTCAACCCAGATTTCTGGAGTAAGTCTTTTTCTTTTCTTGTGACTACTCAAGTCTGTACAATTAACAGGCACCTTGTAATTATGTGCATTTTAACCTTCCCATGTCTGTAAAACAATACACAGAATGTAATACCATTGTGCAACCAATGCTTAGAATGCTCTGGCTAATTATATTTTTCTGAAGCAGTGTTTTGCAATAAATCTAGGAGGATTTAGAGCAATGAAACTTTAAACCAGGCATAATCCTAAAACAGAACTTAAAACAAAACTGGGGAGGGGAGAGGCACCCTCGAAGAGCATTTTCCACTGCAGCTATTCCGCACACACTTATGTGGAAAAGTTAAAACATGAAAGAAACTGTACTAAAAAGCAACTGCTTCTTTCAGTTAAGATTAGAGACCACACACTGTTAAAGAGGAGTATTTGAATAATTAAGTTATTAACGTTTAACTTACAAGCTGGTTCATTCATTATAAAAAGCACCGATACCTGCTAATGCAAGTGACTATTTCACACAAGCACTGTTAACACCAAAGTGGACATCCTGGAGCTTTGTTAAATGCCCGGGCTTTCCTGCAAGACCTAGATTGATCACAGCCATGGCTGTGGGAGAATGGGCCACTTTAGGGTACTGAGGGCCAGTTGCCATGAGCTGCCCCTGGGGGCAACATTTGCAGAGGAGGAGGAGAATCCCTTCTCTTTAACTGCCCCGTAGAAATGAGAATTTTGACAGGAGCACTTGCTGAAATTCCCTTTCCTGCACAGTCTGCTTCTTTACAACTGGGCACCTTAGCAAGATACACATCTCTGTGTTTGTAGGACCACGAAGCAATTCACAAAGGTCTACCCTATATTAAAGGGACAAGTTTTCCCTCCTCCATTAGGGACAAGTTAGGAAAGCTAACAGCCCTCCGGAGAGCAGATTCTCAACACATAACTCATATCCATAGCTACTCAACATTAATCACACATGTACAAACTAGACCTAAGGCTATGTCTAGTTTACAAAAACAGCAGAAGCAAGTTTAACAAGGGCAAAGCACCACAGTGATCCTGTAGATTTATTGCAGCGATCCTAATTAGAAGTTATTTAAGGTGGGGGGCAGGGGGTGCTAAGATGCAATGACGAAATATATTCAAACCCTGTGTAGTCTTTGAATTGTGCGATCTTATTACCTGGAAGTAAATCCTGCTGAACACAATGGGGCTTGCTTACGAGGAAGCATGCCTCGGTCTACACCAGAAGTTCCCAAACTTATTTGACCTACTGTCTCCTTTTCAGGAAAAAACCAAAACAAAACATTACCCAGCACCCCCCAGAAAATCTACCTTCTTTACGCGAACAAACAGAAAGGTGCAGTGACAAATTTGTGTTCTTTTATGTATCTATATTTCTACCTACGTTCTACAACATAGTAAACAAAGATGTAGTTGTAAACAACAGATGAAACATGTACAGTTTTTCAAATTTTTCTTCTCTTCATGCTTCCACTGCCCCTTTATTTTTATTCAATGCCCCATCCCAATTGCACCAGAGGTTACTACCCCCCCATCGTTCCAGTACCTCCCCCCAGGGGGCGGTATCACCCACTCTCGGAAGCATTGGCCTACGCTGACATACAGAATTTGTTTGTTTCAGAAATACTTTCAATCAGCTGCGCACACATTGTGCCTTTAGAGTACATGCAAAATGCATTACTTTCCTCAAGAAATTCTGGGCACTGCTGTTTAAGGATTGCTGGAAATTGCATCTCTGTGAGGAATAAACTACAGTGCCCAGAATTACTTTGAGTGAAAGAATGTGCTTTAAAGACATAGCAGGTACACAGGTCACAAAATGTGGTCAGTGGTGTGCTAAGTACTGATTTTTTGTGTGTGACCTGGGCACTGTGGAGGGCGCCTTTGATTTAGTACAGAACACAACAACTGATTTAAAGTGGGTGCCATCGTCCCCCATACTAGCATCTTTAATATTTGTCTCTCCCCACACTTTTGTGTCTTGAGGAACTAGATAAGGAAATACAATATAGGATTTATTGAGCTGTACTGTTTCTAGGATGTTAAGCAGAGGGCGATATAGCAGAAAATGGTCCAGAACAACACAGAGGGCCAAAGACAGGTTGAACAGGTGGAAAGGACTGTATCCCCCCTCAGGATAAACCAATCAAAGCAACTAAGCTACCCATTTAAATTAGAAAGCTCTTTGATTAAGCATTTTGAAAATCTTCTAAATAAATAACTCAATGGAGCTGCTCTAAGCATGACTCAATTTGGATCCAATCCAGCGTTCTGTTGAACTTGAAGTATTTCACAAAGGAAACTTACTATAGGCTTGCCCAGAAAAAGATAATTAAGCACTTTCCGATTATTATTATTTTTATTATTACAGTGGTACCTCGGGTTAAGTACTTAATTCGTTCCGGAGGTCTGTTCTTAACCTGAAACTGTTCTTAACCTGAAGCACCACTTTAGCTAATGGGGCCTCCCGCTGCCGCCGCACCACCGGAGCATGATTTCTGTTCTCACCCTGAAGCAAAGTTCTTAACCCGAGGTAATATTTCTGGGTTAACGGAGTCTGTAACCTGAAGCGTATGTAACCTGAAGCGTATGTAACCCGAGGTACCACTGCATTATGATCATCATCATTACTATTACTCGAATCTGTAGCTTCTCATTTCTACATACAATAATGGACTATCCACAATAATGTGGACTTTATAGAGAAATTAAACACCAAGGGACCTAGAAACTGAAAGCTTACTTCATATACGGGCACTTTAATAAGTGAGCTATTAACACGGTTTAGCAACACGTTGCGAGATTAATGTATAAAAGGGAGGCATTTTTCTGGAAGCATCCATGTTGATTTGCCAACCCTTCTGGGAATGTTTCACCCCCTCAGGGCCAATAGAAATAAATGAGGCAGTGGTGCTTGACCAGATAACATTAACATGTTCCTCCCCACCCCACTGTGCTTTCCCCCCCACTCCCCCCTGTTTTTGTTTTGTCACCGGAATTGTGAGGTGTACTTGTGAACCTGCCACTGGGCAGAGATTTCAGGGCTGGGAGGGAGAGATAAAAAAGAGAAGTATTTTCCACGATACTTCTTGTACTCAAAGTAACTAAACATTTATGGTTAATAAGTGTCACACGTCCATTAAGATTTCACGCAGAGGTTACAATTTAAAACAGTAACTGGGGCGGAGAGAGACAAATTGCATTCCATACCAAGAATGACTTTTCACACTGTATTCGCAGCAGGGGAAGTGCTACTGGGCAACACTTTGCTCTGCAACTTGGGGTAAAATGAGGACTGTTTAAGAGGCAGCTCCTCCCCATTGGATTTAGAGTAGCACTGTGCCAGGTAGGCTCCTCCTCAAGGCTTTCTTACACCAGAGAAAGGGGTTGCCCTGCTGCAGCAGGCTCAAACGCTGCAAATGTGGCAAGTCCTCAATATTTAAATTCTTCTCCCAGCCTAAAATAAAATAAGCTCCCTGCACATGAAAAACAGCATGCAAGGGGAAGTGTTAGTTAGGATGGAACCTCTCTCCTTGCTACGCCAGCTTTCCACCTGCAGCGATATTTGATGCGGAAAAGCCCTCCCCACAACTTACCTTTGGAGAAATCGAGACTCAGAAGCATTACGCCTTTCCTCCCCCCCCTTAATTAATATTTTAATGGCAGCAAGCATTTTTTTGCTGTATTTGAATGGGGGAGATCTATGCAACTCCTTAACTCTCCCAATGAAATAAGTGAGCTTTAAAAAAATTCCAGGTTGCGCACTAGAGTAAGGAGAAGTTATGGTTACTGTACAGTATTTCTTCCTATTCTACATGTACTCTCCTTTCCTTTAACTAACCTACTTGTCCTGGTCTGCAAACACAAGTGACCTCATTTTTGTGCATGTGTGTGTTTTCCCTTCATGTGAATCCCACACACTACTTGCAAATTAGTATTTGGCATGCAAACTTTACGAAAGCCTTGTCTCTTTCTCAACACTCTGCATGCCTGTTATAGCAAACTTGCTATTTTTATGCAATACTGCTTCACATGCCATAAGCATTAGTGGTATACTCCATCCGGCCCAGAAACTGAGACTATTTTGCCTTTAGCAGAATGCAACGGAGCAGGTGAGGCTTGGAGTAGGCCTGCTCCTTAATTAAAATAAACAAAGGCAAGTCTCCTGCACCTGAAAGCAATTCAGCCAAGTGAAGCTTTTCCCAACCATGGAGATGCAAGGGTGAGGCAAACTGCACTGAAGTGTTTTCTTTCTATCAAGCAGCTGTTAAAAGCACATCACCACTGTCCATTACAAAAGAAGAACAGAGCAACTCTGGGGAGCCTTGCAAACCCCCAACCATGGGAAAGTGAGGAGGGGGGAAGCGGTCACCAAAATCATTACCTGTCAGCAAGATTCTTTGGTCTGAAGGGGATGCTAGGCCCTTTCCACCTTGACCCCTCAAGGGGGCAGGAGGCGGCGTTGCTGGTCCCTCTTCCCTGCCCAGAGGTGGCCCGCAGGTCCTGGATGTTTTTGCGGGAGACGAAGACGACGGAGCCCCCGCTGGCTCGCTGCGGCCTTTCATGCCCAGGGAGAGGAGGCGTCCTTTGTACATCCATTTCTGCAGCTTCCGGACCGTCACGGCGGGAGGCTTGAAGGGGCCGCCGTGGGTGCCTGCCGGAGGGCGCACGTGGCTTCTGCCACCGCCGCCGCCCCCCTCCGCCGCCGGGTCCGCGGCACCCTTCAGCGCCCCCGCCTCGCCCAGGGCGGCGCACAGCTCCGAGCCCAGCAAGCGGCCCAAGTCGTCCCGCGGCAGCGCCGACGGATGTCCCTCGCAAGCGCTCCGGCTGCCGGGGCTTTGCTCACAGCTGCTGCTGTTGTGGCCAGAGCAGCCGGCGGCAGCTGCGAGGCCGCCGCAGCCGAGTCCCCGCCTGGCGCCCAGCCGCTGCAGCAGGTGGCCCCGGGGCGAGGGGCCGAGCGCGCCGTCGCTGCTGCACCTCCGCAAGGGCGGCGCTCTGGCGGGCGGCTGGGCAGCGGGGAGGCTCTCCCAGCTCTTGCTGATGCCCCGGCGCCAGGCGGGGGCCCTGCCGGGGCCTCGGGAGCCGAAATCGGGCGCTCGCGACTGCGGGGACCCGTCCCCGCACGGGAAAGACCAGCTTGAGGCATCGTGGCTCCTCCCAGCCGAGGAGGAGAAGGAGGAGGGCGGCGGGTGGGCAAGCGGCGGCGGGGAGCGGGCCCCGACGACGGGGCTAGCCGGGGGCAGGTCGTGCATGGCGTGGATCAGCAGGTAATAAGCCTCCTGCAGCTGGCTGCGAAGCCGGCCCGCGCTCTCGCGTGCCTTGGTGTGGCCGCCGCCGCCGCCGCTGCCCAGGGCCACGCTGCCGTCGGCGTTCCCCTGCGCCCGGCACGCCAATTTGGGGCAGCTCCAGCCGGGCAGGCTGTGGTTGTCGTAATAGTCCTCTTCCTCGCTCCCGCCGCCCCGCTCCAGCGCAGAGCCCGAGTCCGCCCCCCGGGGGAAAAACGACGACGACGAGAAGCAGAGCTCGGCCGCCGGCGGGGGCGCACGGAGCCCGGGCGGGCTCGGCGGAGGCAGCTGCCGCGTCCCTTCCACGCGGTTCTTCGGCAGGCAAAGGCGGGCTCCGGGGGCTTCTTCCTCAGGCGCCGCTGCCGCTTTCCCCCGCCGGGACCAAGCCTCCGGCTCCTCCAGGTGGGGCGCGAAGCCCCCGCCGCTGCCGAGCGCGCACGGCGCCCCGTTTCCCGGGCGCGCCAGATTCTGCTGGGCTCGACTTCGAAGGGCGCCGCCTCCGCCGGGGTGCCCGGCGGCTTCCCCCGCCGCCCCTCGCTGCGCCCGCCTGCCCCGCAGCTTGGAGAGGGTCCTGCGCAGAGGGTCAGCCATGCCTGGCGCTGGTCGTCGCCTCTCTCCGCCTGGGGGCTAGTTGCTGGGCGCCGCCGCCGCTGCGCGCAAGGGTCCCCCTGAGGGAGACGGCGAGCGCGGCAGCCCGGAGCCCGGCTGGCAGGAGCGCCCCATGGTCCCCTCTCTCTCGCGCGCGCGTCCCGCTCTCTCTCTTCTTTCGCGGCTGCTGCTCACCACATATTTGGCATAGTTGAGCGGGGTGAGAGGGCGCCCTGCAATGCGCATGCCTTGCTGCCAGCAGCTGGGCTGAGCGCTCTCGCAGGAGCCTCGCGCACACGGCCTCCCGCCGCCGCCGCCGCCGCCTCCTCGTTCCAGCCCCGAGGCTGCACAGGCTGGGATAGGACGTCGGAGAACAACAGGAGAGGCGAAGTTTTTTTTCTTTTTTCTTTTACCCCGCGCACCTCCTCCCCTCCCCACGCGCAAGGGCGGGGCGAGCGCCGCTCCCTCTCCCCTCCTTCGCCTGGAAATTAACCCTTTAACTGGCCCCTCTAAGGCACCTACGGTACTTTGCGCGAGCCTCAGTGAGCCTACCTTGGGCAGAGAGTTGGGCTTAGCCGCGAGCCTGCTTCGCTTTCTTCTCCCTTTTTCTGGAGAGGTTCCTCTGCCTTTGATAGCTAGAGCCTAGGGCAGTGGTTCTCAAAGGGTGTGGCAGCAGAAGGAGATGATGGCAAGCGGCTCAGGAAGATTCAAAGAATCCTAAAACATTTAAACGTTTCAGTATAGCATAGCATAGCAATAATTTTTTTTTTGGGGGGGGAGATATACAACCACAGTCTCCAAGCCTTTCTTCAAAGAGCATTGGCTATTTTTCTGCACTACATGCTGGTGTGCTCCACTACATGCTGTTGTGAACAGCGATTTTCAACTCTGGCAAATAGGAAAGATCAGAAAAGAGAAAGGCTTCTTTGTGTTGATGAGAAGAAAGTTTGTCTGTCTCAAATTATACCTAATACAAATGAGATTACGCTGCAAAAGCAAGCTCACACCTTGCACTGAGATTGCAAACATACTTATGGTACATAGGCAAGCGGCTCATTTATGATTATATTTTGGGAATGGTTACTGTTCTTATGTAGCTGTACTTTCTAAATGTCATAAAGTAGTTGTGTTCTGTGTTATAAATCAAGCCCTGCCAGGAGTTGCTTGTTTTTTGTTTTTCAGTGTGTTTCTTATCAATAAAATAAGTTTGGTGTGGCAAGAGCAAATTTTTATTCTGAACATGTGGCCCAGAGAAAATAGTTTGAGAACCCCTGGTCTAGGGGAAAGCACCCCTTTCACCTGCCTGCCACAACCATACCACCTAGATGGAAGCAGAAAGTGGAGCCAGTTTAGGGTCTCCGCAGGTCCATGTGGGGCAAAGGGAAATAGATCTGCCATGACTCCATGTACAAGATCCTACTTTTACTTACCGGAAAGTCAATGAGAAGAAGAAGAAGAAGAAGAGGAGTTTGGATTTGATATCCCGCTTTATCACTATCCAAAGGAGTCTCAAAGCGGCTAACATTCTCCTTTCCCTTCCTCCCCCACAACAAACACTCTGTGAGGTGAGTGGGGCTGAGAGACTTCAAAGAAGTGTGACTAGCCCAAGGTCACCCAGCAGCTGCATGTGGAGGAGCGGAGACGCGAACCCGGTTCATCAGATTACGAGTCCACCGCTCTTAACCACTACACCACACTGGCTATGTGTGAAGTTATGACCACTCATTTGAAGGGCTCTAATTCATGGAAGGTAAGGCTGCCAACAGCTGCTAAGAACCATGGCTACTTGCTGGGAAACACGGGTGCAGAGAGAACCGTCAAGCTCAAGTCCTGCTTGCAGACTTCCCGTGGGCATCCTGTATGCTGCCGCTGTTAGCCCTTGGCCTGATCTAGCAAGTTTCTTACATTCTTATGCCTCAGCTCCCCCATCTGCACAATGAAAACAAATGGGTCTGCTTGCAGGGTTGTTGTAAAAATAAACTCAATGTAAGATTTTCAAACATTTTCCAGGTTTGCAAGCGTGTTGGAGGACGGCCCAGCAACAGGTAATATGACAACTTTGGTATTACAGTGGTACCTCAGGTTACATACGCTTCAGGTTACAGACTCTGCTAACCCAGAAATACTGCTTCAGGTTAAGAACTTTGCTTCAGGATGAGAACAGAAATCGTGCTCCGGCGGCGTGGTGGCAGCAGGAGGCCCCATTAGCTAAAGTGGTGCTTCAGGTTAAGAACAGTTTCAGGTTAAGAACGGACCTCTGGAACGAATTAAGTACTTAACCCGAGGTACCACTGTACTCGTATCAGGCTTTGTATCGGCATATTATTACGCAGATAGAATAGATCCCTCGTTTCCCCGCACAAAAGGTCCTTCACTGCTGGTGAGGGGAGAGTATCCTCCCCTCCACTTGAGGGCAGCAAGCCAGCCTAGGAGGCGCAGGAAAGTCCACACAGGATGTGTGAACACCCAACTCCCACCAGCCTCAGTATGTGAGGAACACTGGACATTGTGGTCCAAGAACACCTGGAGGGGGACAGGTTAGGGACCCCTGTGAAGTCCAACATCTCATCAGTTCTCTCCACTCTTCAGCATCCTTTGCCTCACTTTGACTAACGGGCCCTGGTGCCTTTGCTTTGGAGAGGTTCGTATTCAGCAAATGTGGCTTCTCCCCCAGGCAGAGGCTGGATTTCTCCCTGCCGTATGGCCGTGCAAGCGAAGGCATTCAAGTGCTTTGGAAAATGAGAAAAAAGGGATAGAAATTATAACGGGATTCTAGCTGCGAGGATTTATGATTCTAGCAGCAAGGATTTTGTATGTGAAGTACTGGAAAAAGAAATAGATATCCCCATCTGAGGAGAACGGTCTATTAAAAAAGTTGGGAACTGGCCGCTTTTAAATAAAATCGCCTGGATCCTTTGGGTCTGACGCGAAAAGAAAAGAAATAGATCTGAGCAAGAACCAAAAACGTTTAAAGAACTTTGGAATAAGCAGGCAGAGCGAGCACAGTATTACTTATAATCCTTTTGCAATTACCTGAGAAAATTATATGCAATTCACTAATGTATGTTGCTCCTTTTTTCTTTTCTCTGGATTATAACAGCAATTATTGTTTATTCTGGTGTGTCCATGCAAATGGCAGCTATTGTCTGGGTGCCTGCTTGTTTCTCTTTCATTTAAAGTAATATATGGAAGCCCTAGTTTGATTTAGAAGTCACACTCATTGCCATGTTTTAGAGCCGATCTACCCTTGGGGCAGCGGTCTTGTTTAATTTTTTCCTAATCAATTGCAACTTGCAGTGTCCCTTTTCGGAGCCAACACCATGGAAAAGCCCTCAAATGTCTCTGCACTGCAGTCTCCGCAATGGAGCGCTACACTTACCTGCAGTTTCAATGTGACCCTTTAAAAGAAGGGAACAGTTGGACAAAATAGGCACTGTTTGGGGATGACAACCATCCCCGCGCCCAATTGCCACCACCAGCCCCTTTTTTTGGCATTGCAGTGCCACCTGGCAGGCAGGAGCAGCCCTGGGGGCCAGCTGTTGTCTCCTGACCCTGATAAGGTTAGGCAAGGACACTGCCCTGTCACACTGCGTCCCCAGGGGCTGGAATCCTCTCTGCCAAAGGGAAATTGCAAGCTAAGGTCAAAGACTTACTTAGTCTGCAACTTGTCCCAGGAGCTGGAGAAATAGATGAGTTGCCATTTTCTGCTCAACATTGGGAATTTTGAAAGCCCTTAGAATAGAAGCGAGTTGCCGTTTTGATCAGTCGTTAAGTACTACTGTATTAAGAAACAAGGCAAAATTGTGTTATCTTTTCCCTCCTTATTTTGGAAATTTCTCAGAGAGGGAGCGACAGAGCTGATGCTGTCCAGAGTGGTATTTCAATTGTCCAAGAAGGGACTAATGTTATTATAGATTGGTATCATAACTGGGCTGTTTGTTAGAGAATAAAAACAATTACTTAGGGCATGGAAATCAATGTGTGTGTTTTTTAAATTCTTCCTTCTGTCACTTAACATTCCTTAAATTAACACATGGTGAGCAATATCCATAATGACTGTTAAGCACATTGGATTACATTTACTTATGACTTTGGCTGTACAGTGGTAACTTGGGTTACATACGCTTCAGGTTACATGCGCTTCAGGTTACATACGCTTCAGGTTACACACTCCACTAACCCAAAAATAGTGTTTCAGGTTAAGAACTTTGCTTCAGGATAAGAACAGAAATTGGGCTCCAGCGGCGCGGCAGCAGCAGGAGGCCCCATTAGCTAAAGTGGTGCTTCAGGTTAAGAACAGTTTCAGGTTAAGAACGGACCTCCGGAACAAATAAAGTACTTAACCCGAGGTACCACTGTATATGTACTATATTTTAAAGCACATTTAAAAGACCTGACCTGGGAATCCTGGGACCCGTAACTTGTTAAAAGTTCTGGGAATTGTGGCTCGGTAAACTACCGTTTTCCAGATTCTTTGGAGGAAGTTGTGTTTTTAAATGGGCGGTGTGCCTGCAGCCCTACTCTTTCAAATCAATTGACTTAATTTACTTAAATCCATTGATCTGAATGCATCAGCTCTGGGTATGGCTAATGTTGAGCATCACCTGCTATGGTTTTGTTTAAAACTAGCAATAATGTTTAAATGTGATAATTAACTATGTAATATACTTGTGAGCATTTTCTATCGATTATTTCTTTTTCTTGTATCCAGTATTTCTCAACAAACATTGCAGAAAAACACAATGAAGTAACAGGGGTTAGTGGAGCTGCAGAGAGTATTTTTCCCTTGTTTGCTTTTGTGTGAGGATAGGGAAGGAGAAGAGAGACAAGTGCAACAGCTGGTCTCGTATAACAGAAGAAAACGTGCTGTGGAATTGGTCACAAAGTGGTTTTTGAAGAAGAGCCTTTTGAACCGCTGATCTTACAAATTCTGCAGTGTTCTCCCACTAACACAACTTCATCTTGGGAGCTTGTTTGATTGAAGACATTGAAATAGGGATGCC